TGTGCCCGTGGTGGAGGTTTATCCCAGGACGGCTCGGGATAAACCTACGACAGTCATCCTCCCAGCCTGTTTGGGGCGGGGATAAAGCCCACTGCCGTGCCCGTGGTGGAAGTTTATCCCAGGGCGGCCGGGGATAAACCTACGAAAGCCACCGCCCCAGCCTGTTTCGCGCGGGGATAAACCCCACTCCTGTGCCCGTGGTGGAGGTTTATCCCAGGACGGCTCGGGCTAAGCTTACGACAGTCATCCGCCCAGCCTGTTTTGGGCGGGGATAAAGCCCACAGCTGTGCCCGTGGTGGAAGTTTATCCCAGGGCGGCCCGGGATAAACCTACGAAAGCCACCGCCCCAGCCTGTTTCGCGCGGGGAGGGGCCCGACTGTTGTGCCCGTGGTGGCGGTTTATATATCCCGGAGCCCCCGGGGATATATTTCGGAAGGCCACCGCGCCGGCCTGTTTCGCACGGGGGGGATAGGCCCCACTGCTGTGCCCTTGGTGAAGGTTTCTTCCTGGCGCCCGCCCGCGCTTCTGTACTAAGCAGCCCACACCATAGTAATTTCTCGCCTCGAAGCTTGTGCTGTTTTTATATGGTCAAAAAGGGGGCGGAAAAGATAAAGAACCTTTCCGGGTGAAGATGCAAGTGTTCAACAGATGATATCTCAAGGGGCGGGAATCCATGTGCTATAGATACTTACGGCAGGAAACGCGCGAGAGGCTTAACTGTTATTGTTTTGACACGTCAGTGCTTGAGCCATTTATGAGCGTTTTCTGTTTTAGTGTTTGCGGGGAGATGAAAAGGATTAAACAGTTTCCTTATTGCAAGCAAGAGGAGAGATTTGTGTGGCGTCTGCGTTATCTGTCGCCATCTTTGCTTTGTTGAGTACACTCTTGGTTAGCCCCACCCCAAAAAAACATGTTGACGCCTTAATTACCATGAAAATATACGACGCGGCCCCTTCTTACCTCCGAAAGATAATTTCCAGACATTGCAGTATTTTACTACCACCCATAATTAATAAGTATGAGTTGGCAACAGCAACACGATCACGACCCTGACTGTGCACACGGATTCAGCTCCCATTGTGTTGCACCAAAAAGCTGTTGTGCGTTGGAAGGGGGAATAAATAGCAAGTTTTTAGTTCTTTCATCCTAGAGGACGAGCACGAGCGTGAGCGTGTGGAGCCGTGTTGCCCCATTCACGGAAAAATGAAATCAATGGTCAAGGCCATGAAAAAGCTGGCCGTCTCCTCCAGCGGTAGCAGCAGGAGCATGAAAAGCACTGCGAAAAAGTCGGCGCCAGCCGCTGCTGCTTCTTCTACTTCTTCGTCCGCAGCCGCGAACAAAATGAAGGCGAAAATGAAAAAAAATAAAGAACCGGAATCGGAAGAACAAGAAGAGGAGAAGAAGGAGGAAGTTGAAAATAACGGACGCCCGAGGAACTCGCTGGTGACAATCCCTAACGAGGGCACGCTCGAGGAGCTAAAGGACTTGAAACAGAAGCTGAGGGGCCAGAAAAAATCCTGGGAGAATAGCAAAAAAGTACTATCAAAATGAAAAATCCCCCCTCCCCATATCAAAACGGAAATTTGTGATGCTGATTTGTGACCACAAACCAGCTTTGTATTGCAGAGAGGCACTGCGGCCAGATCCCCAGGTTTGGTAGGGGCGTATGGGTCTAGTAGTTCAGCATGGCAAACGGCCCCCCTTTAGGCCCAACAGCATGACAAATCGATTCCATAATGGGGCGGAAGCTTCTGCCCTTGTCTTCTTGCAAGACGGATGTGATTTGTGGCCGCAAATCCGCAACGCAAATTTTTGGAAGCGTACCTTTTCAATATGGGGAGGGGGGATTTTTCCTCTCAATAAGTACCATACACGCAAGAAGCGAGGGACGCCCACGACGAGCAGTGGAAGATCATGGAGGACGCATTCGCAATGGCGAATTCCAGTGGAGATAACACGTACAAACTCAAGCTCGACAACGAGACGCAGCTCATCCCCGCCTCGCCGTTTTTTACGCCGAGAGGGCAGGACGGGCCGAACGAACAAGTCGCAGCTTCTACCCGGAACCGGAAAAAGACGAACAAACACTCCGACGCTACCAGTGCAACTATCATAGGGAAAGGTGCAGTTTGTCATGCCATATTAAATTTTTCGCAAGACTGTGTGTTTCTAACAGAGGAAAGAATAAAGATAAACAAAAATCCCAATCCGCTTTCGCAATTTGCTCGTGACGACGAGCCTTGGTTTTCTGGCATTTATGACGCCATCTCTTACAACCTGTACGTGCTTACGTGTTTGTCAAACAAGGTAATGCTGAATATGGTTTTCGGGATACGCCTTTCCCTATAATAAAAATCGAAGAGGAAGAGAAAACCAAAATGGCGTCGTGGTATCGACTGAAAATACGTCAGCGTCTGGAAAGTTGTAATGCTAGAAAGTGAATCTGAATGCAAATGGTAGGTGCGCTGCGCAGCCATACGCAGCCACGCATTACAAATTTCCGGGCTACTTCGTCTTGCGTTTCGACTACGAATGGCAAGCTGCGTTTTTGCATGACAAGCAGCCGGATCTTTTCACTCAGTCATTTGCGCCCATCGAGAACAGACACAGAATCTCGAGTCTTGTCAGACAAGCATGACAAATTTGGCAATCCATCTTCCAGACCCAGACGTGTTTGCAATGCATAACCAGCTAGAGAGAAACTACCCTCTGACCATATCCCGTGTAAAAACGCCCCCACCCAAGAGTTGTCATGCAAAATGGCATGTCTAAGTGAGTCTAAAGAAATGCGTCTCATGCGCAGGAGCTCCATGAGGAGCGTTTTGTAATGCTGTCTGGAAGTTCGACTTTGTGATGCTAGAATCAGCGTGATATATATCGATTTGTGATGCGGCTTTTCTAGCTAATCCTCAGTACGCTACGAGCCCAAACTTGTCATGCGCAGCGGTCAAAGATTAAGTAAGGGTCTGTAGAAAAACGTCAGAAAGTCGCACCCTGACTCCGGCGTGGGGACGTTTTTAAACAGGGTAGACCACACAGCTCCTCCTTATGGCGTCGGTCTCGCTTATAACATTATCCTACAGAAAAAATATTGAATACTTCCGACTATAGTACCCCATTTGTGTTGCAGATGGACGCTAAATAGACAGGAGAAATTCTGCGAAATAAAATACGTCTTGACCATGCTGCGATGTTGAATACTTTTTGCATGATCTTCGTCCGCTAGTAATTTTCTGCAGGATAAACCAGTACGGTGTCAGTGTACCTCGCTGTGACGAATATCGTGCGTGACAACGTCTCACTTTCCTTGTGCAATAAAAACCAGATAGCAGCTAAGCAAGGCTTTAGCTTCATCAGAGCACAGCGAAGGCATTTGCGTTTTTTTTTTTAAGAAAAAATTTAAATCACAATCAAGCTCAAATTCATATCAGCGAAGGCAAGAACACGAATACCTTCGGGAGCTGCTGGCCGCAACACAGGAGTTGTAAGAACAAGGAGAGTGGGGAATTGTGTACACCTGATAGGTATCGGATGCACATATCTCTGGGTCTGGAAGACGAAGATTGCAAGGTTTGTCATGCATATCGTGGATTACACAGGTGGACTGTAAGCAAGACAAATTTTGAAAAAGCTTCTATAATTTCTCTTCCGCATGAGAGACTTGCCTTTTGATGTGTGGCAAGAAATGAGCAGCTTTGGCGGTTTGATGCAACACAGATTTTTTGCACGATTCAGATTTGGCATGACAGACTCGTCGAACTCTTCCAATTTCAGACATGTTTGCAATGCATAACAGAAGCAGTATCCTGTGCAAAAGTCTCGCACTCCTGTATACATTGCAATCTTGCATGCCAGATCTTTCTTTGCCGACTGAGCTTGCATGATAATTCGAGGTTGTCCTGGTGATCACCCAGCTGGTTGCTATCATGCAATGTATACTGACGGGACGCTTGTGTACGTGCATAAGCCCTGGAACTGTACCAGTCGTGGAGTAGCACCGGTGCCGGGACTTTCCTCGAGAATTTGAACGCGCTCCTGGAACACATCAGCTTTTTCCCAGTTTCGTGCTTCGTTCTCGTTGTATGAACGTGAACAGCTGGCGCTTTCCCCGTTTGTGATGCAAAGTACAAAACGCGGCGATTCGTATTTTTTCTCTTGTCCATTGCAGTAGTTGCATGACGAATCGGGGAAAGCCGTGGAGACTTCCCTCCGTGTGGAAGTTTGTCATGCAGATTAGACCAGAAGCCTGGGCTTCGTGCTCGTCTCACTGTTGCTGTAAATGCCTTGCAATCCGGGGGAGGGGAACTTGTTCATTCTCATGCCTCACGGTGATCCTGAGTGTGCTGACGGACCACGTGGTGGAAGCAGAAGGTTTAGGGTATCGTATGGAAAAATTCCCCCCCCTCCCTATCGAAAGTGCATCCTTCTGAAAATTTAATTTATATACATCCTTGCAGATGAAGATCCTGAGAGGACTCTCCCAAAAGAACATCCTTACGGATATGGATGGACTGGTTAGATGGGCGACTTTCCCGGTGCGTATTTTGGGCGAAGGCCTCGCTGGAGTCAACGACGCAGACACTACAGCGATCGAAAACCGACGCCGGGCGGACCTAGCGCTGGCCACAGCACTTGTCGACGGGGCGAGCACGCGCCTGCCAAGCTCTTCCGACTTACGCGCATGCGGTATAGTTCCAGACCGTTCGGAGCTTGTCGACCCAAAAGCGAAAGCACGCACCACGAAGACAGTCTCTATCTTCGCCCACACCGACATAGGCACGACAGTAGCTTGCGAAATGGAGAAAATGGGTAAAGGTATTCCGGTTCTAGCGGCTAAGACCAGCGACGCGCACCTAGGAACAGAGGAAAGAGAAGAAGCGCAGCGCTTCGCGGCATATTGCAACAATGCGATAGTGCTTATGGACGCTATAGCATCCTGGCCACAAACAGCCAGCGTGTGCTTCCGGCTAGAGGACTACCGCAAGCTCTGGATCAAGACACGCGGTCCATTGCGCAGGGGCTTAGGAATAGTCCTCGCACTGGTAGAAAGAGTCGAAGCGTTGCAAAAGCTCGGCCACGTGGTAATCAAGCAGTGTAGGCATGACGCGGACGAAGACAGATCGTGGGTGACAGCCAAAGCGCCTCCCACGATCTCCACTGGGCTAACAGTAGTGAATGTAGCAGACCACGACTGTTACGCTGACTGGCCCGTGTTTGACTACGGTGAGGATGCCTTCAAATTCGAACCAGTGCAACAGTGGCCGGAAATGAGCAGACGCGAGCGAACGGAATTCCTCACGGCAGCACTGCTAGGCGAGCAGGAACAATCGCAAAACCAGGGCGAAGCGGCCGCACACGGCGCACAGGCAAGCGGGGGCCCCCCTGCGCAAGAGCAGGCGCACCAGGCCAACGGAAAAGACCAGCCGATGAAGAACGCATATCATCCACTAGGCTGGGACTGCCTCGACGAGGACGCGATCGCTAAATACCTCAGCAGGCTAGTAGAGGGGGATCCTCCTAGCGCATCCAGCTCATCGTCCTCGAGCTCGCAGCCCCCAGGTGCGAAAGGGACTGGGAAAAGCCGCAAACGAGCACGGAGCAACTCAGGGGACTGGGGTGAGCTCCGAAGCCCGGAGCCTGCAACACCAGGAAACGACCCAGCCCCGGAGCAGCAAGCAGCACAAGAAACGCAGGAGAGCCGGGAAGAGGGTCCCAGAAGGATTCCAGGGTCGATGTTCCGCGACTCACCAGGGTCGAAGTTCAGACGGGGACCATGGAAGTCGCTATTCTAGAGCAAGCTACTTCAATAACTACTTCTTCCACTTCGAAAAAACGTCTCTTCCGAAACAACCAAGAGGATTGCTTCTTCTTACGAAAAAGCACTACTTCTTCTTCGCCTGTAAAAAAGGACGCGACACACGAAAAAACTCAAAGAGAAAAAGAACGCCTGAGCTGGAGCTACAAGGCAGGGACCAACGAACAGCCGGGCGCTGTTGTTCTCACTGTTCGCCAAGAACGAGGGAAGGAGAAAAACCCAAAGGGCAAGGCCCAGGAGCGAAAAAAAAAAAAAAAAAATGCGCGCTGTCGCACATGGCGCGCCCGTTTCCCCTACTCGTCTCAATTTCCTCCCTGGCGCAAGGGGGGACCTTGCCGCCAGGTTTCTCCTTGTCTGCGCCGTCACCAGCTACTTCCGCGTGCTTACGGGTATCCTTGAGTGAGCGAAGCTGCCACATGTTGCATGAAGCACGATCCCACGGCGTGGGCGCGTGCGTGGCAAAAGCGTAACCTTTTACATGTATCTTTGTATGGAGCACCCGCCCCCCCTCTTGCTTTAGCTCGAATGGCGAATGGCGACGATTTGGGGGCCGCTCGATAGCGCTAGGCGCTAGTGCGCAGGTAGGCAGGTGAGTCGCGCCGTCCCCGGGGGGCGTTCCCTGGTCTCACTTTACAATCAAAAACTTAGCAGGGAAAGGATCCATGTGCCGGATTGGGAGGTCGGTGCGTGCTTCTTCTGGCAAGGCTCGTCTAGAAGTAATCACTGACGGTGGGACGTCGTTCATGTATGCGCTGCGTCATGGCATACGCAGTGGGTCCGGTGCTCGAGCTACAGTGACCGAGCCGTTGTGGAGTTTAAGTACTCTCCGCGCCGGACCTAAAAAACAAGGCTCATAGCCCCGGCTCGGTTGCTGATCAGATTCGCCCTACACCCATGCAGAAATGCTACAGTGTGTGCGTGTTTGGTCCCCCCTGAACGACGTGTGAGTGAGTGTGGCCCACACCCAAGTCCGAAAAAACCTAGCCTCATAACAGCCGCGCCCCTAAGGTATAGATCAACTGTTCGTCATAGAAGATCGGCGTTCAGCTGCTCTCGGGCTGGAGGAGGGAGTAGCAAGCAGCAGTCCGCTTAAGGGGCACACTGCCAACATCATCATCATCAGATGAGTGTCGATGTGGGAAGACCACAAATCCTGTCTGTCTTGCATGAAGGAAAATCCAGAGTAGACTCCGCCACGGTATGCGGGCGATTTGCAATGCTGTAAGACCTGCAGGGCGGACTTCTGCCATGCTAAGGGCCTGCACTACAAGACCCGAGCTTAGGCTTAGTATCTGCTTCGTGCAGTCCCCTACTGCAAGACAAATTTGTGTACACTAATGCCGCATTAAGGGTTTCCACTTTAACATGCGGAGGGGGGATTTTTTCTTTTGATATTCCAGGAAGAGTGCTTATTGCCTTCGGTTCCGTCGCGTTTGTTTTCCGTATCCTGAGAAAAGCTCGAGGTAAGGACGTTTTGCATTTCTGAGTAGGGGGCGTGTCGTGTTGCGTTTATTTTGTATCGAAAGACATCTTCTAGGAGTAGGAACGTCCGCCCTTGTTTAGTGCATTTTTGTGGACATGAGGTGTACGAAGTGACTGACTCAAGCTTTTTGATACAGGATACTGATTTTCCTGTACGGAAAGGTGCTCGCTTCTGCGTAGGACGATGAACCGCGACCGCCTATCCGTCGCCCAGCTTTGGCGTTCGCTTTTTCTTCTGTGATGCAAAAACGCTTTTTGTTTTTCTTTTTGTAGCGTGGCTGTAAGAATGCGAAAGTACACGCAGAGTGTGATGAACGACGCCAAACAATTTTCGTGAAGATACGGCATGATAAATTTTGCTTCCTGTGATTTCTAGTAGGAGGACGCCAAAGCATATTTCTTTTTCATTTTCTGCAACATGAACATGATACGCTCCTGCGTCAACACGAGTCCCTATCGAGCGCAGAGCTCTACACTCCAACGCCACGACTCTCTTTTCCAGTGCAAATATGTCTGGGTCTGGACGTGTTCCAACTTGTCATGCTTCGTCTGGATTATGCAGAGCAAAATCTGTGATGCATGATTACCAAAAGCTGTCCAGTTTGCGGCTTTGACCAAGTTAAGAGGGAGCTTCTCATTCACGATAGGCATAGTAAGGATCTCACTGAGCAGTTTGTTATGCTAGGTACCGCATTCCAGAACCAGAGCCATGGAAAACCTGCATGACAAGTCTTGCAATCTTCCAAACCCAGGCTTATTCGCATTTGATATTTCTTGGATGCAGACAACAGTCGACTCATGCAGTTGCGCTACTCGTTCTCGTTGGATTGTGATGCAAAAGGCTCTTGAGGAAGGTCAGTGGGGCATGCATGGAGTGTACGTTTGCAGGTAGTGTTTTTTACTTACTCACTTTGCTATGCTTGCATGACATATCCGAGATTATGAGTACTTTTGTAAATTTATTACACAAATAAATTCAACCGCCCACCGCACATGACAAAGAAGCTTGCTTCCACTTTTTCACACCAAGAAGAGTTTGCATGCCCATATTGCGCAGGACCAGGACCTATTGACGTACTGCAAATAATGCGAGATGCGAAAGACGCCTACGACTACGGAAAGCAGTATCTGAGAAAATGACCCATCCTTGGCCCAAACGAGTAGGTTTGAACTTTAGGTATTGCAAATATGTCTAGATCTGGAAGACTGTAACATTCGGATTCTTGAATGCGCACCATACTCCTGAAGTCTGTATATGCAGAGTAGGGAATTTGTCATGCAAATACGCGAACTCTCATCCGGGTTACAACGCACTACAGCTCAAGAACAGCTTTCCAGACCCAGACGCATTTGCACTTTATAAGTACTTACTTTTGCTCCAACTCCAGGGTTATCAAATGTAAAAATGTCTGGGTCTGGAAGAATGGAACTTCTCATGCTAAATCTGAAGCATGCAAAAATCTGTGTTGCATGATTGCCAAAAGTCGTCTAGTTTTGACCAAGTCGCGAGGGAGTTTCTCATGCAGGAAAGGCATGAGAGAGATCGCCCACAATCTGTCATGCTAGGTCCTGCATTCCAGAACCAGACCTCATGCATGGAAAAGCTGCATGACAAATCGCGCATTCTTCCAGACCCAGACATTTTTACATTTGATAAGGGTGTTTCTGTTTGCGAAAATGCCAGTTGTGATGCATGGGGGTTTGTGACTTGATGATGATTCTCGCCGTTCTTATATTTCCATGACGCACATCGATTCCTCGAACAGAAAAATACGCCCTGCACCTGCTGAAGGAATTTTTCCTCGAGAACTAAAATGATTTGCAAATCTTGACCATGGACGGTTTTTTTCTTGCATTCCATACTCAAAAAAGCGAGGAGCTGTTTTCTTGATCTTGTCATCTTCGACGTGGAAATTGAACTACGCATTTTTTTATGCTACAGAAAGATCTCCACACTCTTGTGAGAGAGCCGTGGCTTTGCGCGGATGAAGGTGGAGGAAATAGGAATATCAAAGTGAAAAAAGCCCCCATCCCATAGTCAAAAGACAATTTGTGTTGCTGGGGAGGGGAGATTTTTCCTCACAATGAATAAGGAATTGGACGAAGACACCTCCAGGATGATGACAGCTCTGCGCCTATCCTAGGTAAAAATATGAAACCGCCCCAGAGCTGTCTAATGTCTTGTAGGTCTCGACGTCTGCTGCAAGAGCCAGAAGTTGCAGCAGCCGCGCGTCTGCGTCTCTGGGGTGGGTACTTCTTTTTCCCACGTGATAGCACTCCATACCGCACCAGAGGATATGCAGTGCAAATGTTTTGGTCTGGAAACTTGTAATGCCGATTTGCTGTTGTGTGAGATTGCAACACGAGCTTTTTGATGTTTATTGCGCATTAAGCATTGCGTTCTTGTTGCATGAGCATGACAAAGGAAGCTGCCCTTCTGCTGTTGACGCAACACAGATTTTCTCGGGTTGCAAGACACGCATGACAAGTTCCACTTTTCCAGACGCAGACATATTTGCATTTGATAGAGGACTCGCCGGAACGATAATTCCCCGGCGCCTGGTGTATCAAACGGAGCAGCGTGAGCAACGTAACTCGAATAAGATCGTTGACTCCGTACTTCTTGGTGAAATGAATTTATGTCCGCATGCTGTAGTTGATTCATTGCATCGCACCGTTGGCGCATTTATAAGAAAGTAGAAAGAAATTGAAATAGAAAGTTGTCCGAGTCCGTTGCTATACAGCACAACTACCAAAAGAAACGGTCTCGTGTTTCGTTGCTACACAGCACAAGGTGGTAGAATGTCGGGCGGTAGGGATCGCGAGCGGATGCCGGGTCGTGTGGTAGCTGTGGCTTTCATGCCGATGTATAATTTATTGAAACAGAGAATCGATTATAGCTGTAGGTACTGTATGATACTAGAAAAAGACGCTTTCAATGCTGAGTTTCGAAATCTGATGATATTTCGCCACCTAGAGAAATAAGTTTGGTTGGCATGATACTCGTGAAAAAGGAGATAACAAAAAAATATAATGACACGACGTTTCGGTTTCGAATACAATTTACTTCATTTCATATACTTAGACATCTTCACAGCGACTTCACATATTACATTGCAGAGTTTGTATACATGAAGAAGATGAACAACTGAACATGATTTATTGCCTTGTACAATCAACATATTTTTTTTGAGCAGTAGAAGGGATACACTTCACATTGATGATCGACCGAAAAGAATAAAGAAAATCGTTCCCAGCTGCGCAATGTGGGACGGAACTTGGTGCTTCGAAAGAACAGTCTTTTGTGATGGTTGTTCGCAACTGGAACGTCTCCAATTAATCGTTCTGGTACAACCTCCAGATGATCTGCACCAAACAGAGGCGAGGCTGCTTCGCGGCTGCATAAAAGCCTGCAGTTGGAGTACATCAATCAAAACGTAGTGCCTGCGCACACACCGCAGGAAAAATGCGTCCGGTTAGTGATAGATAAGCAGGCTTATTGTTTGATCCCAGGATCCGCCGTGCGGGTGCGGCTCGTATTTCATGTTCTTTCACATAAAAAGGTTAAATTATGTCAATTCAATCATTTGTGTTGCCCTAAGCGGTACAACTCGTTCTTGCAAATAATATCTGTCAAAAAGAGAACAGTGTCTTTCGTTCGTCCGACTGGAGGATCCACCCGCGCTTGATCCTGCATGGCCGCGGCTGCGGAGAGCAGCGTCGCACAAGCTTCTTGTGGGAGTGGATTCACCGTGCGTGCGCACCGCTACGCGCACGGCACCTTGAGGAGCAGGTCGTCCAGGCTTCATGATAGTGCAGTACGATCAGCCGGAGGCAAGAATACCATGTGATAGGCCAATCCCTGGATAATAATTTCTCCATCCATCTGCAGCTGCACCGTAGAAGCAGTGAACGAAAACGAACCGCCCCGAACGGCGAGGACGACGCCCTCAGCCTCGTACTTCAACTTCTCGTTCTCGCTTCGGGCCACACCTTTTTTCAGATCGTGGAATACTAGTAGCTAGCGGATCTTCCGTGACGAGTACAAGACATGGGGCTGCGACACTTGCTTCGTGCGGCTTTGATTTCTGAACAGCTAGTTGCTCTTCAGGGCGCGTCCGCGAACGAGAATGTGTCAGACGTGGAGCAAAGTGGAACTGAGAACACGGGGAATCGGGGACCGAGCAGAAACGAAATATGAAGTGCAAATATGTCTGGGACTGGAAGAATCAAAAGTTTGCCATGCGGGTTTTCCATGACCGACCCATGATGCTACAGATTCTGTGAGGTCGCTATCATGCCTATCATGTGCGTGAGAAGCTTCCTCTGGCCGTGGTCAAAAACCGACTTTTAGTGGTAATTATGCAGCACAGGTCTTCGTACGGTCCAGACTTAGCATGACAAGTTCCAGCAGCATTTTTCCAGACCCAGAGACATTTGTAATGCATAGGAGACCGAGGAAGAGAAGTGGGAGAGAAGGCACGCCGACAACAAGCAAAAGCTTCACACACTAAACGCGACGGTTGTGAAGCTCGGAAACTGGACTAGTGCACTTTACAGCCAGGTGGTGCGAATGACAAAGGAAGGGCTCGGTGAACAAGCGGCGAAAGACCTCAGCCATGCGGCCGATTTAACCAACCGGGTTGCACAGCAGCAGCTCGACGTCGAAGAGCTGAAGCAGAAATTCAATGATGCCATCCAGGAAATAGAACAAAGCCGCCAGACGCACTTCCAGGACCTCATCGGGAGATACCTGGCGGAGGAGCTGCGAAACGGTGCCGCGACCTCCCTCATCAACAAACTAATTGACAAGCGGGTTCAGGAGCTGTTCAACGCCCAGCTGCAGAAGGCGCTGGCTCTAGTCGACGACCGGAACAACGGAGATGGTGTTGGAAAGAATCAACAGATTCAAACAGGATAGTGTGGTCTTGAGAGGAACAGTCGGTCTACTTCTGCCGCAAGTAGCGCTGGAGGCAGCTCGGCGATGAAACTTGTTCACGAAAGAATATCTTGTCCCCAAGTAGGAACGCTTCGAGGACGAGCATACCTGAAACGAGACTAAGTAAACATCTATGATGTCTCCTGGAACTTTACAGTGACAAGAAAGAGCAAAGAATCCGCCCAAAGATAAGAGCCACTGGTCAAAACCTTGTTGAATAAAACGTAAACACTCAGCTGTATATCGAACCGGCAGCACCAAAGCTTGCCCGGTGACTCGCCGCGGCCGTGGTTTTCTGCCCTTTTTTCTTGGTGCGCTTATAGGGCAGGCGACCAATGCGACAGTCCCAGTCGTAAGAGTTTGTTCCTTCGATGAAGAGAAAAAAAAACGCTGTGATGAAACAAAGAACGCGCAAGTAGAGGTAAATTGCCCTGATGATCAAAGAAGAGGCTATGTATTAGCTTTGAGAGCCAGGAAACACTCTGAATTGTCTGCATACTTAGAAGTAAAGGGGTTGCAAAAACGCCAGTCCCAGTTCTGCAAAAGCGAGGAGTTATGATGTTTATTTAAGGGGATCTCTACTCGTACTCTCGAGCCTAATTTTCGCCATATGGCCCTCCATCTGTGTGTTTTTTCTTGTGCCGGAAGATCTCCGTGTGAAGACGGCAGTTCTGCAAAAGCGAGGAATTATGATGTTTAGGGGGATCTTTCCTGAGCCTACCCATATAATCCTCCATCTGTTTGTTTTTTCTGGTGCCGGAAGATCTGCTTGTGATGGAAGGAGAAGCAGCAATACAGTCACAGAACCAGACAAAGATGAAATCATGGACGGTGTAAATATTGACGCACTAATTAAGTAGTTGTATCTCCATCTCCGTTTTTTTTTCTTGATTTGAGCGCGATAGCTGATGCTTAGGGACCGATTACCACTGAATTCACCGACATTCCACTTCGAAGTCAATCATCAACACAGGACGACGCAAAATTTTGATGGAAAGCCACCAATAACAATAAGAAAGGAGTTGAAGTAGAAGCTTACTTTGAGATTAGTACAAGTTGAAGTTGAAGTAGAAGTTCGAAAGAAGTTTGAGATTACTACAACAAGGAGGCATCAAGTTTCCTTTATTAAGAATTCAACAAGAAAAGGAAAACTGAGAATCGTACGGAACTTCGCACCGCGTTCGGACTGCTTCTTGGACCTTGGCATCCTCAATTCGTTCTACCGCCGCACAAACAGGGGGAAATGCCGGTATTTAAATCTGCTAATCTGCCTCTGCACAGTAGTTGTTCTGCATGAGATGATCTTTACTGCATCTTCTGGATAGTTTTGTTATTCTTCTTTCAAATTTCAAAGAGAGATCCAACAATTCTTGAAAAAAAAAAAACAGATCTTCAAGAACGAATCCACGAAGAAGAAGGAGGCCGACGAAAAGGCGGCGATGGACCGCCGCGTGTCCTATCGCACGAACATCTCATGCCACTCCACACTCACTTCGATCTTTGCAAAGTCATACCTGTCATGCAATATATATATGACCAAGACCACATGCATAGGAATTGGAAATGTTTTTTTTGCAATCGGTTCTGGCCCTCCCTGATTATCTAAATTGGATCTGCATCTGGCATTCAGTACAATCTCTGTCGTTCTGGCATTACGACAGAAACTACATGCAGATACACAGCTCGGGCAGTGGGTATGGAGTGCAGGCCATTTTTGGAAGGATATCAAGGGGGTGGAGGAGCAGATCGGCGGTCTTAATTTATCAAATTGAAAAGAGTCCCCACCTTGTAACTGCAACGTATCGCTCCCATGAACAGCCGGAGTTTTGTTGTGTCCTATTGATAGGCCTTTCTATTTGATATCATTGCCCCTCAGCCTTTTATTCATTTTCACCACAGGTCATAGTCTTTCTCAATTTTTGCGACTTGTTATTTGTTTTGCACGATAGAAAGGCCGATTTACGATTTTGATGAGTAGGTAAGTAACTGTTTGGCTACTAAAAAGAAACAGAAATAACCCAAATTGAGTGATAATGTACATGAACACCTTGTTGTTGTTTTACGAGCATGCGCAACACAGAGGAAATTTTGTCCAGCAACCATTAGAGACCCTAGCTGTTTCGTAGGTACGTATTTGTTCAGGGGTGGGGACTCTTTTTGACATAATATTCCTCTGGACAAGAAGAACTTGCAGATGGGATGAATAAGATGGCCGATGGGATGACGATATGCATTGCAAATTTGTCTGGGTCTGGAAAGATGCAAACTTGTGATGCGTATCACAGTGCACACAAGAATCTGTCATGCGTGGAGAGCAAAAAGCGCCCACATCTCGCCACGGAAAGACGGGATCTGTCATGCGGATTAGGCATTGAATTTGAAGGACCTTCTCAAAACCTGTGATGCTAGGGCTTGCATGGCAGACTTTCTGGCATGCAAAAACAGCATTACAAATATGTGCACTTATCCAGACCCAGACACTTTTGCATTCGATAGGCGGAGTTGTCCCAACAGCTCCATGCGGGATTGCAGTTAAACCGGGAAGAAATCCAGCAAGAAGCCGCAGAGTTGCGGGCCGATCTGCGCACCGGGCTGGCCGCGGCGGACGCCAACACGGAGGCGCTTACTCATTGGAAAACGTCTCCGTCCCATGGCTGCGACGCAAGTGAAGCCTGTCGGTGTAAGTAAACTGCCCTTCATGTTGCGCAGCCCGACTGGGGGCGCGCGTTGCTGATGTTTTGGAATTTGTTATGCTTGAATCACCGTAAGCTGGCGCATCTGTGATGCTGTTGCACTGCTTACCTAAGCATAATTACACTACGATCCCGAATTTGTCATGCGCATAGCCAAAGGGGAAGCGGAAAAGCTGTTGACCTGTCTAGCATATGCATTGCAAAAGTATCGTACTTCTAGCATAAATTGCATTACCAATTTTATCAGAAAGAAAAATGTAATTTGTAATGCTAATTTAGGTAAGAAGGCAGGTTTGTCAGGCAAGACCAAGATTGCATTTGCAGTTAGTACGAGTGCGATACTTTTGCACTGGATATAGCAGACTTGTTCCCAGCCTGACTGTGGGGCGGGGGCGTTTTTGCTGAGGATGGCGATGCGACAGGAGCTGCACACCAACGTGGCCGAGATGACCACGTACGCCGATCAGAGCGCGGCCTCAGCCGTCCAGACGGCGACCGAGTACACGGACGCCCAAGTGGCGGCGCAGCGGCGTATCCACTACAAACGTGCGCAGTCCCGCAAAAGTTTGGCAGGCTGGTCCCGTCGACAACATCGGCCGCACTCCGGTCTTCTTACTCCCGTGCGGCATACAGGCAGACAGCATACGAGGTTCATTGCAGATTGATTCGCCCGCGTAGTTCGCATGATTCAACGGCTTGCAGCATGGCAGCAAGACCGCCCAGCACCGCTCTTCATGCGTTGCTCACAGGTCATGTTGCCACAAGGAAAGTCATATATCATGTCATCACAAACAGGGACCCGCACACTTTTCCAATGCATACGTCAGTTATTGGAGGCGGAGATGAAAAAGCGCGAGGACGTATCAAATGCAATATGTATGTATTGGGCTGTTGAAAAAATGAACGAGTTGTCATGCATCCCACGGACCGCTACCACACTCACCACGTGGCTTTGAATGCACGCAGAAGTATCACAGATCTTGCCAGACCTTTCCCAGGCCTGTCCTCGATGAGAACTCAGTTTTGTGCCTAGTGAGATGTGGGCAACTTTTGGCAGCCGTGCAACGCAAATTTCTTCTGTGACCAAGACTTCGCATAACAAGCTCCATCCTTCCAGGCCCAGACATATTTTCAATGCATAGGAGGAAACCGAGGCTGCTGCGCAGGCCGCGAAAGCGGAGGAGATCCAGAAAAAAGCCGAGGAAGAAAAGATCATATCCAATGCAAATTTGTCTGGGTCTGGAAGATTACAAGACTTGTCATGCAGGTTTTCCATGATCCCTGATGTCTAGAGTTCAGGTCCTAGCGTGACAGGTCGTTCTGTGAGGTCTCGAATATCATGCCTATCCTTCATGAGAACTTCCGTCTGAACTTGGTCGGAAGTAGACAGCTTTTGCTAAGCATGCACAACAGATTTCTGCATAATTCAGAGTGAGAATGACAAGTTGAAGTGTTCAAGACCCAGAAATATTCCGTTCGGAAATCTAAAAAAATGAACACATAACTTTACTGCAGTTGCCGTTCTTTTCTGCAGTTGCGCATGTGCCTCTGCTGAAAAACTTGCATTCGTTTCCTGGCCCCCGTGGGCAGAATGCGGCGGAACTGTCGTAAGTGGGGCGATTTACTTTTTGCCATTTGCGCAAACACTTTGGGAAGATGCGCAGCGCTTTTCGAGCCGGGCGACCGGGGGTCAGCCACGAAAATGGTTGTCGCACGCAGCACGCGCTTTGGCTTTTTACTTCGGAAGGGCGCGAGCGTCTTCTCGTGTTCTGCCTGCGCTCGGAGCCGGGAAAAGCCTTTTGCCTACCGCGCGCACCTATTTCGGCTCCGTCGTTGGTAGTGGTGATGGTGTGTGTGTGGTGTTTTGTCGTTTAAGAGCGGGAAAAAAAGTCGGCGTGTTGCGCCCGCACAGGCGCCGTTGTTTTGGTACTTGCCTGCGATGTCCTTGTCGCGTTCGGCAATCGAGGGCCGCGGCGGGCCGAAAAAAAAATGTTGCGCGCTGCGCGCCCGCAGACGCCCTGATCTGCTTCGGTAGCTGCGGGCCGGAGCGAAAAACTTTTTTCGCGCGCTGCGCGCGCAGGCTCCATGACCTAGTGTGGGCGCCACGTTCATAGTCTTTTTTTCGCGTCCAGCAGTCGGGGCCTGGCCGAGCAAATTAGTTCGCGCGCTGCGCGCGCAGGCGCCCTGACCTGGTACGGGCGCGATAGAGTTTTTTTTTCACGTCCACCAATCGGGACTGGCCGAAAAATGCAATTTTTAGCGTGCGCCCTGCGCGCGCAGGCGCCCGGACCTGTTGAGGGCGCGACATTTAGTTTTTTTTTCGCGTCCAGCGATCGGGGGCTGGCCGAAAAAAATTTGTCGCTTGCTGCGCGCGCAGGTGCCCTGACCCCGTGAGGGCGCGACGGAATTTGCTTCACGCGTCCACCATTCGGGGGCTGGCCGAGAAAATTTTTAGCGACCTGCGCGCGCAGGCGCTCTGGCCCGGTTTGGGCGCAACGTTTACAATTTTTTTTGGCGCCCAGCAATCGGGGGCTGGTCGAAAAAAAAACTATCGCGCGCTGCGCGCGCAAGCGCCCTGACCTGGTGGGGGCGCGGCTGAGTTTTTTTTACGCGCCCACCAACCAGGGGCTGGCCGAAGGAAAAAAATTTTTCCCGCGTTGCGCGCGCAGGCTCCCTGACCTGGTGAGGCCGGTAATTTTTTTGTCGCGTCCGACAATCGTGGCCTGCCCGAAAAAAAAAAACAAACTGAGCGCCCTGCGCGCGCAGGCGCTCTGACCTGGCGAGGGCGCGACATTCTTTTTTTTCTTCGCATCCAGCAGTCGGGGGGATGCCGAAAAAAGTTTGTCGCTTGCTGCGCGCGCAGGTGCCCTGACCTCGTGAGGGCGCGACTGATTTTTTTTTACGCGCCCACCAACCGAGGGCTGGCCGAGAAAATTTGTAGCGCCTTGCGCGCGCAGGGGCTCTGGCCTGGTTCGGGCGCAACATTCATAATTTTTTTTGGCGCCCAGCAGTCGGGGGCTGGCCGAAAAAAAATTTTCGCGCGCTGCGCGCGCAGGCGCCCTGGCCTGGTGAGGGCGCGGCTGAATTTTTTTTCGCGTCCACCGATCAGGGACTGGCCGAAGCGAAAAAATTTTCGCGCGCTGCGCGCACAGGCGCCCTGACCTGGTGACTCCGCCAATTTTTTTGTCGCGTCGTCCCAGCAGTCAGGACCTGGCAGAGAAAAGATTTTAGCGCCCTGCGCGCGCAGGCGCCCTGACCTGGTGAGGGCGCGACATTCGTGTGTTTTTTTTGCGCGTCCAGCAATCGAGGGCTGGCCCAAAAAAATTCTTACGTGCCCACCAATCGGGGCTGGCCGAAAAAAAATTCACCACCCTGCGCGCGCGCGTGCCCTGACCTGATCGGGGCGCGACGTCCATAGTTTTGTTTTGTGTCCAGCAGTCGGTGGCTGGCCGAAAAAAAAATTATTCGCGCGCTCGTTGCGCGCGCAGGCGCCCTGACCTGGTGGGGGTGCGACAGATTTTTTTTTACGCGCCCGCTCGTCGGGGTCTTGCCGCCGGGAAAATCTATTCGCGCGCCGCGCGCGCAGGCCCCCGAACCTGGTGGGGGCGCGACGCAATTTTTTTTCGCTTCCAGGTGTCGCGGGCTGGCCGAGGAAAAAGCGATCGCGCGTTGCGTGCGCGCAGGCGCCTTGGCCTTGGAGCGGGAAAAAATTTTCTGCGTCGCGCCCGGATGTCGGAGGCCTGGAGGCACCTGGCGCCGAACGTAGGCGCCTGCGTGCGCAGGCTGCTGCGCGCTGCGCGCGGGCGCACCTCAGACCGCGCGCGGCCGCAGATGATCCGCTTGTCGACAAGTGTGGGGACGACGACAAGCACTTCAGCAACTGTCACAGCAAGTGGCCCGCTTGTTTTTGTGCGAGTTGCCGCAGGCTCGCCCAAGTTAGTAGAAGGGGCTAAGAAAGTAGGTCTGTGCCTGCTGGCCGTTTTGTTCTGAGAGGAGGGTCGTTGCGTCAGTAGCTCGGGCCCCTATCTCGCCCGCGTTGGTTTTTGCGTTTCGCATGGGGAATAGATTCTGGGAACCCGCGGAATCTATGGGGCACACAGAAAAGGGCGGGAAGGAGACTAGGGAAGGGGGTAGCGACGCAGGTTGGGGGATCGGGAAGCGACGAGGTTGCGGGGATGTGGGCGTCGGGAATGAGGAGGCTGGCAGGCCTGATCATGAACTACAAGAAGATCTTCAACTGCGTGCAGGAGAGCCGAGGAGCTCCTCCCATGCATCTCCAGGGTTCTCCAGGACCGGATCATTGAGGGGCCCTCCCTTTTCCAGGTAGGGATCCCGCCTTTTTCAAGGAGGGCTCCGCTCGCCCCCGTTTCGAGAGGGAAGAAGCCCAAGATGGAGCATCTCGGCTTCCTCAAGGGGGGGCGGCTATGGTGGGGCCATCGTTGGCCTACCTGCGGGTGGGATTCATTGTTGCACGCCTTCTTCGAAGGGGCACTCCACTGCAGCCGGTCCTTCGGCAAGAGGCGACTGCAGGCGGCCTTGCATCAAGACGTGACTGCAGGGGGGCACATGGCAGGCCCGCCTGCGGCTTCGCAGAAGGCGAGGGCGGCGGGTCTGTATTGCAGAGCTGGCAGCTTCCACTGCCAAACAGATGTCCTCGACTGCAGAAAAGATGGCACTCACTGCAAAAAAGATGGCCTCCACTGCAAAAAAGATTGCCTCCACTGCAAAAAAGATTGGCCTCCACTGCAAAAAAGATTGGCTCCACTGCAAAAAAGACGCGAAAGGGGCACTATGGGGGCGTGGTGGGCAGGCCGTTAGCCGTTACTCTTTGTTAAATCCGTTAACCGTTGCTCTTTCTTCGATCCGTTATCCGTTACTCTTTGAAAACAACACTTTCCTGCAGTCCGTTCCATCTTTTCTGCAGTCAAACAACACTTTGCTGCAGTCGCTGCCTTCAGCATCATCTTTTTTGCAGTGCAACTGCAAAAAAGTTTAGTGTTCGAGCTTTTAGGACACGCCGTGCGTTTGATAGAGGAAGGCGAAGGAAAAAATCGCATCGGCATTCCACCTGATCACCGCCCGCGAAATCATATGAAATGCAAAGATGTCTGGGTCTGAAAGGATGCGAACTTGTGACGCGGATTTCACAACACAGACAAATCTGTCATGCATAGGCAGTCAAAGAGAAAGAAAAAGATGTCCATTTTCTATTTCTTTCACGAAAGTGGGGGATTTGTCGTGCGGTTTAAACAAGAATGCCAATGCGGAAGCTTCTCGAAATCTGTGATGCTAGGGCTTCCATGACAGACCTTCCGTGTCATGCAAAAACAGCATGGCATTGGCAAAAATCTGCACTCTTCCAGACCCAGACACATGATTTGCATTTGATAGATCAGAAACATTCGCGGCGACACGTTGCGCGGCTTCACCGCCACGGAAGTGGCGGCATGGGACGCCAACCAATTTAGTATTACAATACACTGTTTTAGTTTTTTCTACTGAAGTCGCTGGTTGGGAGCTATAGATACATTGTTTTCGTTTTTTCGTTAGCTTGGGAGCTTGTCTGCGTGGCGCGGTTTTGGTAATGCCACTTTTTCTTTTTTTCTCGTGTTTCATGTGTGGCTCTTCTCTCGGAAACAATGCCCAACAAAAATAAATGAACAGCCCTCGAGGCGGCGTACGCGTGGTTGGAGAACGAGAAATACGATCCGAACGTCAGTGCTGTATCGCCTGCAACCCGGGTCCTCCTGTTGCACCTACGTCGTGCCTAGCCTTATAGTTTTTCTTTCGGTTTAGACATTTTTGCACCCCGCGGCCATGTATCAAATGCAAATATATCTGGATCTGCAAGAGGGCGGAGTCTTGTATTTGTCATGCAGTTTTTGTTTTTGCATTTCTTTGCAACAGGGTGGTGGAGAATGCACGCAGAGCAGGACCAATTCTGTAGGAGGCTCTTCTTGCCTAGTCTGCTTGAGAAATTCACCGCCCTCGAGAAAACAATCGGACAGCTTTTGCTGGTTATGCACCATAGATTTTTTCTGTTCAAGTCCGCATAACAAGTTGGCATCCTTCGAGATTCAGACATTTTTGCAATGCATATTATGAAGCGCTAGAACAATTTATGAATAAAGACGAGCAGGTCATGGTGGAGAGAGTTTCACGCCTTTGGCGGCCGGGCATGAGATTGCACAACTCCCTTCCCCCCTCATTTGAATAGTAGTTATTCTCACACCGCAAACTACCTGAAGAGTGATGCTATTTTTGCATGACAAATCCACATCCAGATAATAGTTCTGTAGGGGCTTATGCAACTGGTCATGCAGGCACAGCCACAGGGCTCAGATAGAATTACGCACTTTGTCTGACAAACAATGAGGGTCAGGAGGGGTTGTGCAGTCTCATGGGGGGCGAGGGGACTGTAGTAGCTACTCGTCTACCTGTGGCGGAGATCTGCATTTGGAGGTCCTGAGGTTTCGTTTCATACGAGAAGTTGAACGAGCTGACGAAGACGACGAAATATCAAATGCAAGTATGTCTGGGCTTGGAAACTTGTGATGCTACAGTGTCGATGATGGAAACATGTCCGAATGCAGCCAAGCATGACAACTTTTCAGAACGGTTTCTCACGCATACCCCGTATGAGAAACTGCGTTTTTGATTGACAAAAGAGGCTGCGGGCTTTGGTGGTCATGCAATACAGATTTCACAGAAAATGAAGGCCAGCATTACATACAAGTTCCAGTGAGTCTTCCCCAGGCCTAGACATATTTGCCACGCATACCATCAAGGACTACTGTGCGAGCTTCACGGAAATATTCGTGAAAATCTATCACATTGAGAGACGTTCCTGCGCACAGAATTTGGAAATGTTTGCGTTGCAATGCTATGCCCAAGTGGAGACTCTGCCCATCTTGCTGCGCAGCAAGAAGCGGAAACTTTCGATGCAGGATTGGGCAGATTCGTGCTGCAATCGAAACAATGTCTCAGCAAGAGCACTGCCTGTCATGCGGGGGCTGCTTTTCTAACGAACGGAAATGGACTAACGTGGCTGCGTTTTGTCCTTTCATGTGAGAACACATAAAAGGGTTCCTTTGGAAAACTTTGTAACGCAAGCATTTGCATCTTCTGGGGGCAGGGCGTTTTTCATTTTGATAAGAACCGCAACGCGAAGCGGGACTATCGGTTGAAGGCGAACCTGGCAAAAGGTGCAGCGTTTCTTGACACTTTTGCCACTTGTCATGCGAACTAAGTAGAAGAATGCAATTACCTTGATAGAAGAGTCGGTTGAAAAAATCATTGAAGCGCTCAAAATTATTAAGAAACCAATACAACAAAAATTAGCGGAGGAGAATCCGCCGAGCAAGACGTGGGGAAACCCACGCATGGAAGAGGGCGCGTTGTCCTATCCGCAAGAAAGTCCTGGACTCGATTGCAGCTGGCACGTCAGTGCCTTACTGTGCATTCTATATTGCGATGTTTGTAGATCTAGGTGGCGTTGCGAGAGTGTTTCTTGGTAAGTCACACGCCCGAAAGATGTATGCATCCGCGGGCAAGTGCATTACTTAGGTGGCGTCGTTCCTTTTCTGACGTACGAGAATGAAGCAGGCAGGACCCCTACTCATTCAAGAAAAATGCGCTCAGTTGAGTCAAGACTCAGCTTCCATAGGTTGACTGGTGCGGAGAGTGGCGGAGCGACGACGGAGTGAGTTTCGAAAAGAAACGAGTAGACGTGCCACGAGCAGCGGAGAGCCCCTTATCGTCCGCTTGGCACATCAACGCGCCAACTTTTAACTTCTCAATAACAACGGCAACGGTAAAAAGTATCAATTTTCGTGAAGGAAAACAAAACAACCAGCATCAATTTTTCGTGAGGGTATCTAGCTTTGCAACAGGTTTATTAACGAGGTGGCTTAGAGACGTATTGTAGGTGGTTAGCTTTACAACAGGGTTATTAAAAGCTTCACAACAGCAGGTTTTAGGTTTACTATTTAGCACGTATCGGTGTATTAAAGAGGTACCATGACACACGCAACCGACTGACTCGATAGTGTGCTTTTGCTCTCCTCACGAGGTCGCTAATAGCACAAGCTGCCTCTGTCACTTGCCCTCGATTACGTACTAGGAATTTACCGGCGCGTAGGGTTAAGAAACCGGAGCAGAAGCCATTTCCTTCAATGTTTAGGTCGCTTCTCGCGGTGCTTGCGTTTTCTGGTCAGAGTTCACTATGACAGAAATAGCTCGCACAGCTCGAGTTGCAGGTTCGAAATTCATTGCAAAATACAGAACAGAGGATTAGGTGGTTTAGGGGTAAGAGCAGACAAGAATGAGTCTCCTTCTTTTTTATGCTCAACGCCGTCGACCCCGAATCTAGATAGTTTTGAACAACTTGTTTGCAATTCGAATCTCGAGGCACGAGACGGGAGCTGCGCCTTAATTTTTTGATATGCAAATGCAGTCGTCATAGAGAAGATCCAACTTGATTTTTTCTCCTCATCTACTGGAGCAAAGCACTAACATACTCACAAGATGTAAAGAGCCTTCTATTCGATGGAAGAAAAAAACATTTCTATTTGTTGGAAGAGAAAATGCGAGAGAGCCTTGAAGCGGAAAGAAGTTATTTCCTGATCACCTTCCAACGGCACTTATTTGATGGATGTGATGTTGTGTTCTAGTAATCCTCCGTGCCTGTTTTTTCTATGTTCGGCTCAGTTCTTGCGAGTATGTAAATTGCAGTTGTTCGTCCCTGTTAGACTCTTTCTTTCTGTTCAAAAGTCGTCGATTTACTTTCCATGTAATTAGCACTGTAAGTGTAATAACCTTCGAAAACACCTAGACTCTGTAAATTTTGATTTTCGGGCAAGTGTGAAGGCCGATCCCTGTCCATCGATACATTTCGTGATTGATTCTCCGTCTATTTGATCATTTGTTTGTCAATCCGTCGCCTGGCCGCTTTCATGTGTCGTATTTTGCTTGTCTGTTTCTGAACAGTGTCTCTTTCGTCTGCTCTTGTCGTTTCAGCAACGTCCTGGGAGATGCAACTGGCACCAGCGAGGGATGCGGATCGCCTGGCTGCGGTGGAGAGGACGGTAGGGGATGGTAGCTTGTGTAGAGCTATCAAATGTAAAAATGTCTGGGTCTGGAAGATTGCCGGCTTTGTCATGCACATTTTGCATGACTCCGCAAGTCTGTGATGCATGCCCTAGCATCACAGATTTTTAGAGGGCTTCCTGATGCCTATTCCGCATGACAAATGCTCTTTCCGTACTGCAAAATTTGGACTCTCTTTGCTGCTCATGCAATACAGATTTTTTTAGAATCCAAAATCAGCATGACAAGTTGGATTCTTCCAGAGCCAGACATTTTTACAGTTGATAAGAACGATCCCTACGACCGCATGATCCACGGTGCCTCCGCATGCGTTTTTTTGCAAATTCATCACCCGGTTTTTGTTTTATGAGACTGCGCCATGTCTCCTCCCCGTCCTCATTTGTCATGCAAAATTTGAAATCCACTTCCACTCCATGTGTCTTCTTCTGGCACTCTGTGCATGACAGTTTTCGGTTGACCGCGAAGCTTCACTTTGATCAACATTTAGATTTCTTTGATTTGTGATGCGCAAGACGCACTGATTGTCCATGCCATGCAAAAGAGCGGGGGGAGGCTTGTGCACCTCCATATCCGATCCGGGCTTTTTCTTCAGCCGTTCGAAAACAAGCGATGGCGATATCATACATACAGAGGTCGTTCATTAAATTGAAAGGGCGTATACTCAGGGTGGAAAGAAGCTTTTTTAGGCTGAAAAACTGAAATCCTTGAGCAAGTTGTAGAGCTCAAACGCCCCATAGAAAAGGTCATTGAACATACAAAGGGCACTGCAGGTGTCGTCACCACCTGGGATTTAGGGGGAAGGATCGCGTTTTGCACGGGATACGTCTTCATGACGCACTGCAGCTCAGTCGAAATAACTTCGATGAAACCCGAGACACGCTCGACGAAGTCTCAAAACGCGTGAACGCAGCGGTGGGGGTCTCAGAATGAAAAAATTCTCCTCGTCTTTCTATATAATTCGCAGATCCAAGCAAAGTCTGTCATGCTGAATCAACATCACTGATTTTCATTTTTGGGTAGAAATGCATTATGTCAGGCGAAAAATAACGGAAGCAACAGCTGCCCGCGCGTATACGCGATAGATGCAAAGGGGCAACAGCACCACTGCCCAACCCAGGCCGTGCGGAGAATAGGCACTGTCCGATCCTACTTACAGAACGAAACGGGTCGTGTAGCCGAATAGGCATCGTCTCAAATACATACAACGATACCTGGCTGGTAGTGGTACTAGATTTTGCGTACTTATCTATATGAACGGGAGAGGGATTTTTTTCGGTGATAAGAAGACGCGGAAGGCGCAAAGAAGCGGAGTCGGGACGCGGAGCGACAAGCCGGATCTGCGTTGGCCTTGGCTGGTACGGCACTGTTTCCTTTCTCTCCACCACCGTCTTCACAGAAAAACTTATTTTCGTTTTGTTGTTTGTCATGCTCATGCGTTTAGGTTTATGTCTGTCTGGAGAAGAATGATAAGAGCAGATGTATTCCGATGGATTTTAGACCAATCCAACGCCACTTGCCTTGGCTCTTCATGTAAAAATTTTTTTCTTCGGACTTGAGTGTCTGTTTCGTTGGGGAGAAAGGCAATTTTCCGCAGGACACATTGCGAGGCGAAGGCTGCAGTTGATTCATATGGCGCGCGCACGTGCAGCCACAATCTTGAACTTTTCAGTAGTGTAAACCAAAGTAATGGGTAGCATCATGCGAAAGAGAAAGAAGGATGCGAGGACTCGTACTTGTTGCTTTGTGGAACATGGAAAAACAATTCTGGAGGTGAAAGAGGAATCGGAATAAACGGAATTCACCGAGCCATATAAGAAAGTAGTAAAATCTCTTACTTACTGTTACAACTTACAAAGTTACTACAACTCATTCTCAAACACCCACAAGAAAATTTATCGGACAGTTTTCAGATCGCAAGATCTCAAAGATATTGTATTGTTGCCACCACATGACTATCCTGTGCAAAAGTATCGTACTCGTATATATAAAAAATGCAAGTCTTGCATTACAAATCTTTCCCAAGGCAAATCTGCATTACAATTTTTATTTCTCATGCTGAGGAAATTTGTAATGCGTTTATACGAGTGCGATACTTTTGCAATTCATAATGACGAGACAGATTGTTGTTGTTTCATTGCGTGAACGAGCCATACTCCAATAAAGACGGCCGGCGAGACGGCAGCCGGAAAGGCAGAAACAGCTTCGCGGGCAGCAACGGAAGCTGAAGACGCCGCTGCGAAAGCAGGAGCAGCTTCGTCGAAAGCCCACGATGCGGCGAAGAAGGCGGATGATGCGGTGTCCTCGTTGCGGAAACCCGGCACCGACGAGCTTTGGGAATGAACCCTAATCTTTTCACAATGAAGTGGTCTTTCATGACTCTTAGTTTTTGTAGAACATCTTCTTGGCTATTCCACTTGCTGTGCAGGGTAGTAAGTAGATTGATCTGATGCAATCCCGCTTCGTGCATGTTCTCATGAAAGTGGACGTCAGCGAAACAGCCAAAGAGCGTACTAGTTGACCACTTGCATTTCCTCTCGTGAAGAACAGGAAGTGGGCTCCTGCGCTGGTAGCTGGTCCACAGCCAGCGAGACGTGTTGCTGACTGGTCTAGGTCTCGAAGAGTATTTGAAAGAGCCGGCGCTTCAATTTTTTCACCTGCATACAATTTTACAACCTTTGCTGAACAGCTGCTGGCGCACCTTGTCCCGTGGTGCGTGAAAAACAAACGCTGGCTCTTTATTCTGCTGGGGTTTTCAGTTTTCGCACAGGCTTATCAAAAGTGGTGAGACTGGGGCAGTATTGCCTTGTATGTAATGCATGATGGAGCCGATGCCGTTGCGGTTGCCGTGTCATGTCTTCCCCTGGGGAGCCTCATTTTTTATTTGTTCCTTGTTCTGCGGAGGGTTTCCGCGGAAAAACCGAGGGAAAAACCTCTCAGACACCACTACACCGTCCTGTCTTGGAGGAACCCCCTTTTTTTTTTGCCTTTTTCTGTACGTCTTTCTTTGCACGAGGGTTGGGAAATCCTCGCAATGCTGCCACACTTTATTACTCCGTCGGAATGGGGACAATCATATCCGGGGCATTGTTTCTGAGGTTTGACCTGTCCTAGGTCGGGGGCATTGTTTGTGAGGCGTGCTCGAGGTATCTCCTGCACCTCGGGCGCCCTGCAAAAGCAAATTGGCCTGGTTGCCACTTCAATGGGCCAGATTTGCCTCCTTCGCCCAGTGCAAGCATTTTGGCCCCTGGGGGGAACCTGGCAACTTGACAAGTTCAAAGGGTTTACGAAGTACAGACAGCATGCAAGAGCCTTGGTCTGATGCGGACTAGACATGTTCAATCTGGATTAGGTAGAATCCGCTTGGATAAGTTGGTGTTGAACGCATTTATTACGACAGTTGAGCAACCCGCTCGCCCCAGCAAAGGAAACTTCAGCATGAAATTACTTAAGCAATTTTTATATGTAGGTGTGAATGCACCCCAAGCCCATGGAGAATAAACATCTTGAGGTATCTATAATGTCAGGTGAACTGCAACATGCATTGTTTATGTTTTTGCTTGGTAGAACGGTTTTCATGCAATATTGATCCTGTATCGTTTGGTTTGGAGCGGTGAAGAGTCGAATTGCAGTCCGGTTAGTGCCAGCAGCACTAGCTCTAGCACCAGCAGTGCCACGACAAGAACGGAGCCAGCCGCCGACCTCGCGGAGGTTTCGGGCAAGTTGATCCGAGCTCTTATCAAACCGATGAGAAGTAATGTCAGTGTTACCTTCTTTGCATAGCTGAAGAGCAATAGGAAAGAAAAACATAAACATCGATCCAATATCAATAAATATGCTTACGCAGTAAGATGTGGACTTCCCTTGTTTTTTGGCAAGTGAAGCAGCTCGTAGTAGGTCGGCCATGGAATTGTGGACCCTACTACGACGAAGCCGTTCACACGTGAACTCAGGTTCGTACGGACACACTGAGCTCTTGCGATCCATACCAGAAATACGGCAGATTTTGAGCGGTCTTCAAACACAGCAAGGAGAAACGGTCGTGGAGTAAGAAGACGTTCTTTTATAGTGATAATGATCAAGATCAACATCTTCATATACGAGTACTCAATAAAAGTTGGCCTAGCCGAAGCCACTCAGGAGACGCTTCAAAAATGTCAGCGGGATGTGGAAGTAGCACATCAATCGGCTATTGTTCGGCAATGTAGGACTCGTGCTGTTGTCCATATTGAGAGCTGATTGTAACAAAACCACAGCAAAGAAAACCCCTGGTTGAGAGAAACTGTCGTGAGAGCGCCATTTGCATCACTGCGACGCAAGTCGTCACCAAGAAGCTTCTTTGCGATAAGTCGTTGAATGTTTCGCACTCTTCCCCCCAGTATGGTTTCGTCGTCCCTCAGTGGTGTATCTGTCGTTGCCCTCGTAGGAGGAGAGCAGTGTCGAGCTTGTACTGCACATTCAGGTTGAGAGCAATTACGAAAAAGCAGCGTCTGCAACTCCTCTTTCCGATTTTCGCTTCAACATCGCTGGGTATACTTAGACCGTGAGATCTTAAGTAGTGGACTTTCAGTTTCTAGATGTAATGGAAGCAGGGAAAACGAAAAAAAATTCGACTATGTCGCTGGAATAGCTGGAAAACCACCTCATGGCCGCAGCAGCTGCTGGTTCCGCAAATATGTCGCAAGAACAGCCGGCACAGCATGCCGCACCAGCGGCAGGGGTGCGGCCGGGCGATGTTGTCGAAATAGACCCGCGCGTGATGTTCCTTGTCGACACGATGTGTTGCAGCACCCTCAGCTCTGTGAGAGAGGTCATCACCCTGATAAACTTCAAATTGCGACCGCCCGAGCAAACCCAGCAATTGCAGATCGCCCCGTATCCGACGTGGGACGAGATAGTGACGAAAGCAGAAGCGGCGGGCGCGAAGATGATCGAGGCTAGACGCTACATCATGAGGTACCGCTCGAACCTCCAGGACGAACTTCGAAGCAGGACGCCCGCGCGCGGTGCAGAGAAGGATATTCTGGTGTTTACTCCGATTGAAGAGGCGATGTTGGACCTTTTTTGCAACTACGTGTTTCGGAGCTACTGTGCAGAGAAGTTTTCTCTGTGGTGGAAGTTAGATGCCGTACTGGACTACATCCTACAGGAGGAGAAGGACGACTTCGACCAGCATGAAGCTCTGCAGGCGAAAAAGTGGAGTGACCGTGCGGTCGCGACGCTGCTGGCGCGGGTGAAGGAGGTAGAAACGTTGGAGCAACAGGTGAATCTGTTTCTCGAGGCGGATGTAACCTACAAATCAGTCGGTGAGTACACTAGGAAACTGGAAGAAGTGTTGTGCTCAAGAAGCCTCGTCGGAGCTACACCAGTAGGGAAAATGTTTGAGGCCACTCTGACGGGTCTGCAGCATTTCGGGACAGATCTGCTCAGCAAACTCTGCGGCTGGGCTGGTTACCTCAAGGCTGCTCTGTGCATCGCGATAACGTACATCGACCTTTATTTCTTTGCCGAGTATCACATTGTGCTGCAATGGATTCCACGTGTAGTAAAGAAGATATGCTAGTAGAATGAAAATTGTAGTTGTAGTGACATGTCTATCCAAAACAACCAAACCAGGGCCATCGTTTTGGCGGCTCTCATGGTGTTTGCGGGCTTTGCCAACGCGCGACCGGGCGACGCGGATTTCACCCCGTTTGTCCGCGGCGGCTTTTTATTTGAACCACCGCGATTCTAGGGCGACGAGAACACCGAGAGACAAGCAGGCGGACTTCTCAACAAGACGTATCATCTCATTGGCAAACGACGGAAGCGTGAGCACGGCGGTGGAATCCGCAATCGTACCAGCGGATCAGAAGAATTGATGAAGTCGGCGATTACAAGTTTTAGAAAACCGTTGTAGGAAAGCAGAACGGTAAAAACCGGGTGGATCGGGCTGCAGAAAGTGTCTATTTCCGTTTATCGTGCTTTTTCTTGTGCTGCAAAATTATTGAAGAGTTTTGGGTACAAAATAATGTTTGTAAGATGTTTATTTGTCGTTGTCCTGCCTCCAGATGACCGCAATGTACGAACAATCATCTGTTTTGAGCTACTTCGCTAGAAGGCTGAATGCCATGGTCAGGACTGACCATCATTAGCACGACGAGAATGAATAAAGCCAGTTGTGATGAACAAGGACTATAAAATTACAAATATTGTTTCGCGTCGGCTTCGGGCTCAAATAGTCGCATCTCAAATATGAGCGTCGGGTAAGCAGTGCTGTGGTTATCTGTGCGCCACCCGCGCAGCAGTCTCGGTTGCTCATGAAGCGTAGCTTTGTCCGTTTCATATTCATTCTCATTGCGTATAGAGTGTTCGTCGCGCAGGATCTGCACTTGTGTCGTGTGGGATGCAGTGCCCATACGGCCACACAGATCAGAGCACTGCTTATGCGCGGCTCCGCGGCGTAGAACCCGCTTCATCATTGGTTTTCAAACTACAGGAAAGTACCACATCAACCAAGGAAGTCGACTTTCTATAGCTTGGCTAGCTTTTGCGCGGCCACGCCCACTTCGCAAACTCGTTCTTGTCGGTTTATGTCGCAAAAAGCAGTAGCCGTTCGGTCTTCTATACGAATTTCAGGGCTTCGCCATCATACCTCGGTTTCTATACCCTTTTGGCTCTTCCTCACATTGGTTGGATCGGTTCGAGTCGACCTAGAATCTATTCTGGCCCGCGCAGAAGCGTATCAAACTGTTCCACACTGCTACGATCAATGGCGCGAACTTGGATCATTTTCATACGACTCTTCTTTCATTCTCCGCAGTACATAGAATATAATACAATTTTTACCCTGTGCCTAACATTCTCCAACTTTTTTCCCCTGTTGTGGGCCCGCTCGTACAACTATCAAACGAAAGAGTTCATCCAGTGCGGCAGTAGAGCACCGTACCAAAAGCTCCAACACATATAGTAGATCGTCATGTCCACCTCAACACCATCACTCACGGACGAGGACGGTGTGATCGAAACCCCACGGCACACATCCCCGGCCAAGGTGCTCGGGCGGGAACCGCCGGGGTCCCACGTACATTTGATCACCGATATGCATTGCAAAAGTATCTTCGTACTCGTATTGCAAGCTATCATGCATCACAAATCGTTTTTTTAGGGTAAATCAGCATTACAAATTTTATGCCTAATGCTGCCTGAGGGAATTTGTATATGCAAATATACGAGTTCGAGTGCGATACTTTTGCAGTTCATAACCGATGTGGTACAGCAATTTGTTGGCAGGGAGATCCGCCGGGATTTGCGGCCCTGGTGCGTGGTGGCCCGGATCGGCGAAAGGAGCGGGTGGTCGTGGAGCTACAATTATGAGCGATCCGGTGTGATCACTATGCATTGCAAATATGTTGTAGTCTGCGTGTAGAAATAGAAATTTGTGTTGCTGATACCCGCATCACAGCGTAGCCGCTTGTACGGCATAACAGCATCAGAAAGTTTTCAGGCTTGCAGTAGATGCATTCCTCAAGACGCATGACAAACTGGCTTCCAGCAGCACGACAAAATAAGAACTGGCGATGCATAGAATTCCCGCATCACAGATCTTATGGCGTCCTTCACATCTTGCATCACAAATCCAGAGTAGAACCCAGACATGTATTTGCAATGCATAACCACCTGCTACAACCAGTTTACCAAGCGCCCGGGCGGCTCGGTAGCCGTCACGCCACTCTTTGTCGTTCACTACGTGCCCATATGAGAGTGCGCAACTCGTCCCCCTCCCCCACATTTGTCATGCAAAGTACCTAATTTACGCCTTGGCTCTTTGCACTGTTTGCATGACAAGTTCGGGCTTCCTGACCACAGTCCTGTCTAAATTTGTCATGCAAAAATTGTATTCTTGCTGATGCTTGTATTGCTGTTCATGCAACATCACAAATGAGGGGGATGGGGACGAGTTGTGCACTTTCATAGCCCACCGGCATCGCAAACGAGGCCGTGGAAAAATACGCGGACATACGGGCGCACGTGTGCCCCGAGAACGAGGTGATCGCCTTTACCAGTGCCCGGGCCTGCGTATGGGGTTCTCGAGAATTGCATTCTCAACTTTTACATGCCTTCAGTTTGTCATGCAAAATTGCCATCAAGATTTACATGATCAGGCCGCTTCGCATGACAAGTTCTCAAAGCGCTACACGGCATTCGAATCTGTGAAAAACCTGTAATGCATAGCGCGCAAGTAGCTTCCCATTTCCGCTTTTCTTTTCTCTATTCTTGCATTACAGATTCATGTAACAGTTGAGAGTGGAACGTTTGAGAACTCCATACTGTGCGATCTACCTGAAGAAGTGGGCGGGAATAGAAACTCCAGAGATGGTCAGCAGAAAGATGGTATCAAATGTAAAAATGTCTGGGTCTGGAAGATTGCCAGGTTTGTCATGCACATTTTGCATGACTCCTGATGTCTGTGCTGCATGCCCTAGCGTCACAGATTTTGTGAGGGCTTCCTGATGCCTATACCGCATGACAAATGCTCTTTCCGTGTAGCAAAACTTGGACCCTCTTTGTTGCTCATGCAATACAGATTTTTTTAGAATCCAAAATCAGCATTACAAGTTGGATTCTTCCAGACCCAGACATTTTTACATTTGATAGATGGACTTGAGTATGGAAGGGAGAAGGGGAATGATTTTCATTTTGTCTTCATAATGGCCACGCGTGAAGATTATGATTGATAAATCAGGAGCAGGACAAGAAACCGTTCTTTCGTGTCCTCCTGCAGAATGGAATTTGTCACGCGAAAGAGCTTGTTGCGACAAAATCAAAAAACCCATCGTGATACAAAAATAAAAATCCTTTCTCCCATCCATAGTAAGCGTGAAGCATCTCGTGGAGCGCAGCAAACCCTGTCTGTTTGGCGAGACCATTCTGGCTATCAAATGCGAATATGTCTGGGTCCTCTGGAAGATTGCAAGTTTGTCATGCTTGTCTCACATGACTCTTGAACCTGTCATGCGGGAGCAGGAAAAGAGTCTCTCGACGCCTAAAATGTAGCTCGTCATGCGGAATAAAGCGAAACAACCACAAAGGAGCCCAGAAACTTGTCATGCGTGGCTGCCTATTGGAGTGCTGCCCTCACAATTCGTAAATTAGCATCACAAGTTTCGGTTTCCAGACACAGACATATTTGCAATGCATTCTGGCGGCAGAAATCGAAGGGAGCATGAAGAAACACAAGTGGCAGCAACTGCATATGGCGCTCTCAAGCGTTGCGTTCTCAACGGTTCTTGCATGGGTTTGTAGTGCAAGACCATCAAAATTTGCCGGGGACATTTTGCGCCTCTTGCATTACAAATTGGGAACAGATAATATCCATGCTATTTACCCCTTCCAGAATTTTCCATGCGTGCCAGCTTCATCCTCGTGTGGAGTAGACTGATGGCAACTCTGCATTGCAAAAATCATGCAAGAGTTGAGAATAAAACGCTTGGGAAGAACTCCATACTGCAGACAGAGATGATCATCGAAACACTGGAGATCGTATCCTGTGCAAAAGTACCGTACTCGTAGTAATTGCGAACATGCATTACAAATCTCCATCCCAAGGTAAAACAGCATGACAAATTCCACTTGTCACGCTGAGGTAATTTGTAATGCAAGTACTACTAGTACGATACTTTTGCACAGCATAGATTGTCGAGGCAGCACGGGACGTGCGGGCGGAATGATTTGTTTCGTCGAGGCTGCAGTGGAGGGTAAGAAAATACGTGTGGGTTGAATTTGTAGCTCCATTCACGTAGGCGTAGGCCTCCAGCTGTCCAGCTAGAAGAAAAAATGATCCAACCATTCCGGGGGAGCACATTGATAATTAATTAACACTACAGAAGTATTCGTCCCCTCAAGATCAAGACGGCGTTTTTAATACTTCCAGATCATTTTTCTGCCCCTTGGTCCTGTCAGAAAGTTTTTCGTGAAAGTACCTACGGCGTTGATGTACTGAAATGATCTTCTAAAGAACAGTGGTATTGTACTTGTGGAATCATGGTAGGAGCAGTAGTAGATGCAGCTTTGTACTACGGATGAAATACCTAAAGTACTAATGTCACGTCTTTTATCTGAATCGTCCATATCCACTACGGCAGGAAAGAACGAAAAAATGCCGTGCTTCGTACATCATTTTGATTTTGATTCCTTTCGTCCTTGTTGTGAAGACCTCTTACTGACTTCATCGGTGCTGTAGAATTGATTCTGTAGAGCCAGCAGGCTAGGAGATGACTAGACTTGGTCGGTATGAAGATGCTGATATGGCGTCTCACGCAGCATCACAAAATCAGAACATCATGTTGTGTCGGTTTGCGTGCGTATAAGAAGTAAACGTTTTCGGTCTGACACAGAAGTACTTTCAACATCGTGCATATAGCTTTGATTTCGTCCTTCGACGTCAAGATTGTGGAATGCCAATACCACACGACCGTCGTCCAAAACTCGTTCTCTGGATAAGTATTTTGTCGTGTTGCAAAGATTTTTGGAACAAATCTCGAGGAGGTCGTAGTAGTTTTCTTGTTTTTGCAAAATTTCCTCTACAGTGCTACTTCCTTATGAATGTCTCTCCCGCCCCAGAAGTCTGAAAGAAGATATCACATGACAAAACGTCGTAGTACCCCCGCGCATGATAAACTAGTTTCCTCTCGCAAGTTTGTGACATTAACTAAACCCTCTTCCTTCCCCCTACAAGACTATCCGCAAATAGCAAATTCTCCATAAGTAATCAAAAAATTTTTCAACTCTACTCTGACCATGCCCCCACGACATCAACCGGGCTGCGTGGAGGTCCGTTTTCTCGAAGATTTTTCTCATCAAAGCCACCTCTCCTGTAGTGGTTTCCGCATGACAAATTTCGCTCGCCATGACGTCGACTAGTGGGTCGACGTCTATTTTGCCGCAAATCGAGCAAAATAACTACGTCGGCGGTAGTAGAGGAGAACTAGAAGAGCGTAGTCAGTTGAATTTCGCAGCGAGCAACTACTACACCGGCAACCCAACTTCTGGCGATCTTCAAGAAACAAGGCCAAGAGAAGAAAGTCCAGTAGGATTAGAAGTGAAAACACGACGAACATCAAATTCCAACAAGAACATCCTTCGTCAGCAGTTGGAGCAGCTGCGCCAAGCCGGTGAGTCTATTCGGTTCCGCTTAGGCTTACCACCTGGGATTTCCGTTTCTAGCAAAGCGCTTTTGGCCGTGAACCGGTTCAAGCGGCTAAGCAGCCGGAAGAGCTGCACCAGTAAGGAGCTTGGAGAGGAAGAGGACGAGGACGACGACGATATTAGACCAGCACGCGACAGCGCTGCGGAGGCAATTATCGGGGTAAAAGGCGAGGAGCAGGATCAACAGATCGTCTTGCAAGAAGAGGCTCTGTATAATTTCCCCCCGAGTTCCTTGAACTTGAATCAGGAAGACGAGGTACTAGAAGAGGCACAGAAGACCGGAGGTGCAAGAACTACTGCTGCGCAGAAGTTGACAGCACAACTACACAAAGACGATCGCGACACGACCCTGGACATCCGAGGAACAGCATCTTCACCTGGGCTTCGACGTCTAGACCTCAATAAAACTGCGTCCCCGCACAACAACAACTTTCTTTACAGGGACCGCCTTACCCCGCTAGAGCAGGGCTCTTTATCCTCCCGCGGTATCGGGCAGGCCATGCAGCCGACGGGGTCTTCCGCCTCCAATATGCCACCCAAGACGTGGTTCCAGTCAGACGTGGGCCTCGGGCCGTTGATTCCAAAGGAAAAGGGGAAAAACGCACCTGGCGGCGTCATTTTCGTTTCCGGCGCCCCGCAACCTCCGCGGAAGAAAGGCGTCGGCGCAACGGGTTCGACTCCGCCACAAAGCCCCAGAGCCCACCACGATTCGGACGCGGCACGACGGCCGCGCGAGCCCTTGAAAATTCACCCGGGAGTTATGGCGAACAAGCAGGCTGGCAGTGTTCCACCCAGACTGAAACGGGCGGTCCTTCATAAGGACCCGAGCAAGCCGCAACGGAAGGTGGAGAATGTGGAGGAGAAATTGTTTTCAGCACCACCCAACGTGGAGCAAGTAGAAGCAGTGGAAGAGATTCCCGTGTTGTTTCCGGATTCTTATGAGAATTTGATGAACGAAGAGGACAATGTGGCGAGCCATGCTGCAACTACTGGGTCGCCAGCAGCCATCAAAAAACCTTCGCAATCCGTCGTTCCAAAGCCGGCATCTCCTCCTCCGCAACAGCGTGCGGCAGCAGCTTCATCTCCCAACGCCCCGTCCTCGTCTACTCAGAGAAAGGTTTCTTTCGTCACGCCGAAAAGCGCCCGGCCACCGGGTGGAGGAGGTGGTGCCAGTACAGCAGCGGCTAGTACAACTACAACTGCTACACCAAGTACAACGACGAGTACTCGACCGGGTGTGGTTACTTTTTCTCGGTCCGCTACCGCCCCGGCGAAAACGAAAGCAAAAGCAGTGACCACCTCCTCCAAAGTGCCCGTGGCGATTAGAGGGCGTGGCATGCAGCCTGGTGCCACGTCTACTGCGAGAAGCCCTGGGGGTGGTCCTACTTCTGTTTCCGCGACGAGGCAGATGCCCACGACAATGGTGCAAGGGGAGTACATGGTAAAACCGAAAGTTTCCCGCACGAGCGCCAGTTACGAGGCTTTTGTCGAGATTGAAAGGACTGCTCCGGCGGCTGCACCTCCTACGCTTCCACCAGCTGGTGTGCCGGACAAGGCAAAGGCTGCGGAAACGTACAGTCCCGCTGAGCAAGAAGAAGAAGATGGGCCCGTGCCAGCACCGACTAGCACAGGAGGAGCTGAAGTTTCTTCGACGACAGCACCGGTGACTTCCATCACTGTTCCCGTCCCGCGCAAGAAGAAGGAGCAGCAGAATATGGTGTACGGCTTTGCGCGGTCGGGGGTCAGCACGACGTCGAATGTCTCAACGGCGTTGGGAAACATCAAGCCAACTGCTAACCCTACTGTGCCGCCAACGCCAGTGAAAACGCAGGAGTCGCAACAGAAACAATTTATCCAGTCCCCCTCCGGCATGACAAATGGTCTCGAAAATTCGTCCCCCGATGTATCACTTTCGCCCGCGGCAAGGGGTGGGAGAGGAACGACTAGTGGTGAGAATTCTAGGTCGCAAAAAACCCGATCGGGGTCAAACAGCAACTCCATCGTGCAGGACGAGTACAGTGGCATGCCGCGGATGTCGGTGGAAGGGTATGTGGAATCGGGACTGCGAGAGCGAGGCTCTTCTATCGGGACCAACGCCACTAATTCGAAGAATAATTCCGTCGTGCAGGACGGGTATTCGGGCATGCCGCGGATGTCGATAGAGGGGTATGTGGAGTCAGGACTCCGCGGCTCTTCCGGGGGCGAGGCATCTGCTGGTCGTGGACAAGATGCAGATGATTACGAGAGCGACGACCTTGTTCGCAACACTTTTATCCAGCAGGGCTACACGGCGGAACCGAAAATGGAAGTGGAAAAGTACATGGCGTCAAATTTGCCCGGCCGCGGCACGGAACTCGTGGATGCGATTAAGCAGCAAAAAGCAGACGAAGAGACTTTCAAGCAAGAGCAGCAGCGGTCTCGGTCCTCGCCTGGAATAAACGCGGCGGGAACTACACGCGAGAAAGCCGCTGGCGTGGTTGCTGTACCACAAGTGGGTAAGTGTTCCGCGCCGAACCTTCAGAACCCGAACCGACCAAATGACCGTGGCAGCTCCTTAGTGCAGGGGGAGTATACCGCTGCAGCAAGGACAACTTCGATGGATTTAGTCCAGCTCCCCAACACCGCAATGACTGCGCCTAGTTCAACCAGAACGACGGCGCAAAGCATTCACAGTCGGACAAGCGCGCCGCATACCAGGCCGACTTCCCCGGCTTCGGTATTTCACAAGGATGGGGTGGTAAATAAGTCAATAGCTGCAAATAAACCCGGTGGAATGAACAGCGCAGCAACTGGCAATATTTCTCCTCCACTTAGCCGGTCCGCAAGCAGTTCCTCTTCTACCTCGAAGAAGGCCCGCAGTACGAGTGCCGCTGTCAACAGCAGGAGCACGAGTAGTAGGCAAGCCTCGCCGGTGATACGTTCGAAAGCGAAGCCCATTACAACTTCCAGCTTGACCAACAGCCGCCAGCCCTCCCCGAACATCTCCGCTTCGAAGCGGCAGGTGGCGGCTCAAGGGAGTAGTATCAAGCCGAAGTCCTCCTCCGTTCCCCGGGGGGTCAAGAGCACCTTGTCAAGCGAAAACAAAGCGATGCCGCCTGTGCAGGACCAAAGTAAAAAGCCAGTTGCAACATCAATCGGCGGGGGTGCTGGTGGATCTTCATCATCCGCTACTCCCTCCCAGCAACAAGAGGTGACCAACGTCATCGCCCACCAACCACAAGCTCCGATCGTGCCTGAAGAAACTGACCCCGCCGCAACCTCCGAGGGCAGGCAGGCCTCCCACACGTCCGCTTTTCATCTGAAACGGCTGAAATCCCGCATGGGCAGTCTAATCGCGCTGGAGGGCGCGACGAAACTCGCCAGGGAATCAAGGGGACAGGGGAGTGGCACGTCGCTCAATGGCGCAACGAAAAAGCGGAAATCGATCGTGAATTCCGAGATGACAAAAGCCGGCGTGCCCGAATCCGGCCGGCCACGGGAAGCATTTGGCGGGTTCGATCTCGCGAACAACACCAACCCGAGCAGTCCGAGCGTGTCCTCCGCGTCCGCGGCACAGATTGTGGACAGCCCTTCACAATTGAGGTTGATTCAGTCCGCGGAACGCATGGAAAAGCTGGTGTCGGAACTGGTGGAGAATGAAGAAGAGGAAAATCTCTTCTTAGAACGAATCCAAGATGATGTTGACAACTACGATGCGGACGGTATTTCGACCGACGCGCAGACGACTAGCTTACTGTCCACGCCGCGACGACAGGAAAAAACACCTTTGGGAGCAGCGATTCCTCTTGTTGGGGATACTAGTAACGCCAGCAATACAAGTTCCTTCCCTTCCCTCTTCGTCGACGCAAAAAGCGGCCCTAGTTCGCCAGCGCAGGAGTCGAGAACGAATATGGTCGTACAAAATAAACCTCTGGGTGGTCATGCTGGACAACTACCGGAAATAAACAGCAAACCACCGCAAGAGGACGATGTAACATTCTTCGACCCGTTAACCCCGGAGGAGCACGTGAGTCAAATTATCGACGTGTTGCGGACAACGCTACACGAAGTTCCCAAGGACATCGCGGACACCGCTTTAGACGAGGTCGACAAAGCGTTCGCGAAAGCGCAAGACCGACTGTCGCTTGCGGGCCAGGGATATCAAGTGCAAAAATGTCTGGGTCTGGAAGGATGCAAGTTTGTCATGCTTGTCTGGCATGACTCGAGAATCTGTGTTGCATAGGCACGAAAGAGCCCTCTTAACTGTCACGCGAAAAGGCAGTTTGCCATGCGGAATACGTAAGACATGGCAGCCACAAAGTTTGTCATACGTAGCTGCGTACTGTGGCGCGTCTATCATTCACTTTTAGCATTACAAGTTTCCAGGCCCTGACATTTTTGCATTTGATAAGGGACGGATGGATTTGGAATCTTTGAAAGACGAGCTGGACATCGTTTTAGCGATTTTGTCGCCGGAGCAGGCAGACAAGGTCTTGCAGCACTTCGCCGCGATTGCCGGCGTGCCGCTTCCGCAGCCGGGGGGTGGGAAACAAGGGAACCAAGCAGCGGCTGGTCCTGCGGAGAGTTCGAAGAGTTCGGACGAGCAACAAGCTCTTGCAGAGGTAGGAAAAACAAGCGCAACCCCAACTACGCCACTCCCCCAAAGACAGGAAAACCAGCAACTCATCCAGCAGATCGCCGTCGGTCCCAACCCCGCGGAATTGGAAAGGGTTATTCACCGCACGCTGGCAAATTACCTGCCGAGTAGCGACATGGCGGCACAGGTCATGGAGCGATTACTGAAAATCGCGGATGTTGCGGTGGACAGAATGTCATCAATGGCGCCCCCGCCTGCGGAGATATCAAATGTCTCTGTCATGCGGGATGAACAGGAAACGACGACGACGTCAGAGAAGAGTGCTGAAAAGGACCTGACGTTTGCCCAACAGCAGGAAATAAAGCAGGAAAAAAACTCTTCCCAAGAAGCTGTTGCGAAAATGGACAAGAAGTTGGAAGAAGTGGATCACGTTTTGAAGCAGTTGGATAAGTTCATGAAAGGGGAGGATAGAAGAACATCTGCGAATATTAAACCGAGTACTACCGAGGTAGAACAATCGGGACTTGAACAACAAGACGTCGACGTTGAATTATCTGCAAAAAGTACATCAACCAACTCCGCCGAACATCAAAGACACACCGAGACGAGCAGCAGTAGAAAACACGCCTCTAGCAAGAAATTTTCCACAACTTCTTCCTCCACCTCTCACTCTTTAATACTGGGCCCCGCAGCTACGGTGAGACAAAGATCCACCATGTTTCTCGACGATTTCCTTGGCCGGAGGTCCACTTTTGTGAACAACAGAAAATCCCTTACCGATCAGGAGCGGCAGAAGGTAGAGACCCAAGTTCGCGAATCCGTCCGGTTTTGTATTCAAAACGCGGCGGAGGAAGCTTTCACGGCGTGGCATAGGAAAACGTCAAATGGAAATGCTGGAACGAAGCCGCATTCCCGCTCCGGGTCTCCAACGGTACAAACAAGCAGGTTCTCCCAGAACCAAAAGCCGGCGGAGCAGCAAACCCAAAAGCAGGACGATTTTATCAGTCCAGAGGTGGTGGAAAAAGCGAAACTTGCGATTGACTTGGATTTGGAAGAGATCTTCGACGGACACAACATTGACCGAACCCACGCCATGTCCATGAAAGCGCGCACAAAGAAATTGGAGTCTATGCGCTCGCAATTGAGCTCGAGACAGTTGGTATCATCGAGAACCACAGCCCCTAGTTCTGGTAAGAATTCCGCTTCCCTTCCCCTACCTGGATGGCTGTTGAAGTACCAACAAGCTGCGAAAAGTTCCAGCAACTTGGGTACAGGCATCACCGGCATGACAAATGCTACAGTTCCAACCGGTCGGACTTCGAACAGCCCGGAGCAAGATTTCCGCATTGTCGCGATCGGCGAATTAGTCACCAAATCGGTGAAGCTTGCTTTGGAAGACGCCGCGACTACCACCGGCGGCGGCAGGAGCGACATCTTTGTCCGGGGGATTGCGAATCGGCTGTATGATACGTTCGTGTTTGATTTGGAAAGGGGGTTTTCCTACCTAGATTTGGAGCGCGGGATGCCGAGTGAAGACATGGGAAACACGTACGAGATGCAGGAACATGATCAATCTTCAAATTACTGTGTCGACGACGCGGTGAACCAACAGATAAATTCCGCGCGGTTGCTGGAGTTCGAGAACGAGCAGACCCAGCGGAATTTTTTAGCGATGGCGGACCAACAGGGTGAAGATGACCATTTGAACATCAATTACAACCGAGGACTAGACAGCCGGTATTACAACAGGCAATTGCAGAAATCCTTAGCACGGGACGAACGATTTTCGATCGACAGAAAGCGAGGAGACAATGATTTACTATTTGCGTATAATGGAACTGGAGCAGGTACAACAACTACCGCTCCTCCGATGTTGAACCAGCAGAATTCGTTGTTACCCTTGTTTCAGGATGATGATGAAGGGTTGGAGTACGAAAACTTTCTCCACTTGCGGGGCAGAAGTCCGACGGTGAAGGAGGGAAGAAATAAAGAACGCGGTGGTCCTGTTCCTGCTTCTTCTACAGTCGTGGGTGCTGGTAGATCGGTGAAAACCAATCGGGGGAGCTCTGTTTTGGACTGGCCGACAAGGACGACAGGGATAAATGGGGTCGCTACTGTCACTTCACCCGGAGCAGGTGGCAAGAATGGTCACTACTACCGAATTGTCCCGGAGTTCACAATCGAGAACAACGAGGAGAGCAGTCGTGGAAGTAGGCTGTATTCAACTTATCTAGAAGATAGGAACAGCCAGGAAGGACAACCTCTGTTACAGCAGGATCGAACGACTACAGCCGCAGCAGCTACACGACAGAGTGGACGAGCTCCAGTGGGGCCGTCTGGTGGAGTTGTTGCGCCAGCTGCTCAACATTCTGCCCCTTCTGCTTCTGCCCTACAGCCGTTTCAGCAAAAATACAAAGAGAAGCTCCAGCACTCAAGAGAACTTTTCGCCTCCGTTTTCGACGATCCGGCTACTTTTAAAAAGTCTCCGAACAACGGAGTTCCGGATTTGGTGGTGCGATTAACAGAGACAGAAAATGACATGTCCTACCGCGCGAAGGGAACGTCGCAGAACATTGCGGCGCTGAAATTACTGCATGAGGCGATGCAGAAGGACAGCTACACGAGATTGTCGTCGAGGAGATCAAGCAATTTATTTTCGGCTGCACAGGGAGACGGGTACGAGGAGAATATGCTGTTGGTTTTGCCCGAAATCAGGCAGTCCTCTTCGGGAGCAGGAAATGCTGCTGTTGGCGGAAATAAACGGCCACGAGGCACGACTCAAAAGCTGCAAGCGCTGAAAGAGTTGCACGATAATTTACATCGGGAGGCAACTTCTACTACTACCCGGGAAGATGTGGATTCTATCGGGGAGGAGGAAGATGTAGATCTTCGAAACTCAGCCAATGCTGCTCCGGCGAACGATGCGCAAAATAAAGAGAGTGGCAGCCAAAGCGGCAGTTTGACAGCGAGAAACCGCAGCTTCAAGGAACAGCAACATTCTCCAACGGTAGATGAGCAGGAGCAGGCAGCGAAGATCGAGAGGCTTCGGCCGGCGGATTTGAAAGAACGCGAGGATCATGTTGGAAGTCCTCTTCACATGACCCGTACAACCCTTGACGCGGAGGAAGAAATTGGGCAGTTATCCGACCAGAGTTTCCAGGCTTGGACGAGCTTCTTCAAAGTCTTCCTCTACTTCTCGGTGTTGATCTTTTTACTGTTTGCGGTGGAAACTTTTTCCTTCATTTCCACACCATCAACAGCATCGAGTAGATTTTCCTCCTCCACCGGCCTTCTATGGATTGCAAAAGCGTCTGGGTCTGGAAGAGTGTAACTTGTCATGCTACATCTCGATCGTGGAAAAATTTGTGTTGCATGATTACCAAGAGAGGTCCACTTTTGCACAAATTTAGAGGCAGTTTCTCATGCAGAAAAGGCATGATAGAGATCTCACAGAACCTGTCATGCTAGGCCGTGCATGCCAGACCGCGTGGGTCATGGAAAACCTGCATGACAAACCTAGCAATCTTCCAGACCCAGACACTTTCGCATTTGATGCCTCCTCTTCCGAGACTACAGCACCGCCGCCGCAAGTAAACGGGCGAAAGAGACTATGACAGTGCACAACTTGCCTTCGCCCTCATTTGTCATGCAAAATATCTAATTTACAACACCTCGGCTCTTGGCATTGTTTGCATGACAAGTTCTGGAAGCGGCCCAAATAGTACTACATTCCTTTTCAAATTTGTCGTGCAAAACGTGTATTCATGCTGACGCTTGTATTGCTGTTCATGCAATACAAATGAGGGGGAGGGGGAGCTGTGCACTTTCATAGAGATGCGGAAAAATGTGCTGATGATAAAGAGGAAAAACGAAGTGAAAACGGCGGCGCAAAGGGGGAGGACGCAACGGGTCGCGAACCGGTTTTGGAGTTTAATAACCGGGAGGAAGGATGTGTCGGATAATAGCAGTTTTTCATTCAACAGTAACTACGAATCCACCAGTCTGCTCCTAAACCGAGCCCGGCGGATGCAGATGCGACACGCGATGTACGATAGCACAACAGGTGGGGCCGCTAGTTCACAAGCACCGGAAGGACGAGATGGAAGTAGCGATGCATTATTCGACTACCAGGAGGAATTCTACGACTACACTAAAAACCCGTTTTACAGCCTGGAGTTTATCAACCCCGAGGACTACGAAATCGCGAAGCAGCTAGAGGTGCAACGATTCATGTTTGGAGACTACAGCACCGCTACCATGACGGAGTTGACTGCACCGAATTATAACGCGGCCTTTTCAGCGAGAACACCAAGTGGAGCAACTACCTCGTCAGGAGAAGACGAAGAAGATCTTCTCTATCCAACCTGCAAGAACCCGTTGATTTACCGACAAGTTTCCTGCAGCCCGCTGCAGTTCTTCGTGGGTGGGTGCCTTCCGGACTTGATCCCGGACGCGTTCGGGATTGTGCCCGGGGCGCAATATTTTCTTTCCAGGTTTGAAAATATTTTTCCGGACGTTTTGTTCATGTACTTTTCAAACGATATGTGGCGGGAGTGGTTTTTGGCTCGGGTTTAATTAGAGTATGGACGAGGAGGAGGATTGGATCGCGTGTACATTAATTTAGGACTTTTTTTTTCGCATAGAAGAACTTTCGCTGCAGTACTACAAAATACATCACGCCTTTGTTTCTTGTATATTATGTTTCTTGAGATTTTTTCGATTTTGAATTCTTCGCCAGAATGAATCAGCAGTATGTTGTTTAAGAAGTGGGCACTACGCTGTCACAGGTAAGAAAAGTAAGAACGCCACCAGGAAGGATGGCCGATCACGTTGCCCGCGGGCACGATACTGGACGTTGCATGTGCGGCGTGCTTTGTTGTTCAAAGTATCCTAACAAGCAGATCGGCTCTATCCGTAGCAAGAATCGAGCACTTTATCCTCATACACTGTAGTACCTGGAGGTTTCGGTGACGGTGCATTGATTTCAGTGAAGTTCCTTCTCTTGTTCGGTTGAAAAACCTCCTCCCAGCGCATCTGTCTTTTTCGAGTATATTTCTTTGGCTGTTTAAGTAGAAAACCAAAACTTCCATAATCGCTGGCTCATTCGGTAATAGAGACATTTTCCAAGATCCAGCATGCATGCTGTCATGTCAAGACAAACTCAAAGAGGGGTTGTCCTCCATCAACATGATCGGTTGCGAACACCAAAACGCATGTCTTCCTCTCTATCCGCACCATTCGGTTTGAGTATGCTGGACAAAGCAAACATGGTGCCGTCGATGCGGTGTCTGGTGGTGCCAAAAATTTGACGTCGGTGCAATGGCGAAAGCGAATTAGGGTTTGCTGGCTTTTTACGATATTGCTTGCACCATTTCTATTTAGACTTTTTTCGAATCTTGTAAATCCGATGCGTATAATTTTCTTTTTCATCTTGGCAGTGTTTTGGCCCCTCATCGAGGCTACTCTCACTTGAAAATGACTTCTAATTTGATATCACCAAGTTGCTAGACTGAATTCATGATTGATTTCTTTAGACACTAGAGACAGTTACAATCCTCCAAAGAACATCCTGCTTTGCTGCAGCAAAGTTCTCTTCTCCGCTCACAGGAGCCTGGTTTATTTTCCTTTTCCTAAAGTTGAAACACCTTTAGATTTTTGCTGAATTTGTTATAGCACATTCAACGAGGACGATGCCACGATCTACCTCCCGATCTAGCATCGGGGCACCGCAGCATAGTAACGGTACTAGCAGCGATAACCTCGTCCACATGAACAAGTACACTCATAATATGAAAGACGAAGACGACGACGACGACTCTTCTATTCCCCTCGCTGTGCAGATTTTGATCGAGAAGGAAGCGAAACAGCACTACCTGCAGAAGCACGCGAACACAGTGCAGCAGTTTGAAGAGGACCACGAGGACGGATCTTTAGCGCTGCAACTCCTCGCCCAGCGGTATCCCAGTGGGTACGACAATGGTGATAGGGTATCAACAAACGATTACAGCCACCGAGCAACGAAAGCCACATCGCTGGCGTATTCGCCTCTTTCTAGTAGCCCGGCTGAGTCCACTAACCCCAGCCGAAAAACGTCAAAGGCGTCGAATCGAGGGGGTGGGTCAATTGCTGTATCCCGTGTGAATAAAATGACGTCCTCCCCAGTACGTAGAAAGACCCCAGAGTCAAGAGGGGAATTTATTGGCTGGACAATTTATTTAGCAAGTTTTGTCTGTAGATGCGCTTTTTGCGCATGATAAGCTCGGTTTCGTAGTGTAAAAATCATGTTTATTAGCCTTGTGAAACCGCATCGCAGATCGAGCATCTTATACTGGTTTTTTCAGCACAGCATAACAAACTGCCAGACAGCATAGAGAAGATGGCCCTCATGGTGTTGGGGCTACTTCTACGCGTGAGAAACATTTTAGGCTTGCAGCTTTGCATGACAAAAAGTCGTCTCGGGCCGTTTGGACAGGGTGGGCAAAGTGTGTCGCATTTCTGCTTAGCATGACAAGTCTGGGACCACGTTTTTACACAGGATACTCAACAAGCTCCAACGGGGCGCAAAGGAGGAGCAGCAATCCGGCAGAAGCATTGTTTTTACACCAAATGTCTCAGGATGATGAGCACCCGGTCACAGTTCCAGAGATGATCGATGAAGAAGAAACTGCATCACTCGTCCCATTCTCAACACCCTCCGTCCAGAAAAATCCCTCCTTCGCGCAACTAGAGGCCGGTCGGACCCAGTCAAAGCGAACGAGCCAGGTTCCTAGCCGAGCCACTTCGGGCGTCTCCACGGACGGCAAGATGAACTACGGGGCCGTCGTGTATAATGCGCAACATCAAGATCGCGGTGGTTTTGTCGACCCGCGGAGCCACATGGTGGAAGAAGTGAGGAGAAGCCGGGTGTCGGGGAATCAGCACCTGCTTTCCGTGCAGGAAAAAATCGAAAAATTTGAGGGCTACAAAGCTGCTGGAATCGACTACAATAGCAAAGGAACAACATCAGGTGGGGGCAAGGGCAAGGGGAAGAAAGGAAAGCGGAATGACTCTAGTACCAACATGAGTAACTACTACAGCACTTCTTTTGTCCCACTGCAGGCACCCGAAGGTGAAGCGGCAGGAGGAACTTCTAACCAGCCTGTGGTGCAGGAAGGAAGTAGACGGAGTGCTGCTGCAGTTGCAAATGCAAATGCAAATGCAAATGCAAATGCAAACCAAGCTGCTACTTCTAATATTCCCACGAGGCAAAACCGCCGGCCACGGGGAGTACTAGAGCAGCAGCAACAGCAGCAGCAGCAGCAGGGGGCGCAGACTCCTGTTGTTGTCCTCACTGGTGGTTCTACTGCAGCTCCTGGTCCTGAAGCTGAAAACACCAATAATCCAAAGCCGAAGCCAGACACGAGAAAAAAACGGAAATCCATTAACGGAGACCAGCCACAGAGCACGAATCGTTTTGGTATTTCAACCGGCTACAAGGCAATCAAGAAGAACCGGAAATACGTGTGGGTCCCGCATAAAGACCTGGTCTACACGGTGGGGTACAGAGCCTCCACCGGGTCCGTGCAAAGCAACGAGCCGCAGTTCGATGACTTCTTAACCAGTATTCTGAGTAAAAACGTCCCCACCCCAGAGTCAAGATGGGGAATCGGCTAGACAAATCCACAAGTTTTGGCTGTTTCGCATGACAAATTTGAACTCGTACTGTATATACTGTTTGAGGTAGTTCAGCAGCATCGCAGAGCTAGTGCATCGTGCTGATTGTGATTAGAGCATGACAAATTCCAAAACACGACTAGACAATGCTTCTCTTTGGGCTCCGCATGAGAAACATTTTCAGCATGCAGATTTGCATGACAACGCTGGGGCGGGGACGTTTTTGCAAATGATAACCAGCCCGACGGACCAGTTGACCGTCGGCGCACTTCACGAAGGTCCGAAAACTGGCTTCACGCAGTTCGTCGCGCTGGGGGTGGAAGTGGCTGGTGCTTTATGCATTGCAAATATGTCTGGGTCTGGAAAAATGTCAGGTTTGTCATGCTCTGCTAGCATGACTGTCAAGTCTGTCATGCAAGGTACCCAAAGCCGCCACTTTTGTGTCATTCAAAAACCTAGTTTCTCATGCAGAATAGGCAACACCTATCGACTTAAAAACCTGTCATGCTGAGTGGTCATTTCTGGCGTTCTCTTGCTTCGCCAACCAGCCTGACAAGTTTCCAGACCACCCAGATATATTTGCATTTGATATGCTTCGGGAAACAACAATAAAACGGGTGCAGTAGTAGACCAGGATTCATCTTCTGCGCTGAAAGATGCGGGCAGTAGCAGGGAATTGGTCGACATTCCCGATCGAGAGGTCGCAAAGCTCCAACCTGTTGTACTCGAGGACCAACTGGCCGAAGTAAAGGACGTTTCCAAACTAGCGACGGTAAGTGAGGCAGCGGTGTTGGAAACGGTCCGGGCAAGATTTTACTCCTTCAATTTCTCCCCGAAAACAAGCGATATGTACAAGATTTACACACAGGCGGGGGACAATGTGCTGATCTCCATGAACCCGTATAAAGCAATGCTCTTGGAGAACGCGAATAGCAATGAACTGGGGAAATCGGAGTTGGAAAAGAGGAAATCAACATCCGCTGCTCCTTCCGGTAGCTTGTACGGGGAAGACGTAATCTGGCGTGAGTACCCGCCGACGGCGTTGGAAGGTACGAAAGACAACGAGCAGCAAGGCGGAGCCACAGAAATTTCAAACACGAAGCAGAACAAGAAACTCCCGATGCTGCCTATCCTGTGCAAAAATGTCTCGGTCTGGGAGACTCCGAGATTTGTCATGCACTTTTTCCAAGCTCTCCCACGTCTGGAGGGCAGGGCCTAGCATCACAGCTTCTGCAGCTCCTTGGTGATGCGTATTCAGCATGAGAAATGCCCTCTCAGCATGGCCAGAAGTGGGCACCTTTTGCACGTTTATGCATCACAGATTCTTGTAGGATCCGAAACACGCATCACAAGTTCGGACTCTTCCAGATCCAGACATTTGCATTTGATACTGCCGCACTGCTACAAGTCCGCACGCGACGCGTACATGGGGTTGTATACGAACAAAAACCAAGCTATGGGAGTGTCAGGATCGAAATCGACAAAGTCGAAAAATTTGTGATGCACAAAATCGATGCCAGTTAGACCCACAATTTGTAGTCGGCGCATGACAAATTTCATCCCTTGTTCTGGAAGCGAATCTGTCATGCGGTTTAGGGCAAAAGAGCTCTCCTTTGTCATGCTAGTGACCAGCCCAATAATTCTTGATCCTTAGCAGGACTACAATCTGCTTCCCTTGCGTCCTCTGCAATAGAGTCACTTCTTGTGTCGCATTTTCTGCATGACAGATTATTTCGACTTTGATGCCGATTTCGATCCTGACGCTTCCATACAAGCACTCCTCATTTCCGGCGAATCTGGCGCGGGGAAAACCGAATGCACCAAACTCGTGTTGAAATATTTTGCCACCGTGTCCTGCGACGTGGTTTTGAAGTCGCAGTCATCCTTATCCTCCTTAACCAGCCAGCAGGCCCCGTTCGCTTCGTTCAGCAAAGCGCGGGCGGACCAAATAGAGCTGCAAAACAGCAGTATTGATATTGAGGAAAAGATCTTATCTTCCAACCCGATTTTGGAAGCTTTCGGAAACTGCAAAACGGTGAGGAACAACAACAGCTCGCGGTTCGGCAAGTGGATCGAGCTGAGTTTTGTCAACCAGGCGATCATCGCGGGCTCCAACAGCATCCGCGCCGCGCAGTTTTTCGAGAAGCGGTTGCATTCTGCGACGATCCAGGAGTATTTACTCGAAACAACCAGATTAAGCTCCGAGGGCCCGCCGGCGAACGAGCGGTCGTTTCATGTCTTTTACGAGCTTATCAAGTGCAAGTATGTCTGGGTCTGGATGATAGCGAGATTTGTCATGCAGTTTCTCCAAGCTGCACAAGGTCGGGAATGCGGGGCCTGGCATCACAAGGCCTCTGGAGCGCCTTGGTGATGGTTATTCTGCATGAGAAACTCTTCTCCCCCAGAGCAGAAGGGCAGTAAGTGGGCCACATCTTTTGCAAGTCATGCAACACTGATTTTAGTTTGAACCCCAACACGCATGACAAGTTCACTGTTTTCCTTTTCCAGACCCAGACACATTTGCAATCCATACAGCTGTGCCGCGTGCGGGGAGAGGACGTTAGTTCGTTTGATTTACTGACCGCAAGCAGCGCGGCCAGCAGTCGGGATAGCAACACGAACAAAATCTTACAGGGTATCGGGCTGCAGACAAGGCAGGCGACTTTTCAAAACATATGGATTGCAAAAGTGTCTACTGGGTCTGGAAGAATGCAGCTTGTGATGCTGCATTTGGATTCCAAAAAAATCTGTATTGCATGAGTAGCAAAGGGAATGCAATTTTTGCTACGCTGAGAAGGCATTTGTCATGCGGAATAGGCATCAAGAAGCCCTCAAAAGTTCTGTATTGCTAGGGTATGCATCACGGACATCATGGCTCATGCAAACCGTGCATGACAAGTCTCAGAATCTTCCAGACCCAGACATTTTTGCATTTGATAAAACAACGCAGCAAGCAACGCGAGCCAGAGTTTTCGCGACGACGTGAAGGAACACCAGGTTTTGAAACAGGCTTTTGAGAAGCTGAACGTGTCGAAGAAGCTGCAAAAGGAAATATTCGACTTCACTTTCGCCTTACTGCAATTGTCCAACGTGATATGCAAGAAAAAAACTGTGTAAGTGTAAGTCTGTAATGCAAAGCATGCCATACTACAGTTAGACTTGTCATGCTGGCCGCCCATAATGCCCTCTTTCATACATGTTTTCACTTGCTAACTGTGCATGACAGGATTTATGCAGAACAAATTTCTCATGCTATCACCCAAAGACACCTACACTATCACAATTTTTTTCTTGGATACGTGAACTTCGTCTCGCTAGAGCAGGAAAATAGAAACAGCACGACGGACCACGCTGGGCAGCAAAAGAAGAAAAAGTCCACCACCTTGGCTCCGCCGAGCCCGAGCCAGCAGTCGGGGTGTAAACTGTCGGTGAAGTCGAAGCGCGGCTGTTTCGAGGAGGTGTTGAAGCTGCTCAACGTGGCGAATAATGAGTTGTTCGAAAGAGCTTTGACCAGCCGGAGGATCTACGTGCGGAATAACGAGACTACCATACCGTTCACCGCGGAAAAAGCGAGGCAAAGCCGGGACGCGCTGGTGCGGGTTTGGTACAAGGAGCTGTTTCGGTTTCTGGTGCAGTTAATGAGCGACAACATGCAGGTGGATGGTGATAGCACAACTTCTCCAGTAAAAGGTGATCCGAAATCAAACAAGATCGGCATCCTGGATATTGCGGGGTTTGAGTCCTTTGACCAAAACGGGCTGGAGCAGTTATCAAAAGGAAAAATCTTGCCTCCCCATATCGAAACGAAGTGTCTGATGCTGGATTTCAGTACACAATAAATCAGATTTGTCTTGCAGTAGAGGACCACTGCAGGCATATGCCAAGCCTGAGCCGAGAGGTTTTGGCGTCGGCCCCCGGCATAAAAAATGTCGACGGTGTAGGCCCAACAGCATCACAAACCGCCTCAATACTGCGTTGGACTCTCTCAATGTGCTTTCTCGCAAGACAGACAGGATTTGTGGCCACAAATCTGCATGACAGATCTTTAGAGAGATGCGCTTCCAATATGGGGAGGGGGAATTTTTCCTCACAATAGCAGTTGCTTTTCAACCTGTCCAACGAGGCGCTGCAGCAGCATTTCAGTTATCAAATGCAAATACGTCTGGGTCCTCTGGAAGAATGCAACTTGTGATGCTGCATCTGCATTCTGCAAAAATCTGTATTGCATGAACAGCAAAACCAAAAGACATCCAGTTTTTGCCACGGCGAGAGGGCAACATTTCTCATACGGTATAGGCATCAGGAATCCCACACAAAATCTGTGATGCTAGGGCATGCGTCACAGATCGATCAGGAGTCATGCAAAATGTGCACGACAAACCTTGCATCCTTCCAGACTTCCAGGGATATTTGCATTTGATATCAGTTTCATCATTTTCAAACTGGAACTGGATGACTACAGGCAACAGGGAATAAAAGCCACCGAGGAAATGACGCAGTCGTGGAAAAAGATCGACAACGCGGACGTCCTGCAACTCCTTTGGGCGCCGCAGTACTCCGTTCTGGGCTTTCTAAACGAGGAGACGTTAGTCCCGAGACCGGCGACCGCACACTACGTCAATGTGATGGGGGATTATTTTGCGGAGGGAAAAAACATGAGCCGCTTAGTGCACCCGAAATATTTGAAGGACCGGTTTGGGGCGAAGCAATTCCGGTTTTCGATCCTCCATTACGCCGGGGTCATCACGTATGATGCGACGGGCTGGATGGAAAAGAATGTGGATACATACCCGAAGGAGGCCGCGCTGTTGGTTGAGCAATCGGGGTATCAAGTGTAAAAATGTCTGGGTCTGGAAGAATGCGCGATTTGTCATGCTTCTCTGGCATGACTCTTAAACCTGTCATGCAGGTTACCCAAGAGCCCCAATTTCCTGTCATGCAAAAACGCAGTTTGTCATGCAGAATAGGCAACACCTAGAAGCTCAGAAACTTGTCATGTTGAGCCAGCACTTATGGCTTCCTCATGATACGCCACCCAGCATCACAAGTTTCCAGACCCAGACATTTTTACATTTGATACGGGGCTGGATTTGTTGAAAAAAAAGCTGTGTCCAGCTTTGTACGCAAAGACGGAACAGGACCGCACGACGGGCACAGGAGACAACAACTCTGCGGATTTGTCCAACAAGGCTGCACGCAAAATCGTGTTAAAGCCGGTCGCGAAGAAGTTCGTCGAGGAGTTACAGCACCTGCTGAACACAAAGATATGCAAGCACAACCCGCACTTCATCCGGTGCATCAAGCCCAATGATTTGAAGAAGCCGAATCTGTTCAACTCGCGGCTGGTCTTCGAACAATTATTGAACACCGGGGTCATTGTATCATAAGAAAAAACTGTTTCACTGTAAGTATGTTGCAAGTTTTGCATTACAAGTTCGCTACACATTACAAAGAAACCTTGCCATGCAAGGATCCCAAGGGAAAACACCGCTAAAAATCACTTGTCTTGCATGTGTAGCAAGACAAACACTTCAGTGATGCATTTTCTGCATCACAAGTTCACAGTGAAACAGTTTTTTCTTGCGATACATTGAGTGTATCAAGATTCGCCAACTCGGGTACCCGATATCGTAAGGAAAAATTCTCCCTCACCATATCGAGAAGGCATCCTTTTGAAAATTTGTTATGCTGATTTGTGGTTACAAATCAGGTCTGTCTTGCAAGAGAGCAAGGCCAGAGCTTGCGCCGCTTTAATACGCAGACGATTTGCAATGCTGCTGCGCCAACGGGGCAGACGTCTGCCATGCTGAGCGCCCACCTCTAGCCAGACCCTTCCAGGCTCTTGATCTGCCTGCAGTCCTCTACTGCAAGACAGCGCTGATTTGTGTACACAAATCCCGCAACACAGATTGCCATTTTGATATGGGGAGGGGGGATTTTTCATTTCGATACCCCAACCGCTTTGACTACGTTGCCTTCTACGCGAAGTACAAGTCCATCCTGTGCAGCAAGTATTCGAAACTGCGAAAGCAGCTGGACAAGTGGATGCGGCAGGCGCGAAAGCAAGCACTGGCGGCTGTTCCGAACGACAAACAGGCCGCGGCGATGAAGCCAAAAACCGCGTTGGAGCAGGCGAGACACTCGGCCGCGCAAGCCGAAGCGGCGCAGATGCTCGGGTCCAAGATTCCGGAGACGGTGCAAGCCGTGGTGAAGCAGCTGCTGCGCGAAATTTTCATCGGCGGGTCGAAAGTAAACCCGTTTTCGACCTATTCCTGCGCGTTTACACGTTCGAACAAAAACAACAAAAAGGGAGAGGAATTTCTGGAGGCCAACTTCCAGTACGGGAAGACGAAATTGTTTGTTCGAAACGAAGGCGTTTTCATCCTGGAGCAGTTGTTGGATTACGCCATGAAGATTCTCCGGATCCAGTCCTGGTGGCGCATGTGCTTGGTCAAGAGGAAGTACAAGGCCTTTCTCGCGGCGCTGCAGCCGATCAAGTCAAAAATATACTCGGAGTTCAAGCTGACCGCCGATGAGATGCGGGCGAAAGACTTCAAGTTTCTATCAAATGTAAAAATGTCTGGGTCTGGAAGAATGCAACTTGTCATGCTGGTTGTGCATTCTAAAAAAATCTGTATTGCATGAGCAGCAAAGAGAGTCCAAGTTTTGCTACACGGAAAGAGCATTTGTCATGCGGTATAGGCATCAGGAAGCCCGCACAAAATCTGTGATGCTACGGCATGCATCACAGACATCAGGAGTCATGCAAAATGTGCATGACAAACCTGGCAATCTTCCAGACCCAGACATTTTTACATTTGATAGTTTCGGGACTACTATAAGAAGATAATCGACTTTCAGAACCGAGGCGTTAGCATCAACTTGCTGGACGTGATGAAAGCAGAGCGGGATTTGCTCGCGGAGCTGATCTATTCAGAGCAAAAGTATCGTACTCGTATGTCAGCATGAGAAACAAAATTTGTAATGCTGATCTACCTTAAGAAAAAGATTTGTAATGCATGATCGCAATACGAGTGCGATGCTTTTGCAGTGCATATGATCCGAAACGCACGGGCGAAGTTCGGCGAGTTGGTGGGTATCAGCAAGGAGGAAGCGGTATCAAGTGCAATTATGTCCTCTGGGTCGGGAAGGATGCGAGCTTGTCATGCGTGTTGCGAATCATACAAAAATCTGTGTTGCGTGACTTGCAAAAGCTACCCACTTCCGGCCATGCTGAGAGGGTATAATTTCTCATGCAGAAAAGGCACTACCAAGGCGCGTCGCTACCTGTGATGCTAGGCCCTGCATTCCAGACCTGGCGGAGCTTGGAAAAACTGCGTGACAAGTCTCAGAAGCTTCCAGACCCAGACATATTTGCATTTGATAAGCGGCAAAACGCAAACAGTTCTACATCGACGAACTAGAGAAGATCAAAAAGCGACTCGAAGAAGAAGTATGAGAGTGCACAACTCCCCCTCCCCCTCATTTGTACAACTGCATGAGCAGCAACAGAGGCAATGCCACAAATGTAGCTTTTGCATGACAAATCCGCCGGACATGGTGTGTAGTCCTCCTGTAGTTTGGGTGTCCAACACTTGTCATGCGCAGCTGCCTTGAATGCAAGAGGTGGACCACTCGGTAGTGTGCATGACAAATGAGTACAGAGGGGTGGTCCTGTGCACTCTCATAAGAAATCGAGCTCATCGAGAAGCTGGGTGAAAACGCAGCGGACATGCTCCTGACCACCGACGCGGAAAAGCTCCGGGCATACATCAAAGAGGTAGAAAATGTCCTTAAAGACAAGGCCCTCTTGGAGAAGTTGAAAGACCGGCTAAGGCGCCTGGACGAACAAGAGTGGATCGTGCGAGAGGCGAAGCGGCTGAGCCTGTTGCAGAAAAAACCGCCGGTTTATCCAGCCGAAGAGGCGAAGTATCACAGACTGAAAGACGGCATCATGATATCCAGGAAAAATAAAACTGTGTAAGTGTAACTTTGTAGGAAGATCAGCATCACATTCACACATTCGTTTTGCATTTTTACAGGGAAAATAACCTGTCACGTGCTTGTGCAGCTGGTACGTGGAAACACCTATGAAAAAAGCCCCCTAAACCTATGACGCACCTCTAGCATGAGAAGTGTAACAGTTATAGCATTTCCTGCGTCACAGACTTACACAGTTTTTTTCTTGCATACAGGAAACTCGGACTACACAAACATCCAGACCGGTGGATCAAAATCTCCGCGGAAATGGGCATGGTGGTGTTCCACCATTTCGAGAAAATTCACCTCGAAATCCGTCTGTTCCCCATGTTCAAGACCCTCGTTATGGCGCTCTCAAATGTTACATTTTCACATGATTTGCCATGCAAAATTCCAATCAGAATCGACGCGACCAAGCTGCTTCGCATGACAAATTCCCGAAGGGACAAACAGGAGAAGAATCTGTGCCAATTCTGTCATGCAAAAGGCGCAATCTTCCCCCTTTCAGTTTTGCCATTCTTGCATCACACAGTTGAGAGTGTGACAGTTGAGAGCGCCATACTCGTTTCTGTCGAAAAAGCAGCGGTGGTGTACGAGAAAGAGTCCCTGGGCGAGCCGATTTCCACCTTCCGCCAGAGTGACGCCACGGATTTTGGCGACGAAGTTGACGACAAAAACCGAAGACCCTCTGCCGCAGCGAATTCCGGCTTCAGCATCCTGAATTCCGGCACGACGCGGAGGAATTCTGTGTCTTCTTCCGCCGCCACAACGCACACCGGTGCGTTATGGATTGCAAATATGTCTGGATCTGGAAGCTTGTGATGCAAGTCCGTGAATAGTGAGCGCACTGCAGTAAGAGAGCAAGCATGACAAGTTTTTGACCCCCAGTGTGTTGCGTACTTATTCTGCATGGCAGGCTCCATTTTTGCATGACAGGCAAGAGGATCTTTTCGCGCCTAAGCATCACAGAGTTAACAGTCATGCCAGACAAGCATGACTGGTCATGCCTTCTTCCAGACCCAGACATATTTGCAATGCATAGGCGTTGGGCGATAACGAAACCGAAGTGAGCGACTACACGACGTCTCCTGGTGGTGTCGCAGGGACGAGAGCGGGGGGCGCGTATCAAAGTGAAAAAAGCCCCCACCCCATATCGGAAACGGAAGATGCGCGAATTTGTGATCATGCTGTATTTGAGTACACAAATCGACTTGTATTGCTAGAAGGCCAAGAGACGAAGCTGCGGCCTAAATTGCAGGCAGTCTGTCATGCTGTTTCCCACTTCCAGCTGCCTCCTGTCATCCTGGAGCTGCAAGGCTTTCTCACGCTAGGCAGCACTACAGTCCGCATCTTTTGCCTTCTAGCATCACAAAGCTGATTTGTGACCACAAATCTGCATCACAGATTTCCGTTTTGATATGGGGAGGGGGCATTTTTCATTGTAATAGCGCGTCTTCTTTTGGCACCACGCCCTCGAGCTACCACTCCGCCCCGGCAAGCCGGATCGAGGAAGAGAACTTGATTTCGCAGCAGGCGACCATGACGGAGGCCATGCATTCCCTGGCGACCGAGTACCAACTGAAGCTCGAGTCGCGGTACCCCTCTAGCGACCGGGGGAGCCGCATGGAATTCGAGCAGAACTTTAACACGTTGATCAAACCGCTGGCTGATAGCCGGTTTTCCCTTAACGCTTCCCGCGCAGCGGCGCATCACAAGTCCAGCCAGATATCAAATGTAAAAATGTCTGGGTCTGGAAGATTCTGACACTTGTCATGCACGTTTTGCATGAGCCCTGATGTCTGTGATGCATGCCCTAGCGTCACAGATTTTTTGAGAGCTTCTTGATGCCTATTCCGCATGACAAATTCCCTCTCCGCGTAGCAAAAATTGCATTCCCTTTGCTGCTCATGCAATACAGTTTTTTTTGGAATCCAAATTCAGCATCACAAGTTGCATTCTTCCAGACCCAGACATTTTTACTTTTGATACCAGACCTTCTACGATGATTCGCTCACTGCGATGCACTATCAAATGTAAAAATGTCTGGGTCTGGAAGAGTCGTACTGTTTTTGCATGACACAGAAGGTCTGGCATGGAAGCTCTGGCATCACAGGTTTCGAGAACCTTCCGCAATGCCGAATCCGCATGACAAGTCCCCTATTTTGCTGACAAAAAGTGGGAGCTTTTGCTACGTGTGCATGAGAGACTTTATTTCTGTGTTCTGAAATACGCATTGCAAGTTGCCTTCTTCCAGACATCCAGGGATTTTTGCATTTGATATGCACCACGGCTGCATGATGCACTTTGTGATCAACGAGAACGCGGTATCCTGTGTAAAAACGTCCCCAATCCAGACCTGTCATGCAAATCTGCATGCTCAAAATGTTTGTCATGCGGACGAGCCCCATGAGCAACATTTTCTGGTCGTGTTTTGGAATTTGTAATGCGCCAATCAGCATCTCATACTGGATCTGTGATGCTGCTGAACTACCTCAAACAGTACTACACTGCGAGTCCAAATTTGTCATGCAAAACAGCCAAAACTTGTGGACTTGTCTAGCCGATTCCCCATCTTGACTATAGGGTGGGGACGTTTTTACATAGGATACGCGGCGAGGCAGTCCTTGGTCCTGCTGGAGCAGGAGAAGGACCGGCTGGCCGAACAGGAGCGCCAGCGACGCGAAGACCTGGAAGCAGAGGAGCGGCGGAAATATCGCAAGAAAAAACTGTAGTTGCACTGTGAACTTGTGATGCAGAAAATGGAACGCAAAACCACTTGTCTCTTGCTACTCCTGCATAGAGCATTGGAGTTTCAGCCGTGTTTTCCCCTCTGGGAAATGCGCGCATGACAAATTTTCAGTGTCAGGTGTAAGTAACAGACTTGTTATGCAGATTTTGCAAAGTCACCACAGGCACAGTGAAACAGTTGTTTGCTGGGATAGGAAACGGCTTCAGGAGAATGACCAGCATCAATTCGTGGGGGACCTGGACAACCAGCTGAATACCAAGGATTTTGTAAAGTTGAAGGATTTATGCATTGCATTTAATATGCCTGGGTCTGGAAGATTCAATCTGTAATGCTGAACATTAAAACATTTTCTCAAGCGTAGTGCGCAGTACATCAAACTGCAACTTTGCACATGACGAAAGTATGGCGCTTCTAGTGCTTATGCAATACAGTTCTTTATTCAGGAATGCAAATGCGAAACACGCAATACAGGTTCAACATTTATTCCAGACTCAGACATGTTTGCAATGCATAGGACTCCATTATCGACACGGAGACCGAATCGGAGAAGAAAAAACGCCGCACCGAAGAGAAAAGCAAGAGGGGCTGCTGTGCCTGCTGCTAGGAGCGGGAGGCTTTTTTTAAGATTGCAACCTAGTGTTTACTGCAAAAACTGTGCGGTATTTGAGTACTTACTTTTAGAAGACCAGAACCGACGACGTGAGAACCTTTTGTTTGAAGACACCACACACGTTCCACTGGCATTTCAGCAGCACCTTGTGGAGGAACTCATTTGAAAATTGTACGGCTCTGCTTCTAGTTCTACATAGCTTTTGATTGCATGTTGTTCTTTTATACTTTTTCCCATTTTATCGTTGTCTATTCTAAGTATTTTATCGCCGAGTTGTTGTTCTGTACAGATTTGAGATTTCATATAGAATGTTGACACGGTACTATTTTCATACACTATTGCTATAATTCCCGATTTTGGTAATGATTAATTTTACAGATCATCGCACGACGCATGTACAGCCAACATGCGGGGTTGCGTGCACAGTATTTCTTTTGCGTTTTTTGAACATTTTTCTTCACTATTAACAACTACATCTACAACGCAACAGTTTATAATTTTTTACTTCGCCCACCAACGTAATGCTAATGTCGGCATTTCTATTATTTCCAACTCCATCTTTCATTTTCACATTTTTGTCTTGCGCGTCTACTTCGCCGATCATGTTGTTTCGCTCGTCCTGGGCGATCTTCCCGATCTTCGCGGCAAAGTACTAGCTGCAAGGTTGTATGTGATGCTATTTTCCTTCTTCTTCATATACAACTTTTTCGGAAGTAGATGCAAAAGTTACATTTTGTTTTTTGACCTGAATCAATTATCATGCATAGCCGCGAAGAACCAACAGGAGCACGGCGCAAGGAGGAAGTCTCCTTGTCGTCGAAGCACGGATAAGTACGTAAGTACGCGAATGGCAAGACGCATTGAACTGCGTCTACTGTTTGGCATAATTCATGATCCCTTGGAGGGGGGAACGGGAAATTGATTAAATTGAAAGAACATCAAGTACTTGTACTTTCTTTCTTTCCATGCCTGGGCATGGCATCAAATGTTCAAGGCTCTATCACCGTTGTGAAGATGGTGCTGCATAATTACACGACGAATATAATCGCAATTCAACGGCGTCGGCGACCGCGTTCATCTCTTCCTAGGGAGCCTCAAAAATCTTTCTATGTGGGCGATGTGTTGTCTACTTCGTGTACTAGGTAGACGAAAGTACTATTGTTGCATTGTGCCTCCAGCTCGTTGTAGCTTGGTGGCAACAGAAGTTACAGCTTGCGATCACGTGAGAAAGAATTCTGCCGAGAAAGACTTCTGTCGAGAGGTACTAAACTTCTTTCTACGTCGAGACAGAGACATTTTCGTATTTACTGCCCGTCGCAGAAACCTGATTGAATGTTATCGATATATATGATTGTTGTTGCACCTTGATTCAGGAGTCGGCTACAGAAAACATCGTGAAAAAGCGACAGTAGAAATCAGAAACGCTAGTAACGAAAAGCTACGACCAGTCTTTCGACAAATCCCCTTGGTGTACTCGACTCCTTGAGAACGACGCACCAGACGTCCAACAACATCATGCCCTCTCGCATCCCGCCGACTACCAATACTTTTTCCGCTCCGCCTCCTTCTATGCTGGGAACTACGAAGAACATGAAACGTGTCGCCCCAGCACCAGAAGAGGACGTCGAGGAGGCGAATACAAGTAAAAAGATCGCGATGAAGAAAACGGCGGACAAAAGCAAAACCGGTGGGGCGGCGGTCACGGCAGCAGCAAAGACTGCAAAGGCCGTGGCAGGAGGTAGTCGTACTAACAAAAGTTCTGCCGCGGCGGGAGCGACCCGGAAAATGACTACTAAGACGTCGACGTCGAGACTTTCCGGCAGTAAAGCTGCTTCATCTGCACGACCGTCGGGCAAAGCAAATGCGTCCAATGGAAAGTCTGCTCTGGCACCAAAATTCAGCGGCGGCGCCCCGTCAAGCAAAGAGCCCCGGGTGAAGAAGGCGAATGACAAAATAAGGCCGGCGAAAAACATCAAAACCAGCAGCAAAGCAGCAGGAACAACAGCAGCAGGGTCATCTGCAGGAGAAAACCACGGTAAAGAAGCGGGGAAGAAAACACATGCCGGAAGAGAAAACAGCCTGATTGACGAGAAAACCGGGAAGATGACCGGGAGTTCCAGCAGTACCGAAGAGGACCAACACGCAAAGAATTACTTCGCCCAACTTTCGAAAATCGACTTCTCCTCTAGAAGTGCGGCAACCACGACTACAGTAGGTTCTTCCACCACCAACATTATCAACATCAACTACCCCGCGCTTCAGCAGCAATTAGTCACGTGGTATGAGAAACACAAACGGGCCCTGCCGTGGCGGGACTTATCAAATGTAAAAATGTCTGGGTCTGGAAGATTTCCGGGTTTGTCATGCACACTTTGCATAACTTCTGATGTCTGTGATGCATGCCCTAGCATCACAGATTTTGTGAGGGCCTCCTGATGCCTATACCGCATGAGAAATGCTCTTTCCGTGTAGCAAAACTTGGACGCTCTTTGCTGCCCATGCAATACAGATTTTTTTAGAATTCAAAATCAGCATGACAAGTTGCAGTCTTCCAGACCCAGACATTTTTACAGTTGATAGGACTGGGAGAAGATAAAAAACGACCCGTCGTACAAGATTCTGGTGTCGGAAATCATGCTATGACAGTGCACAACTCTCCCCCTCATTTGTATAGCATGAACAGCAATACAAGCATCAGCACGAATGCCGGTTTTGCATGACAAAGCTACAATGAAGTGTAGTCATGCTATTTGGGCTCCTACCAGAACTTGTCATGCATAATGGTGACAGGAGGGACAGTCTGGAGTTGGTGTTTTGCATGAGAAATTTATGAGAACGAGGAGGGGTTGTGCACGCTCATACATGCTGCAGCAGACCCGGGTTACCGCCGTGATCCCCTACTGGGAAAAGTGGTGCACGACCTGGCCGAGTTTACAGGACCTGGCGGAGGAGAAAAACATGGACCGAGTGCTAGAGCTATGAAAGTGCACAACTTTGCTTCCCCGTCGTTTGTATCGCATGAACAGCAACACAAGCGTCAGCAAGAGTACAGGTTTTGCATGACAAAATTGGACAGGAGTTTAGTGCTATAATTTGGGCTGCCAGAACGTCTTGTCATGCAAACTGTGCCAAGAGCCGAGGCGTGCATTAGGTATATTTGCATGACAAATGAGGGGGAGGGGAAATTGTGCACTGTCATAAGAACACTGGGCGGGCCTCGGATACTACAATCGGGCGAGAAACCTGAAGAAAGTCGCGGAAACCGTGTTACAACTACAGGCAGCAGGTGGCGCGAAAGTAGGACAAGCATCTACGAGAATCCAGCTCTATCCTGTGCAAAAGTATCGTACTCGTCTGAATGTATTACAAATTTCCCCAGCATGAGAAATAAAATTTGTCATGCGGATTTACCTTGAGAAAAAAAAATTGTAATGCACGAATGCAATTACTACGGTACGAGTACGATACTTTCGCACAGGATAAGCTCCCCAAAACTCGCGCGGAACTGCAGCTCCTCCCCGGTATCGGCCCCTACACCGCGTCTGCCGTGGCGTCGATAGCGAACGGCGAAAAAGTCGGCGTGGTGGACGGGAATGTCGCCCGGGTTTTGCATATGGATTGCAATATATAAATATGTGTGGGTCTGGAAGCAGGTTGCAACTTGTGATGCAGATTCCCGAACAGGGAAAAGTCTGTGTTGCGTAGTCAGAAAAAGACGCCAGATTCATTCTGGTGCCCAAGACAGAGCATGTCTCATGCAAACTAGGCATGGAGAGACCTCCGCAGAATTTGTCATGCTTTACGCGCATGCCAGACCGTCTCTCAGATGCGGAAACTGCATGAAACAAACGGCTGCACTCCTCCAGACCCGGACATATTCGCACGCGATATTGCACCGACTTTTCCACATCACCGGCCCTATGCCCAGTAACCTGGGCAAACCAGGGAACTTCCTCTCGACGAAAGCTGCTCATCTAAGTGGTGCGCCGCGTGCGTCGACCAAGAAGACCAAGGCTCCTTTGCCGAACGGGGACTGGTTGTGGGAGGTAATGGACAATTTGACGGCGGCGGCGTCCTTATCTTCCTCAGCAGCTGCGTCCTTCTCCTCTTCCTCTTCCAGCATGACAAAGGGCGCCGGCTGCAGTACTGTCATCAAAAACATTCCCGGCGCTGTGAACCAGGCGGTGATGGAGCTCGGCGCCACGGTTTGCACTCCAGACAACCCAGACTGTAAAAACTGCCCGGTCCAGAGCCACTGCAGGGCGTTTTCTACGCATGGGAGAAGTGGCAAAAAACCGGCGGGGACACTAAATTCAAACCCCGACATCGAGGCCATCTCTTTGATCGGGCGGAAGGAGAAGAAGAAGCAGGTCCCGGAAAAAAATTTTGATGTCGTGATCCTCTTCTCAAGAGAACAATCGGCGAGCAAATTGGCATCGGGTCAGCATCAAAAGGAAAATCGCACGAAGATGAACAAGATCGCCGTAATACGAGAATCCGAGGGCACGCTGCTCCTGGGGCAATACAGATTTCCGCACCTGCGATTTTCATCCACAGCAACGGGATCATCAAAAGGAGGGGATTGTGTTTCTACTTCATCGAAGAAGCAGAGCAGTAGTACTGTTAAAAGCGGTAGTTCTTTATTTCTGAAGATCACCGAGGATAAAGAACCCGTGAAGCACGTCTTCAGCTCGCAGGTCCACTACTACCATATTTACGCCAGGGAGGTGGATGAGAATACGAAATCCGTAGAGTGCTGCGAGCGCAACTTCGAGTGGAAGACGGTCGAGGAACTGCCCAAGTTTTTGGTCTCCACCGGGCAAAACAAGATCTGGCAGAGGTTTTTGAAGAATGAGATGATTTCATCTTGTTGAGCCGCGAAAAATACAAGCGGATTCTATAGACAGAACAAGCATTCTTGCCGCGACAACAAGGAATCTTCAAGGTTCCTGGAAACTAGTGTGCAGAAGGAGATGGGAACTCTTGCTTGTTGGAAAATAAATCTGGCAAGGACGATAAAAGTGAATGAGTTGAAGTTTTCCATTCTGCAGAAAGAGAAACTAAAACAGCGACTTTTTTGTTTTTTATCTTCTACTTTGAGGAACGTAGCATCTCGGGCGATGAATGTTGCTTGGTGTACTACTACCCAGCTCTGAAAAAGGTCGTAAGCGACTCTTTTGGGGAGTTTCCGATGCATCAATCGCGTTGCTGGTCCTCCTGAAACAGCAACAAGTTCTGCAAACACTTGCGAAAACCTATGATCATGATGAAACAGTAACAGAAAGTTCTGCTCCATGGATATGGACCCGAAAATATATTCAATGTCGGGCTCGGATCATATTAAAACTGTCGGTTTTGGAAACAAGTATAGTAATTTCATCGGTGTAGTAGTAAAAGAGGGTTTGTAAATCACCAACATGTTGTCATGCTTCGCAAGAAAGATCCAAACACCTTCTGTTTCATCGATCTCTGCTCTGTCGGTCCTCTCATGAGATCCTTTTCATCTGTCGGTAAGTCGGTAATGAAATCAAAATGTTTATCACGCAGCCAGCACGCACTACACGGGCTGTAGCTGTTTGTTTCGAAAAATGAAAATCTTAAATGCGCCCCGTCATGGGCATTTCATTTTCCTTGTACTTCTCATGATACTCCACTCCGTCATGCTCATGTCGAAATCACTCTTACAGCAACACAACTACTCTTAAAAACTTTTACCATCTTCACATTCACAATTCACCTACATCCTTTAAGAATTCGTATAAATCGCATCGATTGATCATATCCTTCCGTTTCCTGTACCTGCAGGATCTTCCCACCACAAGTTTGTTTTTACCCAAACGGTAGTATCGAACTGAATGGCAAGGTTTTGCAGGAATAAAACCTCCGACCCCGAGCAACACTCTCACGACCGCAGGGGCGCCGTCCCTAGTACTTGGGCCAGAAAAACAAAAAGAAATTGTATCTGTAGCAGGACCAGGAGCCATTGAAATTGGAAAGTAGACTCCAGAAGAACAAGTGGAACCAAAACACCCATGTCGATGCCGGGGCCCACGCAGTGGTCGGCGGATTTTTGGACGGCGGTGCTGTTCACAATCGGCTGCGTTTTCTACTTTGCCGACGCCATTCTGCAGATCTTCGACGTGTATCTACGTGTAGACCCGAAGGACGAAGCCACGCGGCGGCAGATGCTCCACCACGTGTGCACCTTGCTCCCCGGGGCGACGTTTTTCGTCCTCGGCTGCGTCCCGTGGCTCTGGGCCTACTGGCCCTGCGCGCATCGCCGTGATTCGGTGCTGATGCGAATCGGCGCGGGCGGATCGGAAGGCGTGCGGAGTGGCAGGACGTACTACATCACTGATGAGGACGAGGACATTGAGAGCCCGCGGTCGCGCAACAGCTACATCCTTGTGCCAGAACAACACCGGGAAGAACACCAGTTGCGGTACGGGAAAAATATGAGAACAAGTGGCAGAAGATAAAAGTTCGAGGAATGTGATGTTTGGGTGAAAAAAACATAACATCTCTAGGACCACGAGGACCCTTTTTGAAAAAATTGAAGTGCTGAAGCAATCGGGATTTTGTTTTGAGAACAAGCTATATTTAACAGACATAAGTAATTATCGCATTTGTGCACGTCAAAGTTTGGGTTTGGCACTTAGAAGTATATTTCCCTTGCTAAACTCTCTCACAACTCCCTCTCTTCTTCGAAAACAACGATAAATAGCTTTGCAGCTGTACTATCGCATTTATTTATTTTTCTGTTACCGCATAGAACTCCGCGTTGAAAAATCGTAAGATGGTGCAGGAGCAGCTGATCAACAAAAAGTTATTTCGTAGCTCGACCTCGTTTTGTAGTTCTAGTTTTAGGGATCATGCAGAATGAAGAGTAAGTAGAGTAGACCACCTCCACCTCCACGACCTGCAGAGAGTTTTCAAGCCTAAGAAAACGACCGGCAGTTTTCAAGCCTACAGAGAGTTTTTTTGCATGAAAAAGCTCGCAGCGTACAAGCCTGTTTGGCTTTGTCTTCAACGAATCGCCTGCGGAAACTATCGGTCGCCGCTTGATAAAACGACGCAGGGGCGCCGGTAAAAGGGGTGCCCTTCTGAGGCGCCCACCGCCTTAGCTTCTGGCGATTTGGGGTGCCCAAAAGGGCGCCCGAAAAAAACGCGCCAAAAATCAGAACAGCGAAACCGCATGGCACGGCCGCGATTTCGAAGCATTTTGGGCAGCCGCGAAAGCGGCCGCCTTTTCGCCGGTTTCTAAGCGGGAGAAGCTTTGCAAAAAGCGCCGGCGCGAAAAATAAAAACGCAAAAAAGAAAAAGCGCGCGAGACGCGAGAAGCCAATCCGCATGCTATGGGCCCGATTTTTCTTCGGTTTTTGGGCGCCCCCCGTGGCGCCCGGATCGGCTCCATAGCGTCGGGGCTGGCTTCCGGACAGGAATTTCGAAAATTTGCCAAATATCTGCCATGTTTTTCAACCGGCCGCCATGCCGTGCGGCATAACCTTACCCACGGCGGCATGGCGGGCCCAGAAAAAGCAAAGCCGTGGCCAAGGCAACGGTCGGCAAGAAAACGCCACCGACCTCACTACCTCCGCCCCGGCGGCTATATTTTTAGTTCTAGTTTTAGGGATCATGCAGAATGAAGAGTAAGTAGAGTAGACCACCTCCACCTCCGCGACCTCGCAGTCTGATGCTTGTTTTGACGGGCTTGGTGAACTACAACACGCTAGTAGTATCACGACCTGCGAGAACGAGTGGTCTACTTTCTTCATCGGACACGCCGCCGATAATCCAGCCATAGAACGACCCGAAGCACAACTTCACAGCTTGAGAAGACCTTGAAGATGCCGAATTTTTGGAAAAAAATTCAGTTTACAAGCTACAGAGGAGAATAGGGTCTTCTAGTTTGCTGTGAGATGAAAAAAACATGGCAGAAGAACTTCATCAAAACCACTAATATACTAGCAGAGGTATGGGCAAAATGATGGTGAACAACAGGTCATATTCAAAAGCCGTGCTTGCAAAAAAACCGGAAAATGTTTTGCTTTTGTATCAATGGTGAGATGAACATGAACAGGTGCGCTGCTCGTGCTACCGCACGAGATTCTCTCCTTAGTAAGACCTGCTGGCACAGCTAAGACGTGCTTGAAGTAGGAGATGCCCCAAAAAAAGAGTACACAGCACTACCCGCCAAGAAATCGGCCACACAGGAAGGATTATGAAATTTCTTCCAAACTAAAAACGAAAAAAAAGATAAAGATGGTGACTCTCTGCTTCGACAAGAATGAGAGATGGGCTACAACTATGAGGCCGCAGTGGTGAAGATTTACTGTTGTCGTTGTTCCTTTCTGGCACTAACGTTCCTACCGGAACCGGTGGCAAGTACTTAAATTGATATGACAGCAAAAAGTATGAAATTTGCATCACAGTGGAGATGACCACCCGAAAGACGAAGACCACAAAAACGAACTGCTTCTGCTTTATTGAAGGCGACACAGAGCTACAAGACCGACGCCATAAGAATCAAACGAATTTCGGTCACGTTTTTTTCATTCTCGATACAGCTATGGCTGTTTCTCAATCTTCAAGTCGGTCGATTTTTTTACGCACGCAACTACTACGCGGCTAGCGCAACAACTCCCTAGTAGAGCGGAAGCGGTGCGTACTGATCAGTGTAACTTCAAGGATGCTATGAGTCGGAGGACGTGATGAAGACGGTCATCGCAAGTAGTGACAGGATATATGTCTAGTTTTTCTCGCTCTCATGAGTCGGAACTAGTACTACACCGAAAAAAAAAGCACTTTGCAACGTGGACGTCAGCTCGGCGCCAATGCCGTGGCTTCGATCATATACCATAGCATAATATGCACCGTAAAAATCTTCTTCCTCGCAGTGACCCTTGCTATTGACCGCGGATGATGTAGCATAGGCGAGAGGTAGTTCTTTGTAGACCCCCTAGTTTTATTTGCTTGTCCGGCATTAGCATTACAACTTCCTGGTGCACGACGGAGCCAGGCGGGTGCCAGGAGCATGGACTACTTGGGACAGCACCTATAAGCACCTAGTACAGTTCTTACCGCAGGTATGGAGAGAAAAAAGTTTGTCACAGTCACTAACTTGCAGGTTTTGCATTACAAATTTTCTCAGCATCACAAACTTTCCTTGTATTGCAGAAACACTAGGGAAATCCCTAATAAAGTTTGGCTGTGATGCATTTTTACGCATGACAAACAATTTTTATTTTGTATTGCAAGAATGCGCATGAGTGATCGTGACGAACTTTTTTTCTTCGATAGCAGGATGCGGTACTGTAGTGTGCGAAGAAAAATATAAGATTATAATCGGCGCACAAGTGCCACTTGCGCTTCGCTCACCAACAGCATTGTCGTGTATCCATACTACAACATTCATAGATATTCACGCCTAGTACCTGCCTTCACATAGTAGTTTTTCCTAGAGTTCTTGAGATTAGAGTATTCTATCTTCTATGGGCCGCTGCACCAAGAAGCCTAAGGAAGAGATCAGATTAGTTACCCGCCAAGAAGCTTCATTTATTTGCGTTCTCTCAACAGTGTAAGTACTTCGCCCGCCTCTACGTTTCTTGATGTTCCTTCCACCATTTTTTTTCCCAAATGTTGAGCCTTTTCCTACCCGAAGAAAAGCCAAAAAGCTTCTTCGAACAGTTTCTTGACAATTTTGACTATTTTTTTGCAAAAGAGGAACCAGAGCTGTCCGTTTCTTCCATTTTTTCTTCCTTTTTCTCAGGAAAAGAAACTGTAAGGTTGTACTATCAACCAGTAGAAGACGCAAGACAAAGACTTGACATAACTTTCGCGTTCTACCTCGCTCTCATTTCCGCAGCCGTAATTTTTCTCGCGCTCAACAAGATGAGTGCGCCGGATCTGAAAAAGTTCATCCGTGACGGCAAGAAGCTGCTCGTCCACAAGAAGCGCAGGCAGAGTGCGACTGCTGGCGAAGGCAGTCTATTGCTAGAGAATGAGATTTTCGCCTCCGAAGAACACGATCTTGAAACCCCCCTAGGGCTAGAGGAGCGCGCCCCGTTTGGGAAGAGACGGCGGACCGTTGCCTGCAAGCTAGACTTCGTGGATATTAACGGCGCTTTGGCCGGTGGAAATGCGAAGCCCGCTGGACTAGGCGACAAGCAGTACGGAACCACCGGATCGTCGCTCCTGCTTGATAAAGACAATCGCGGTTTTTCCGAAGTTTCCACCCGCGCGGGGTCCTCTTCCGTATTCACCGGAACGAGCATCCGCAGTACGATGCCATTGGATGGTACGGAGTTTTTGGAAGACGAGGACCTTCTCTTCAACGTCTCCGGGGAACAAGTTTTCGTCAAAAGACGAAAATCTGTCTTACAGGAAGCGATTCTGGAGAACGATCAGCTGTTACTTCAGCTTTGCAAATTTCTCACCGTGAAGGACATTGGCAGACTGACGATCGCGGACAGGAGTAGTTGTAAAACAGGAGCTGGTAGTACTGGGGGTTTTTATCTTCATGATGGAGGTGGTGAACAGCAAACGTCATCGACTCAACATCTTCCTATGCAGCTGCAGATGCAGCGGATCTTCAACAATGACGACATTTTTTCCAAGTACCTCTGGACCGAATTATCAAGTGCAAAAATGTCTGGGTCGGGAGGAATACAAACTTGTGATGCGCATTTCAGAACACAGAAGAATCTCTCATGCATAGGCAGCAAAAGTTGCCCACTTTTTGTTACCAAAATCAGGGATTTGTCATGCGGATTCGGCATTGCGAACGCTTTTCGAAACCTGTGATGCTAGAGCTTCCAGGCCAGACCTTCTGCGTCATGCAAAAACAGCATGACTCTTCCAGACCCAGACATTTTTGCATTTGATGCGAATTACTGAAGCGCGATTGCGGGGACCACGACTACCTCTATTACTTGCCGCGAAAGTATCCACAGTACAGTCATTTTTCCCATGCAATTACACGTGCACGTACATAATCACACACAAATGCGGTTCCTGCATGACAAGACTTGCCTTCGATCCTAGTCAGCATGACAAGTGGCATGCTTTGAGTTGTGCCGAAATTTGTCATGCGTTTTGTAAGTGTGCGGGAAATTTGTATTGCATAAGAAACACGTAGTAGCCGAAATTTCCCCGAAAACACCGGAGGAGGAGTCAGACTCTGATGACTCAGATTCCAACAGCCGGAACGATGGTGCGAGTAGCGGTGGTCGACGGAATAGCAATAACCGGGTCGTCTATGGGGACGATAGTGACGATGACTCCGATAATATGATGGTGGACGACGACGACGACGATGATGATCAGGACGGATCTTTAAACCGGTTTCGCCAGCAGGTCCAGCGATTGTTGCTGATCCGCGGTGGCGGGGGGAATTTTGTGCTGCAGAGGGCACCTGCGGGAGGTGGTACTTCTGCTGCTCACTATGCTCCTGTGGCGGGTATGGCGGCTGCGGGTCAAGTGGGAGGTGCTCCTGCTGCGGGTCCCAATGCTCCTAATGCATCTACTACTTCTGCAGATAATGATAATCATCTCGCACAGCAAGAAGCTCCTGCTCCAACGGGTAGCACCGGTGGATCTAGTTCCACTGTTGTAAACCGGCAAGCGCGACCGCCAGCGAGCGACGAGTCGAATGGGAATAATGATGATCAAAATATTAACGAATCTACTACGTCCACTGTAGTCAACATTCGGCCGCCTGGAAATAACACCTTCCGTTCAGGCTTGTTCAATACTCCCGCGTCGAACTGGGTCAGGATGTTGGAGCAAACTCTGGAACAACAAATGCCCAGCATCAACGCCAGCGCGCCCTTGCCGTCAACAGCTTCGTTGGCTGCACGAGAAGACATAGCGGATGAAGGAACACGAACAGGCGCTACTGATGCTCTCAACATGCGGCCGGAACAGCCTTCGGAAGAAGTAGGGGAAGAAGAAGCTGCTCCGATGCGCGGCCCGGAAGCAGCAGTAGTACGTGGTCCTACAAATAGTAACCCTTCGCAGTTGCAAGAATCCTCCTCAAACCACGATCATGACACCGCCAGTGGCGATGCGGCTTTGTCGCAGTATTTGGCGGCGGCGCAGTATCTGGCCGCGAGTCACGATATGGAACAGGGGGCAACTACGAGTACTTCAGCAGGTCTTTTTTCAGGGGCCACTACAGGAGGATCATCTGGTGCTAGAGCTGCACTACAACCGCAGCAACGGGGGCAACCAGCGGCTTCATCTTCCAGCAGCAGCAGTTCCAATGCTGGAATGCCATTGTCCACTGCTCAGCCCACTCTACTTCCGCGTGAACGCTCAAACTTAACAATCGGCAACAACAGCGCAAGCGACGACTCCCTGGCCGCCGCCGCTGCTGCACAGGAGCCCGAGGAGATTATTGACCAGATCTTAGTGGATCTCCAAACCACCGCCGGGACGGGGGATGTTGGCACTACCACTCTGGACGATTTGGACATTGAGGACTGCGTGAAATCTAATTCCAACGCCGCGAAAAGGAGGAAGCTTGACTTCGTGGAGCCTCCGGTTGTTGTAGAGGGACCATCGGCAAGCAAGCCGGTCGAAAATAAACCAATCACTTTATCCCCGCCGCAGATCCACGAGATTTACCGGCACAACAAATCTATCATCAACGGCAACAAGATGGAGTTTTTCAAGATCGAAAAAAACCAGAATTTTCACCCGCGAGAGGGCCACGCGCTGTGCCAGGGTTTTGACGGGCGGAAGCTGTTCGCCTGGTCGGGCTTTACCCCCGCGGCGGAGCTGATGATTGCCGATCCGCCGTTTCAGGTGGAAAAACTCAATGGACAGCCGAAAGTCAAGCATTTGAAGTGGAAACGCGTGCCGATTTTGAACCGGTCGGAGCAGATTTTGCATTTGTTTTTGCAACACGGGAAAGAAACGTTGGAGAAAGTCAATATGGAAGTGGAATTGACACTGAACCGCACGGCCAATGAGAACGACAAAAACGTGCTCAATTACCCACCCAGGATGCATTACGGTCATTCGATGGTCACACTTGTGGAGGAGAACTTCGGCAGTTACGGCGCACATCAGAAGACGATTTCATCGACAGGCTCTTGTGATGCAGAGAACCTAACACAAACACAAACTGCTTCCACGCCTACTGCTGGTGCTGGCCAGCAACACAACTTTGGCGTGAAAATTCCGCACGAGATTAACGCGTTCCACGTGAACGCTTTCTACGGAATCAACGGGTTGCAGCAGGAGAAGGGAATTTTTCTCCACCGCAAGTGCGAGATTCTCGTCTATGGCGGGTTTTTATCCGGCGGGTATTGCAACGCCAGCATGGACGTGTTTCTACTCACGGTCGGGGAATTTCTGGTGCCGAAAGAAGGTGGTGGGACAAACAGCGCCAAAACAAAAAGCAGCCCGAAGGGCGCTCCTGCGGGTGGAGCTGCTGCACAAGGAGCTGCTACTTCTTCAAGCGGCGCGGCTGCGTCATCCAACAAGCTATTTTCACAGCAAGAACAACAACATCAGGCCTATTCCAAGCAGTACCGGGTGCGGTGGGAGCAGAAAGCGCTGGCGCAAAATAACAACACACCGGTGGGAAGGTCGTACCATTCCTGCACGGTGTTGCCCATTAGTGTGTCGAACCAGTTGAGACCCAGGCTGTTCCGGAATGTCCTTGAGGGAACATCAAATACTGGAACTGCAAATAGTGGCACAAGCGCTGCTGGTACGAGAAGCAGTGGTGGTGGAATGGCCCCGCAAAGCCCATCAATCGCTGCCCGAATTTTGAACCCACCTTCTAGCAATGGCGCGATTGGAGCTGCTGCTACCTCGTCAGCTACCGGTTCTTCGGCAGGAGCGGCCGCATCCGGTGGTCCTGGTCCTATTGTAGCATCCAAGCGCCCCCTGGTCGTTTTTTTCGGAGGGATTACAGATGGGGGAAATTCATCGGAGTTGTGTTTCCTGTGCACGGAAACTTGGAAATGGGCGCCGATTAACACGGCGGTTTTGACGCAGCTGTTTTATTCGACGCAAAATTTGCTGTCCGGAATGACGAGATTCTCTGGAATGATGAACAACGATGAACCAGGCGCCAATAACCCAACTGGTGCCCGTTTCCAATTTGGCTTTACGGGTCGGGCGCCAACCCAGCGGAATTTCAACGAGATTGTGATGGACTTGGAGGATTCCGAAATAGAAATTCTACCGGATCAGGCGGACGATGACGACATCTCGTTTTCTTCAGACGGTATGTTGGATACTTCTAGCAGCGAGTCGAGCAGCTCGAGTAGTTCATCCGAATCTTCGTCGGATGAAGATGGGGACGACAACTCGATCAGCGAAGTTTCTTCAGAGGACCGCGACGACAAGATGAACAATAACGCCAACGACAACGAGTTGAGAGGACCCCAACAAGACGAAAGCCACATCCTGCACGGGCAGTTAGTGAACGCTGATGACTCCTTATGAGAGTGCACAACTCCCCCTCCCCCTCATTTGTAATGCAAAATACCAAATCCACCCTTTGCCTCTTGGCACTTTTTGCATGACAAGTTCTGGCAGCCCAAATAGCACTACACTCCTGTGCAAATTTGTGATGCAAAACCTGCATTCTTGGCAAGAATGCAGGTTTTGCATCACAAGTTTGCACGTCCATGCTATGTCAGCAAGTTGCTGACACTTGATTGCCGTTCATGCTATACAAATGAGGGTGAGCGGGAGTAGTACACTGTCATACTCCTTGATGACACAATTGACTGACTCGGTCACGTTTCGGGAGGAATACCGAAAGCAGGGAATATCAAACAGCAGGAATTACATAAGTAAAGGGAAGAACAACAAAAGTGGCGCTACTTCTGCAACTGGTACTTCCGGCGAGCAGAATGCCACGAAGATTCTCGCGGTGTCGCAAAAACGGTTCAAGCACAAGAAGAAGTTGAAAGGGTCCGAGCATAGTAATTTGCGGCACACCAGGCAATTCCTCCTGGACAACGGACGGGGGATTGTCGACAACAATTTCTCCGAAACCAGCTCGATTTCCTCCGCTGGGGAGGAAGAGGAGGAAAACGAAATCGGGAAGCAGATCCGGGAATGGAAACTACCGAAACAGATTCTACCAATGGCGGAACTCGAGTCACCACTCGGTGTGAGAAACTCGAAGATGAAATTGGAGAACGATATTCTGCAGAGCAGGACCACGTCTCGCGAGTTCATCGACGCACCTTTGTTGCTGCGGCAGTCGCAGCGCGAAGCGCACGAAAGAGGGATTACATCTTCGAATGCAGCGGCAAGAGCTGCTTCCAGGAGCGGTACTGCAGCTGGCAGGACGACAGGAGGACCACTACTACATCAAGCGCCGTCCTCCTCCTCCCAGAACTCAGCGTTGGTTTTAGGTCCCGCCCCGAGAAATCGCACGGCCAGTCGGGTTAGGGTGATTACGGATAATGTTTCTGCTGCTGGTGCAACATCAAGTGCAGCTAGGGCGGGTGGACCAGGTGCCAGAGGAACTGCAAATAACGTTCAGACAGCACAAGGACAAAATAGCGCTCAGCAAGTGCGCCCAACGAGGGTGTTACCGCCGCCACGAAGAGTTGTACAGCAGCATGGTCGCAGGAACAGGCATAGGGACAGAGCAAATGGCACGACCGGTACTACTGGTACCACTACGACCGGTGTGCGGCACAACGTGCGCAGCCATTTGTTTCCGCATACTGGAGCAGCTGCTGCTGCAAGTGGGCTGACAATTACAAGCGGTACTGGTACGACGACATCAAACCGCCCGCGACAGGTCACTATCAGCAACGAGACCCGCGCGTTAATTCAGGGCTCTGTCGTCCACGTTGGCGCTGCGCGGAACTCTAGCGAAATTATAGCTGGTGGTGCAGCTGGGGCTGGCGCACCAGGTGTTGGTCCTGGCACTTCTTCTCAACATGCAGTTATCCCCTCCCAGGAGCAGTTGCAGCGGTGGTCGCTTTGGCCGCCGGCGCGGTTTGGCCACACGATGTTTTTCGATACAAAACGGTGCTCACTGTTCCTCTTCGGCGGCGGGACTGGTCGGGACTTACTGCGGTCTGGCGACGACCCGTTTGGACGCGTGGTTTGGGAATTCCACTTGCGCCCCTTGTGCTTGTTGAATTTGAACACAAATGCAAGGAATCTAACCCCCGCGTACTTCTGGACAAGGCACTCCTACCCGCGGCCGACACCGCCAGTCACCGCGGTGTCTGCGACTGGGGTAGTGCACGGGCAGCAACAATCGTCGTTACCCCCCGGGCATGTGAACTTGCAGGAAGGACAAGCTGGGACGTCGTCCTCGCGTGTGGGCGGTGGTGCATCAACACAAATTCCGCCACCGGTAAACCCGGAAACGCAGGAGATCATGAACAGGAGACAAGGACCGTTTTCCCAACTCATCGGCGCCATGAGCCATGTCATGATGCGCATGCCGAGCCGGGAAAGTCGCGGCGGCGGCGGGGGTAGTTCCAGCACAGCGAACAGGAACAACAGTACAACGCCAGGGACAGTGTTGAGCAGACTCAGTTTGCGCCGAGAGACGGATAGCAACGACTTGGTGGCTGCTAGTGCTAACTCGGGAAGAAGTGGAAATGGTGGACAACAACAAGAAGCTCCTGCGAGCACGGGCAGTTCCAGCTCGCCGCCGCAGCAGTTCGCGCAAGCGGATGGAACCGCTGTTGGTCCTCCTGTTGCTCCACCAACGAGCAGTAGTTCTAGTAGTTCTGCTGCGGTACACGTACAAGTGACGAGACAACCCCCGGCCGGAAGTCCGCCACCGCCGCCGCCCGCGGTGGTCGCTGGTGATGCACCTTCAGTCGGTGAAACAGCTGCTGATCAAGGTACTGGTGTATTGAACACGGTGAACATCGGGCGTACGCCGAGGGCGGAAGGCCGAGACTTGCTAGAGGAAGACAACGATGTTAGTATGACACCTCGAAGAGAAGACGAAGCTGATAGTGGTATTAGTCCGCAAGGACACGATCCAGCAGTACAAGTTGAACAGCAAATTATCGACGACACCGCCGTGTCCGTCGTGGATATTGAAGCTGATGTCCCGAATCATTCCCCGCCGCAAACACCGCCGGAGGACAGCGCAAGACCGGTAGTTATGATCGGTCCTGTAAACAACCTCGATAGAAGGCCGTCTTTCACGTATGAGATAGTTCGGGATGATGAGCCACAACCTGCTGTCAACAGCTCCTACCCTTTTCAGGAAGACGATGAAGATGATTTCGAATACCCAGACATTGAGTACCCAGAGAATATGACGATCACGCCGAGGAGGAACGAACTCTCCGCTAGAATTGAGCCAAACGCCAACGGAGCAGCCTCTTCTTCTTCCGCCTCCTCCTCTAGCAACGCTGGCCCCCGTCCCGCGAGCCGAGACAGCTCCGCTAGGATTCGCGCGTTGTTTGAAACTCAGGGGGACAGTCAGGAAGAAAGTGACAATATGATCGGGTTTTCCTCCTCTGACTCTGACGAAGACGCGGAAGACCGGTCGGATGGGCCGCGGGGAGGGGGGCAACTGCTGGTGGGCGGTACAACACTGAATAATGGGCGTTCTGCAAGACAAGTTGGCGGTTCTGGTCGTGCTGCAACTGGAACTACTGCTGTTGTCTCCTCTACCAGACCGTTCCTTGGCCCGTTTCTGGCGAACCGGCGAGACGACCGCGAGCCCACAGAACTATCAACTGCTAAGATGTCTGGGTCTGGAAAGGTGGATGAACTTGTGATGCTGCTTCTGGATTCCAAAAAAATCTGTATTGCCTGTCGAGCAGCAAGAAATGTCTAGTTTTGGTTCTTGTGCGGACGGGACATTCCTCATGCGGGATAGGCATTTGTGATGGTAGGGAATACATCACAGACATCGCGGGTTATGTACGATCTGCATGACAAATCATTCTTCCAGAGGACCCAGACATATTTGCGATGCATAGGAACAAGAGCTAGACGAGTGGGAAGCGGAACTGGATGAGCGGGAGCGGCGGGTGGAAGCGCACGAACGGGCATTGATGGAACTGGAACAGGCTTTATGACAGTGTACAACACCCCCTCCTCCTCATTTGTATAGCATGGACAGCAATGGAAACACCAACACACGTGGGGCCTACGCATGACAAATTTGCGCACCTCATGGAGTACTGTTTGGGCTTCCGGAATTTCTTGTCATGCAAACAATGCCACCGAAAACAGCGACTGGATTTGGCGCTTTGCATGACAAATGAGGCGGAGGGGGGTTTGTGCACTCTCATAGGCTCTCTCTAGCGCGGGACCACAGGAGAACCAGGAGCGGCGACGGACGATAGGAACATCAACTGCGGCACGACAGGAAACAATTACATCTCAGCCTGTAGTTGTGCAGAGTGGTGCAGCTGCAGCCAGAAGCGGAGAGCGGGGACAAGTCTCAGCGTTGCAACAGTCGGCAACAAGCGTCACGTCGGTGGTGCCATTGTCAGCCCTACTGGATGATGCGAGAAATACCATGTTAGCATCTAGATCTACTGCAGGAGCTGCACGTAGTGCTGGTCAACAACAACAAGCGACGTCCAGTTCATCTGCCTTACCAGCCGTCGCAGACACGAGTAATGGCGGAATGGTGAATTCGGGTGCAACTGCAAGTCGTGGTGGTACTCTTGGCGCAGCAGGAATTTCCACTTCTCCTACCAATCCTGCTCCCCCACTACAGCAAAACCAGCCCGATATCCAAGGAAAAAACTGTGTTAGTGTAACTTTCTTGGAGGAATAGCATCACAAGTTTGCTCTGCATGACAGAGAGAGTCTGTCATGCGCGGCTAGTACGTGAAAACACGTACGGAAAGAGCCTCTGATGCATGTCCAGCATGACAAGTGTAACTGTTTTGCATTGTCTGCATCACAGACTTACACTTACACAGTTTTTTTCTTGCAGACCCGACCAAATCCTGCTCGGCCGGTGCCACATGGCGTGCCAGATCGGCCCGACAATTGTGTTTTTCGGAGGTGGTATGAACTGCAAAAGTATCATACTCGTAGTATTGCAATACAAATTAGCTCAGCATGAGAAATGGAATTTGTCATGCTGATTTAGCTTGAAAAAGAAATCTGTCTTGCATGACTGCGATTAGTACGAGTGCGATACTTTTGCACAGGATAGGTGGCAGGCGGGCGGCGAACGAGTTGTTGTGCTTCAACTTGTATCAAATGTAAAAGTGTCTGGGTCTGGAAGAATGCAACTTGTCATGCTAAATCTGAATCAGGCAAAAAACTGTGTTGCATGATTGCCACAGATTGTGCACTGTTGACCTAATCGAGAGGCAGTTTCTCATGCAGGATAGGCATTGGAAAGGTTTCGCAGAATCTGTCATGCTATGTCCTGCATACCAGACCTCATGGGTTATGGAAAACCTGCATGGCAAACCTCGCAATCTTCCAGACCCAGACATTTTTGCAATCCATAACTTGGACAGCTTGACCTGGAAGAAGCCCCTGCTCGTGGATAACAGCACAGCATTCTCGTCGACTAGCGGGACCAGCAATAAAAATAATTCAAAGGAGAATGATGTGATAAAACCGGAAAAAACACTAGAATGCGTCATGTCTGGCGCAGCGGTTGCGGTCCGTGACACGATGTACGTCGTCGGCGGTTGGGTTGGCAACCAAGGATCAACGACGGACGCCTTTGCGCTGCGGTTTCAGGAGTTGTGAGCGGAAGGAATTTGCGATGCTACTTCTGGTATAGAGGAGTATGAATGGACTTTAAAACCGCGAGTCATTTTTTTTTGGTAGAAGTAGACCTCTTGCTTTTTTTGATTCACAATTTATCGGTCATAGCAAGCACAAGTTTCAAGAAATAGATTTCTGGTTTTGAGAAGTTTTTCAAACTGACCGAATTAGCGCGGAAAAGAAACATCGCATTTATAATGACAGCAACACCTTTAGTGTGCGATAAAGGTTCAGTAATGCGCTTTTTAAAAAATGCTTAGAAAATGTTTACTGATTTAGATGGATTTCAATCGTGTGAAGAACGAAATGAAAACACTACTAATCCTAATTGCCAATGGTATGATATGAATTTGAGAAAACAGGATGAAAGAAATTTGCGAATGATACAAGTACACGCGCAAACGCATTTTTGGGATCAAAATATTGTGGTTTTCACCCAGTGTTCCGCCGTGCTTAGGAAGAAAACGCGCTTGTCATTTCAGTTCTATTGGTATCACAGATTTTCCTCTGTGTTGACCTCTGAAGAAGGAACACAAAAAGCAGTCGGTTCTTTTTTTCCTTGCTGAAGAAAGAAACAGAAAGATCCCTAGTAAAAATGAAAAATCTTAATACAGCAGAATCACGGAGGATCCGCAGTAAATATGCACAGCACTGAGCTTGCTAGTACGCTGCCTGAAGAATTTTTTTTCCAAGCCGCGGCTTGAGGCACATTGTGTGCTGGAAATACACTATCTACAGTGTCGGGTTTCTTAGGCATCCACCTTCATTCTTCTTCCTGGTTTTCGTACTTACGGTTACGGTTACCACGTAAGCCGACTTTTTCAGTCGTGAGTTTCTTCCGTCTTCACCCTTCTTCTGAAAAAATTTTAGAAATAATAGTTGAGTGATAGAGAAACAAAAAATTATATCGTCGACACCCCCGTGGGTCACGAAAAGGAAAATAAGCGAAAACTTCATTCTATCCACGGAAATACATGTGTGCAGCCACGTTGTTTTTTGCGACCTGCGCAAAAATTCTTTGCCGCACCTCTCATGGCGTGCTTTCGAACTCAATAGTAAGGCGAAATCCGCTTTCGCTTTGCGTCTGGATTGCCTGTTGAAGAGGGGTACTAACAACTCCGTTTGCACGAGTTGGTAAAAGACGAGACAACTATTCTTTGGATGCGCTAAATAGGGCAATCAGTATATTTTTGGCATGACAAGAAGAACAAGAAGAACAAAGGGAGTGGTGCGTGGTCGCAAAATAAATCGCGGCTGAACATAGTTTTTGTATCAGGATAAATAGTAAACGTAAATCAATCTGTATTTGTTCTTTTGATCATCTAAAACCAGTCCTACGTGTATAATTCATTATCATTTCTGAAAGAGAAATCATTTTCCGTCGTTTCCGACTCATTTGTCCATCTTCCGTTCTCATCCGAAGTATCCGCGGGGGAAATGAAGATCGATCGCAGTCCTTCTAGAGATGAAGCCGGTAGTGCGATGTATTGCGAGCATGCAAATATTTCTATTTCATGCCTGCTGGTGAGCGATCATGGTCATGGTGTCTGGTCGTAAGTAAAAAAAAATAGGTGTCGTTCGCTTTTCTGTTTATTTTGCATGGTCTCTATCTCTTTCCAGGACTGTTGAAAATTTGTGTTGCATATCAGGCAACAAGGCTGTTCCCCGCACAAGATGTACGGCTACAACGTCCAGGTGGTATAGAATTCTATCTAAATGTTGACTCTTTCGATTTGTCATGGTAAAAATCGCATGGTAAGTGCAGTTTGTCATGCAGAATGAACTAAGTACATACCCAAGACTCTACATAAACCATTCAACAGATGAACAAATCCCCGTACGGGTACCAGCGCTCTCCCGCGCTCTCGCCGTTATGGATTGCAAAAGTAGTATCGTACTGGTATAAATGCATTACAAATCTCCTCAGCATGAGAAACAAAATTTGTAATGCGGATTGGACTTCTTGACAAAAAGATTTGTAATGCATGATTGCAATACGAATACGATGCTTTTGCACAGGATAGCCGTACAACCACCACAACTCCCCGTCATCCTCCAGATCGCCCGGCCACCGCGAGGGACTTACGTTTTACTCCGATGATTTACCCAGGGGAAGATATTAGCGGTGTGTAGCTTCTTGTTCTTTCTTGTGCGCGACATGGCGATGGGATAGGGATTTGTGATGTTAAAATGATCCCGAGACTAAGAGTAAGAGTCGTCGCGTTTTTTTTTGTGGCACGCCAGCTTTGTCTTTCGGTTTCTGATATGCGAAGTCATGCTTTGCGTAGTTTATTACCTCGGTGCTAACGACAAGCTGCTATTGCTATCTGCTCTTCCCTTGGATAGGTCAATCTGCGTCCTTACACAGTTTCAAAAGCCGAAATGCAGCAGATGAAAGAGGCGCTGACGAGCCTGGTATAACATTAACGCGGCTGAAAGTAGTTTTCCCCGAAAATGAAAAAAAAAAGACTTGCCACGCATGATTCGATTTGGAGCTCGTTGATGATGCAAAAACTTCTCCTCTCGGATTGATTCCAAAAAAATTATATACAGTACATGGACCGCATCCTACCCGATGAAAAGACCCTGAAGGCCCGGCTCAAGTTATGAAATTGAAAGCAATTATTTGCCAGCTGGTGCGATGCGGGATCGTCCGCTTTTGTCATTCAAATAAACACTTTTCAGTGCAGAATATTCATGCCTGTCCTGCTCTTTGTGATCTTCCAAGACAAAAACACTCCTTCACTTCTCCAACTAGCAAATAAATCCGTTTTCAATTTCATAGTTGGTGCATTGTGCGGAAGGATCTCCCTATGGAAGCAAAAAATGCCATCGGTGCACCATAATGTAGTTCGTGACACGTCGTGTGTTTGTGCATGGATTCGAACGATAATCATTCGAAACTGCTTACATTGTCGTGCTGCGCATGATGACCTTGAGGCCTTTGCTGGTGTGTCTCTGTATCAAAAGATTTGAAGTTGTCTTTGTCTGCATGAAGAAACACTATTTGTTAACTCAAACACACTAAAACTCTCATGCTCATCTTCGTCAGGCCAAGTTCTTCCCATCGCGGACTGAGGTAGTTCTACCGATCGAGTTTTTCGTTTCCATACCCCATTACTGACCGACGATTTCATCAATGCCTATCGTGTATGAATAGAATACATCACTCAAAAAGACAGCTGAATTTGTGTTGTCAGAGAGCCTATCATTAATAAGTGGAGAAAAGAGTAAAGCCCATGAATGTATGAAGAATATCGGAGAAAGTCCTACTTTTTCTACGTGAAGCAATACAAGTCTCGGTGTTCTTTCGGACTGGCTTTTTGAACTTCCATAACTCCTCCTGCCGGAATACGTTGTCGTGAAGAACGAAAACGGGATATAACCCGCTCAGGTGTTACAATCTCAAGCGTCACAGTAGAGCATGGAAATCTGTGATGCAAGATTGCATGATCTAGCCAAGTCTCATAGGAGTGCGCATGACAAGTGCCGGAGCCCTAAACCCTACGACAATCCGGCGAAATTTGTATTGAAAATAAAGTTGGAACGCTGTGCGAGTCTGTCATGCTCATCATGCAACACAGATTCTATTGTAACGTTTGAGATTGTAACTTTTGAGCAAGTTATATGGGAACATCGTAATTTTTATCAAGTGCAAATGTGTAGTCTGGGTCTGGAAGAGTGCAACTCGTGACGCTAGTCCCTTTGGACTCGACATAGAATCTGTATTGCATGAACAGCAAAAGTAGAGGTCCAATTTTTGCTTTACGCGGAGAGGGAATTTGTCATGCAGTATGACCATCAGAATGTTTCTCTCGCAGAATGATCTCTGATGCTCGGGCATGCATCACAGCCCTTATGATGGGTCATGCAAAATCTGCATGACAAAGTCCTGCACTCTTCTAGACCCAGATATATTTGCACTTGATAATTTCTTTGGCAAAAGAGTTGGTGCTATCAAGTGTAAAAATGTCTGGGTCTGGAAACTTGTGATGCTGTGTGGCGTCTCATGATGAGGCTACAAGTGCTGGCTCAGCATGACAAGTTTCTGAGCTTCTAGGTGTTGCCAATTCCGCATGACAACCTGCGCTTCTGCATCACAGAAAAATGGAGCTCTTGGGTAACGTGCATGACAGATTTAAGAGTCATGCCAGACAAGCATGACAAACATGCATTCTTCCAGACCCAGACATTTTTACATTTGATAGGTGCCTGCCGACTTTCTCGGGTTCGTGGTATCCTGTGCAAAAGCATCGCGCTCGTAGTAATTCCATTTTTGAATCTCCAAATCTGGTTTCCCAGGTGCTTCACGACCATGACAGATTTCATTTGTCACGCTGACAAAACTAAATGATTAAATTTGTAAGAAAAATACTACGTACTAGAAGAACTGGTTTGAAGATGCTTTTGCAATGCATACGTCGATCCAACCAGCAATGCCGATCCGTATGGGAAGGACGTGTGGGATGGGTTTGAGACCTATGAAATGCAAAAGTGTCTGGGTCTGGAGTGTTGCAGGGTTTGTCATGCATATTTTGCATGACCCAGGATTGTTTGTGATGTATGCCCTACCATCACAGATTTTCAGAACCCTTCCTGATTCCTACTCCGCATGACAAATACCCTCCCCGCGTAGCACAAACTAGACTCCTCTAGCTGGTCACGCAATACAGATTTTTTTGGAGTCCAAAGTTAGCATCACAAGTTCCAACCTTCCTGACCCAGACACTTTTACATTTGATAAGACCTACCTTGGTTCGATGATCGAAACATTCCAGAGCCAGTCCAGACAGGTATATTTAGAGCATTTCTCTATCAAATGTAAAAATATCGGGGTCTGGAAGAATGCAAGATTTGTGATGCAGGTTTTCCATGACCCATGAGGTCTGGAATGCGAGACCCAGCATGACAGATTTCTTGAGGTCTTTATCATGCCTTTCCTGCATGAGAGACTCCCCCTCAAGTTGGTCAAAAGCGGACAGCTTTTGGTACTCACGCAACACAGATTTTTGCATCATTGAGATTTAGCATGACAAGTTCTAACCTTCCAGACCCAGACATTTTTGCATTTGATATTTTCATTTTTGTGGCAATGTGTCGGCGTAGCTTGCCATGGTCGTAGCTGCAGTATAGTGTTTTTTGTGAAGAATAACAATAAAGATAGGTAGCATTTGCATTCCATGTCCAACAATACCACAGCAGAATCCTACCGGAGTTAGTATCCAAGGAAAAGAAAAAGCATTGCTGTGATTTTTTGCATTCTTTCCTGGCTCCTTCGTGCTGCCGAAATTTAGACTCTTTGCGCAACTGAAAGCTTCAGTTTGTATTTTTCTTTGTCATGACAAGTCGTCCCTGTATGGCCCATTTTCTGCAACACAAATTTACGACAGTGATGCTTTATTTTTCCTTGGATATCCTCCTTCCACAGAGGAAGATACGGCATGGCGGTGGACCTGTATAAAAGGGAATTACTATGAAGATGTTGAAAACTCGGCGTCCTACGCCTCTGGAAATCATGCAGCTAAGTAATAATTATGTAAAGAGCCTGGTTTTCTGCAATTGTGATGAGATATATCAGGCAGGCGCTTCTCCATAGGTTAAACTGCAATTTTTGATAAAACCGAGAAACAGAAATGAGATGTGGCAGTGATTTTCATCTTCATAGAGTGAATTCTTCAAGGATTTGACTCTTGGAGAGGTCTATCAAGTGTAATAATGTCTGGGTCTGGTTGAATGCCACTTGTCATGCTGCGTTTGGATTCCAAAAAAATCTGTATTGCATGAGTACCGAAGGCAATGCAATTTATTTTGCTACGCTGAGAAGGCATTTGTCATGCGGAATAGGCATCAGGAAGCCCTCAAAAAATCTGTATTGCTAGGGTATGGATCACAGACATCATGGCTCATGCAAAACGTGCATGACAGGTGTCAGAATCTTCCAGACCCAGGCACTTTTGCAGTTGATAAGGTCTGCCACGTGGTGGAGTTGGCGATTCAGATATCCAAAAAAAAAAAAGACTGCAGGCGTATTTTTTTGGAGGAACTGCATGACAAATCTGTGTGGCATGAGGGCAAAACCTGTCATGCGCAGATAGTACTGAAAAACGCAGCTGAATGGACCCTACAACGCATTTCCAGCATGACAGACGCAATCATCTTGCACGTTGCGCACCACAATAAACTTACACTAACAGTGTTTTTTTCTTGGATATCAGAGGGACCTCCTTCACTACGAGAACAACTTGTTACTCCCCGCCCAGGCCTGCGGAAAATACCATAATGGTATAGGTTTTTTCCCTCAAGAACGATTTGTAGTCAATTTCAATGCCTTTGCACCTTGTAGATTTTGTTCCGATCATCGTTTTATCGGTCCTCGATCATGGCGGACATCTAAAAGAATTTGGAGCATATTTTTTGTGAAAATGTCATGAAAAACTTAACTCTCAGCGATTTACGGTGTCCCAACGGCCTCTGCGGCGAACCAGAGGCACACCGGTTCTTCGAGTTATATTCAATCGATGGAAGAGTTGAAGTACCTCCTCGCCGACTTATGCCAGTAAAATTCTGAATCTAGGCTGCAAGAAAATCTGTAAAAACAAAGCCACGTGTTCCGGGGGCAATCGGCGGGGCTCTGTGTATTCCTTCGCATCAATCTATGCACAACTTCATTATCGAACCGAACTTGATTCGAAGATGTTTATTTCACTTATCGGTCTAACTACAGATTTTTTATCTAATGCAGGTCCTAATCGAGACAGAATTTTGCGGGTATACTTGCTTTTGACCCGGTACCCCGAGGGCTTCAACCTGTCAACGTTGAAGACGAAGATCAAGGTATTTCCTCATAGTTTATCCCGTGCCGGCATACAATACAAGCACAGCTAGTCATAGTGTAACCAGAAGAAAAGGAATAGTTCAGAGCAATTGGGCCGCAGAGGAAGCATTTTTGCCCTGCAGCAACCGTTCGCATGTAAAAATGCAAAGTCGTGTAGTCACCATCTAGAAATCCAAATCTTATCCCCATGATCACAACAGGCCTACTACAACAAGCGGCTTTCGGAAACCGTCTTCCACGAGACCAAGCTGCTTACACTGGTCACGCAGTCTCCCATTGATACCATTGTGAAGATTGTGAAGCTGCAAGGGAATTGCGGTTATGCAGTGCAAAAACATCGTTACTAGTAGTAATTGCATATACAAATTAGCTCAGCATGAGAAACGGAATCTGTCATGCTGTTTTAGCTTAAGAAGAAGATTTGTCATGCATAATTTCAATGACAATTACTACGAGCGCGATGCTTTTGCAATGCATAGCGGTTACCTGTGTCAGCCCGCGTTTGACGTCGAGTCCGGTCCCAGAGTATCCTGTGCAACAGTATCCTACTCGTATTGCAGTCATGCATTACAAATCTTTTTCTTAAGGTAAATGCGCATTACAAATTTTATTTCTCATGCTGAGGAAACTTGTAATGCATTTATACGAGTACGATGCTTTTGCAGTTCATACAGAGGCGTCCCACGGCCCTACCGCTACGAAAACTACCGCAGCAGCCATGGACAGTACAATCGCACTCGGGCCGCTCCCCGGCAGCAGTACCAGAACAACACCTCCTACAACCGCGCCAACAACAACTACAACTCCGCCGGGCGACAGGCTGGTCAGCAGAACTGGTATGGCGGAGGACAGCAGAGCTCCTACCCGACTCCGAGCTCGACTGGCAGCTGGAGCAGCGGTTACACCTGGACCCCGTCGTCTTCAACTGGTGTGTACAGTAACAGTAGCTGGTCCTCATACAACGGTTACGGTTCCTCTTCCTGGAACAACGGATCGGTGCCGGCCTCGACTATGACCTCAACTTCTTCAGCCACAACTACATCCAGTAGTAATTAATAGCGTGAGTCTCGCGTAAGAGAGCAGCTTCTAGACGGATTTCCCATAAATTAGACTCTTATGAAGAAGAAAGAAGAACGAAGAAGTTTATTTCTCTAGCCGAGCTCCACTAGAAGTCGTGTCCCAGCGCGAATCCACACTTTTTGAGATTTGCTTCATCTGCTCTCGCGACAATCTTGTGTTGAGCTGCTATTTTCCAACTTTTTCATCTTCTTACGGTCGAAAAGGTACCTATGATTTTCCGAAATGCAAATGTTTCATCTTGCGAGTTGTCCCATAGCAGCACTGAGTTACTCCTAGTGATGTGAGAGGATTCGTGTCTAACAGATTTCTTTTTCTTACACTTCTTTTCGATGACAAGTGCCATCGTTTGTCAAATTTCGATTTTAGTAGATCTGACGAGAATTGTAATTTTGAGACTTAAACTCTTTTCCACTGACTTTGCTTCTGTAGATCGTTTCACAACTTCCACTTTGTACACTCAGCGATTTTTTATCTCGACTAGATATACTCCCGAAGAAGAGGCACGAGATAAATTGACTACTTTGAATTTCAGGAGAAATGTATTTGAAGACGCGCAGGTGTCCGGTGCAGTATTCCGACATTTGGCACTGCAGCGTCCCAATAAGTACTTGTTTTATAATCGGAAATCCATCCGTTTGGAGCTAAAAAGAACTGTGCTTTTCAGCAAGAAATCGAAAATAGCCTGTCCTAGTCCTAGAACAACAGCAACATAGCTACCTATTCGTAGACACGACAAGCGAACCTCAGAAGCTAGTAGCTGCGAAGATTTTCGCAAAACTATTTCCTAGAAGCGGCTCCCCGCCGAAGTATCCGCATGGATAGCAAGCGAAAGCTTCTTCAAAAAGGAGTTGTACTAGTAGAACGAATTATTATTGTTTTTCGTACGACGCCAGACTAGCGCAACTTCTACAAATCGCTCTTCAGGATGAAAAGCAGATAGGAAAAAATTCGCGACAGCGAAAAATCTGGTATGGAAATAAGAAGCCGTGATGAGAAAAATCTGCTTCGAAGAAACACAAACAATGCTTAGCCTAGCAACTGCTAGGACCGCAATAGATTCTACAGGAATAGGTGGCCCTGGCAGTCCAGAATCGGACATGGAAAAGTCAATATAGCTGTTGAAAAACACTACCACATCATCGCATCACACTACCGCAGAGGGTCGTATTGAAATTCTTGCAGCTTCTCACAGTATTGGGAGAGTCGCTTCTTCCAGCTGTGACAGGTTGCGTAGAGCTCAGTTTCTGTTTCAAAACTTTTTGCCTCTCTGCAACGAATTTTGATAGAAAGATCGTAGCGATTCGCTAGCAAACAACAAGTAGCAACAGCTACATAAAGTAAGATGATATGACTCTTTTCCTTTCAGGAACTGGAAATGAAATATGGCGAAAGAGTAAAAACGAAAATGTACTCGAATAAATCAATGTTGAAGGACGCAGCTTTGAATTGATAGAGCAAGTACTACTGAGCAAAAATAGCGATAGTGATGAAAACTACATCAATTAGCACTACAATAGTGCACGCGGCGAAGAGGAGGCAGCTGACGCGTGCCACTAGTATCTTTATTCAATTTGAAATAGTACAAAAATGCGGCAAGGGCTCCCTATTGTTGCTCTGAACGGGCGGAAAGTCCTAGTAGAGGTGGTGATAGAAGGAAACAGGCTCTTGAAACTGCACAAAGTATCATCTTTCGAAAATTGGAAAACCTGAGTAATTCACATTCACTAATCTGCGAAAAAATCAAAAGCAAAACTACAAAACGTAAAATTTTTACTGTCTCAGAAGTATCAAGCATTGCTCATCGTTATCTACTCTTTCCGACACATCAGAAGATTTATTTTATGCTACTTGTTACAACTTCCCGGCGAGATAAGCGGTTCTTTTCTGCCAAATAATTTCATCAGCACCATTGGTATTTCAATTTCTTCACTTCAGGTATGAATTCGCGGCTCAACAAGCTCGGTCGAGAACCGAGTTTCCATTATTTCACTGCTAGACCTAGATATACTCGCACTAATCGTAATCTCAGATAGCGTAAGGTAAAATTGTTCTTCGTAGTATCACCCACCACAAAGTTGGTCTTCAAATCTTGACTTTAGAATAGCACACTTTACCGAACTGTAAATGGCGTTAGACCAAGCGGCGAGTGAGAATTACTCATCGCGCTTGAAAGTACACCTTTCTGTAAGGAACAACGACCATTAAAACCTGTATGGGACGACGACGATTTACACCTAGAGTATTTCATGTCTTTCAGAGGAGAATGACACCTACTGTATTCCTCCCCACTACTAGGGCTGCTACTACGCTGATTATTTCAAATCTTGAAAATTTCAGCCAGAGGACTGCTTTTTCGTACGAAAACTTGAAGCCAGAGGAAAATGATGTTGGCGCCCAAGCGGATTTGGTAAGGTTGACTCTTCCTTTCTTTTTCGAAATTTTTCTTTACAGCTCTAGCGTTTATTACTTTGACTTTCGCAGAAAAAAGAAAAACAACCAAAAATAATCCGCAGCAAGTGCGACGAAGCACACAAGGTCAAGGCCTGGCGAGTACTCTGTTCGGGATTGAGATCCCTTTCCAATATAGCGGTGGGTCTGATGTCAAGCGAAAAGTCGACGGAGTGATATAATTGCTGTATGGAGGGAAAGCATACAGTGCGACAAAAGCTCTGTGTCGTGAAACGTGAAATATTGAGTCGTTTTCGTTAGAAGAGTGAGTTGAGGCCACTATAGTTGGAGGAAGATCGTGCAGGAGTCGTAAACTAAGATTTCTTGGTTGGAGAGACAGTGGAGTAAAGTAATTATTGTTGTCCAGCTGCGGTTGCAGCGACAGCTGCTACCTAGACAGGGTTGAATATGACTTCCTTGTTGTAGAAGTACTTAGCTCTGGCCCAGCTGCAAGTTGTACTCATCTTCACTAGAATGCAGGTCACCAACGGCGCCATGAGCTCATGACAGCCTCCCCACCGTCCTCTCCCTCGACAAGAAAGAGCATGTCGCAGCTGGCAGCATCAACTACCAGCCGACCAGCCACCGCGGCCGCCGCCGCCGGTAACAAGGACTACAGCACCACCTCCAGGTCGTCGAGAAAAATGACGGCCAGCGTGCCCAACATCACCACCATCGCAGCTGCGGCTACAAGCTCTTCCTCTCCGAAGATGCGATTTCTCTCGAAACTCTTCATCGAGCTACCATTTGTGCTCGCTGTGTCCCTTCTCGCATCGGAGTACTTGTTCCCCGAAGCATTCCTTTCGGTTTCCGTCGGCTACCTCGCCTTCACGTGTCCGGACCTGTTTTCTTCTTCTAGCACCACAAGAACATCACGAGTTTTACCGAAATACCAGCTGTACGAGCTCGACTTCCATTCCATCGCAGTGTCCAGGATCTGCATCGGCCTGACTCTACTCTGGATCTGGACCAGAGAACTTTCCGCCTACGACACCTACGCGTTCCTCACCGACCGGGGCGTCTGGCCGCGGCAAGGAGCGGTGGCGCATTCTCTGAACGGGCTACCGCAGCCACTTCTTGTTCTCGGCGGGAATTGGTTTGTGCAGCTGTTCATCCGACTTCCATCTTTGGTGTTTTCGGGTTGTTTAATCCTCGGCTACAAACCACAGATCTCGGCTTTGGTCTTGCACATCCTCTGGGCTGGTGTGACGGCGCGGAACACCAATTTCGTCACCAGCTTCGACATCCAGCTGCGGACGTATCTGATGTATTTAGCCGCGTTTCCTGCCGGAGCAGTGTGGAGCTTGGATAGTGCATTGAAGCGGCACAGGGCCAGTTTAGCGGAAAAGCGAAGAAAGATCAGCGACCTGAGCAATCTAGCCGATCTGTATTTGGAGGAAGAAAGAGAGATGAATAGCAGTGGGAACAAGACGAGGAACAAGAAAGGCGATAGTAATAGCAGCAGTGGTCGTGTACAACTAACAACAACTTCTCAAACGACGACGAAAGCGAGCTCGAGCAAAAAGCAAAAGGACAAAAAGTCCGCTTCTTCCTCCTCCTCCGAAGCGGATGAGTCTACCGGTGCGAGTAAGGAGTTGGAGAGCTTCATCGAGAAGTGTCAGCAAAATTTGAAGCCGGAGAAGCCACAATCTGTTTTGGAATTCGTGACAACTTTCTACCGAACAGGAAAGGCGAGTAACTGGAGAACGGCTTTTTTAGAAGCGGTCTGCACAATAGAGGATGTTGTTTCCGAGGGGTTTTTCGGCGAGGCGCAGTGGACAGCAGGAGAAACACCTTCTGGTTCTGCGACAGCTGTGAACAATAAATCTGTACTGCAGGAGGAGGAGGAGGACGCAAGATCAAGAACCTACACCAGCTGGGCTTCGTTCGCGCTCTACATTCAGACTTGGCTTCTGTATCCTGTGCAAAAGTTCTTGTGTCGCAGAATCATGAAACTGATCGCAAGCATGATGCAATGCATGAGAAAGCAGCCGGGCGAAAAATTGAATGAAAAACAGGAGCGAACGGCCATCCCTCCACACGGCTTCGGGCACGGATGGTAGGTGACTGTCCGTGTGGAGGGATGGACTGTCCGCTCCTGTTTCGAGAATGGGGCAGAAAAAGTTTTCTTCATACTAAAATTTCTGAAAAAAGCTGCCTTGCAGAAGTGAACCTGAAAAAGGAGCGAATTGCCATCCCTCCACACGGCTTCGGGTACGGATGGTAGGTGACTGTCCGTGTGGAGGGATAGACTGTCCGCTCCTGTTTCGAGAATGAGAAAGAAAAAATTTTCTTTTACCAAAATTGGTGCAAAAAGCTGCCTTGCAGAAGTGAACTTGAAACAGGAGCGAATGGCCATTCACCAACACGGCTTCGGGCACGGATGGTAGGTGACTATCCGTGTGGAGGGATGGACTGTCCGCTCCTGATTCGAGAACGGGACTGAAAAAGATTCTCTTCCACTAAAATTTCTGCAAAAAGCTGTCTTGCAGAAGTGAACTTGATTCAGGAGCGAATGGCCATCCCTCCACACGGCTTCGGGCACGGATGGTAGGTGACTGTCCGTGTGGAGGGATGAGTTTTCCGCTCCTGTTTCGAGAATGGGACAGAAAAAATTTCCTGTTACGAAAAGTTCTGCAAAAAGCTGCCTTGGCGAAGTGAACTTGAAACAGGAGCGAATGGTCATCCCTCCACACGGGTTTGGGCACGGATGGTAGCTGACTGTCCGTGTGGAGGGATGGATTGTCCGCTCCTATTTCGAGAATGAGACAGAAAAAATTTTCTTTCACTAAAATTTCTGCAGAAAGCTGCGTTGCAGATTCGAACTTGAAACAGGGGCGAATGGCCACCCTTCCACACGGCTCCGGGCACGGATGGTAGGTGACTGTCCGTGTGGAGGGATGGATTGTCCGCTCCTGTTTCGAGAGTGGGACAGTAAAAATTTTCTTCTACTATAAATTTCTGAAAAAAGCTGCATTGCAGAAGTGAACTTGAAACAGGGGCGAATGGCCATCCCTCCACACGCCTTCGGGCACGGATGGTAGGCGACTGTACGTGTGGAGGGATGGATTGTCCGCTCCTGTTTCGAGAATGGGACAGAAAAAGACTCTCTTCTACAAAAATTTCTGAAAAAAGCTGCCTTGCAGAAGTGAACTTGAAACAGGAGCGAATGGCCATCCCTCCACACGGCTTCGGGCACGGATGGTAGGTGATTGTCCGTGTGGAGGGATGGATTGTCCGCTCCTGTTTCGAGAATGGGTTAGAAAAAATTCTCTGTTACTAAAATTTCTGAAAAAAGCTGCCTTGCAGAATCGAACTTGAAACAGGAGCGAGTGGCCATCCCTCCACACGGCGTCCGGCACGGATGGTAGGTGACTGTCCTTGTGGAGGGATGGACTTTGCGCTCCTGTTTCGAGAATGGGACAGAAAAAATTTTCTTCTACTATAAATTTCTGAAAAAAGCTGCCTTGCAGAAGTGAACGTGAAACAGGACGGAATGGCCATCCCTCCACACGGCTTCGGGCACGAATGGTAGGTGATTGTCCGTGTGGAGGGATGGATTGTCCGCTCCTGTTTCGAGAATGGGACTGAAAAAGATTCGCTTCTACAAAAATTTCTGCAAAAAGCTGCATTCAAGAAGTGAACTTGAAACAGGAGCGAATGGCCATCCCTCCACACGGCTTCGACCACGGGTGGTAGGTGACTGTCCGTGTGGAGGGATGGAATGTCCGCTCCTGTTCAGAGAACGGGACAGAAAAGATTCTCTTCTACTATAAATTTCTGCAAAGAGCTGCCTTGCAGAAGTGAACTTGAAACAGGAGCGAATGGCCATCCCTCCACACAGCTTCGGGCACGGGTGGTAGGTGACTGTCCGTGTGGAGGGATGGATTGTTCGCTCCTGTTTCGAGAACGGGACAGAAAAGATTTTCTTCTACAAAAATTTCTGCAAAAAGCTGCCTTGCAGAAGTGAACTTAAAACAGGAGCGAACGGCCATCCCTCCACACGGCTTCGGGCACTGATGGTCGGACGCAGCTATGCAGGAGGGATGGGCAAATCGCTGGAGTTTCAGCGAATTGCAAACTATATCAGAAGAATACAAAAGAACTGCTCCCAAAACAAGTAGAGTTTTCTGCAAATAAAGATCTTTGCACAGGACAAACTCTACTTTTTCACCATGTGGTTTAAAACGGACATCACCTGGAAGTGGAAAGACGGCTCCGCCCCCCTCCTCGCCGCACAAGTCCCGTATTTCAAGTATTCCTACACGGACTACCTTTTGGATTCCAACCTCGTCGTCTACTTGTTAAAACTATGCATTGCAAAAGTATCGTACTAGAACTAGTATGAATTGCATTACAAATTTCCTCCGCATGAGAAATGGAATTTGTAATGCTGATTGACCTTAGGAAAAAAATTTGTAATGCATAACTGCAATTACTACGAGTGCGATACTTTTGCACAGGATAGAAACTGGCTGGCGGCGTGACGAAACCCACGATGGTCGGCGTTTCCGCTGCGGTTTTTGCCGTCTTGCCTATCCCGTGCAAAAGTATCGTACTCGTACGAATTGCAAACATGCATGACAAATCTTCTTCCTAAGGAAAAACAGCATTACAAATTGCATTTGTCATGCTGAGCAAATTTGTAATGCAATTTGTACTAGTATTAAGATGCTTTTGCAATGCATATTGCCGGTGTTGAAGCAATTGACCGCTCTCGGGTTTTTCGGGAACGGAAAATTCCCGAAATTACTGTTAGCCGGCTGGCACTTCTCCCAGTTTCTCGGCGTTTTGATTTTGATGTCGTTCCACGCGGGAATTTGTGTTTTGATTGACCTTGGGTCATATGCTGTCGTGCAAAAGTAACGTACTAGTATAAATTGCATTACAAATTTTTGCAAGAAGAAAAGTGGAATTTGTAATGCTGTTTTAACTTAGGAGAGAGATTTGTCATGCATATTTGCAACTAGTACGAGTACGATACTTTTGCACAGCATAGGTCAGTCACTCTGATCAACATGTCGGTGTTGGTCGTGTTTCTGCCGAACGGGTACGCAAAGATGATTATCTTGTGCAAGTATCGTACTCGTATTGCAGTCATGCATTACAAATCTTGTTCTTGAAGCAAATCCGCATTACAAATGTTTTTCTCACGCTGAGGAAATTTGTAAATGCATTTATACGAGTACGATACTTTTGCAGTTCATAACAATTGCGGACGTTTTGGCTGGAACGGCTTGTCGTGCGACGAGACTGTCGTGTTGCGGCAAGAAAGATAAGAGGTCAACTTCAACATCATCTAGTACGCGAAAAAAGATCAGCAGAATAGAAACTGAACCGGCGAACGGTGCGAGGACGAAAACAGCTTCAAGAACATCTTCGTCAACGTCTGAAGCTGCCTCTGACAACCACTTCCACGGTCGTGCAGTTGACGCAATAGGACCTTCTATTGTTCCGACCCCTATCCCCTTCCTCACCCGCCTTTCCGCTCTGTTCTGGTCCTTCGTCGTCGTTTTCCTAATTTGCTGGATCAACGGCCACGTCTTGTACGATTGCAGTCCGCTGGCGCACTCTGCGTCTTTCTGCTCCGACGAACAGGAGGGGAACAAAACCGAACTTGGGAAAAGAATCACGTTGAGTAAGAAAGCGCTGGAATTAAATGTTTACCAAGCATTGAACTTCCAGCAAAACTGGAAAGTCTTTTCCCCACGCCCCGAGACCGAACCCTGTTGGATCATCGCGCCGGGAATTTTAAAGAAGGATGTCGATAATTTTCAGAAGTGGAAGACGGTATTGGAAGCGACAAGGTTTGGAAGCGGCATGAGGTCTTTCAACGTCAGCGACAAGGTTTTGACCAACAGCTCCCAGCTCTTGGTTTTGAAGGAGTTTTTCAAGACTTACAACTACTCGGATATCTCCCCTGCGGTCTACGCCGGAGTAGAATCGTCCGAGGAGGTACAATATCCTGTGCAAATGTGCCTAGGGGGTAGGAAAATCCAAAATTCTTAGGCTGATAAAAATACAGCTTTTTTCACATTTCTGACGTTTTTGCTGCGAAAAAAGTGCGCAGCTTGTGCTCATCTGCGCACTCCGAATGTGTGTGCTGTGTCGCACTTTTTGACACGACTTTCGCGCGCACGCGTTCCGGGTTAGTTTGCCGTCGACGAATATTAAGGGCGATCACGCAGATGCATCAGGAGGTCGTGGCTTCTGGTGCTGGTGCGCCGAGCCCACCTGCAACTGTTGCGCAAAACGTTCCAAAGCCCCGCCGTTCGTGCCATGTAGTTGTCAACTGCCAAGATTTCTCTGTTTGGAAACTGTAAAAGCTTGTACCTGTCGACTCGAGAAGTGCAAGCTTCTGCAGTTTGCATGACAATATCTATTCTATTGTCTATTTACAGTTTGCATGACAAATGCAAACTTTACAGTTTGCATGATTTCCAGCAAACCGACTTTCGAGCTTCAGAAGCAAGCTGTAACGCCTTCGAACAAGCTCTCTTTGTATTTCGAGTGATATCACTCGAAATACAAAGAAAGCTTGTTCGAAGGCGTTTGCAGTTTGCTTCTGAAGCTCGAAGTTTTTATCAGGATATCTCCCCTGCGGTCTACGGCGGAGTAGAAGCGGGCCGCGGGATAGAAGTACCAGGTGCAAGTGCGAGTAGAACCTCCGACACGACTACCAATATTACAACATCTTCTACTGCCGTTTTCGCAGAACATCGATCCAACAGCGACAAGTTAATCCCGTGGCTATTCGACAAGAAGCAATCAGCCTTCCCATCTGTCGATGTCATGTCCGTGATTTTTCCCAATGGTATCTACGCGAAGTGGAATTTGGACTTCAACGAACCAGCCCTGATTCCGAAACTGTACCAAGACAACACCCACCCCAGGTCCGTCCCCAGCGCCCGGTGGGGAAAATTTTTGACCAATCTCCAGTACGGCTGGAAAAACGACAACCAGAAGGAGGAGAAGACGAACATGAGGCTGTGGTTTGGGAGGTTTGTCTGCCGGGAGTGGAATTTGTACAACGGGGAGAGAGGGGAGGATAAATTAGTCGCGTTTCGGATATTGACCATGTTGAAGTCGAATGAAAAGTGGAATTACGGGTGGAATTCGAATAAGCAGAACGCGACGTATCGAAACATCACGCTGTGGAATCACGTCTGCTAGAGTTATGGTGTTTGGGGGCAGGTGTTGGGAAGTGTGATGGCACGGTTGTTGTGGAGATGAATTACGGGATGAATTATCCGACGGCTACTTTTAGCGGTCTTTCAGAACTGTACTTTACTTTCTAGTCGTTTCGAGTTGTGCTTCTGACTATGTTTCCGGATGGACCATGTATCATGTTTCGGAGGATTTGAAGGACTTTTTCAATCACACAATGCGCTGCTGTCCTCGATGTGGAGCTCGTCAAATTTGTACGTTTCCTAGAACTTTTACTTTTTTGCGCAAGAGGACGAAAAGCACGGAATTGCACCAGGAGTGCTCGTCCCATGAAAAAAGTCTTTTGCTTTCTTGAGGGTCGTGGTTTTCGCAGACAGTGCAAAATCGATCCCACTGAAGATCACATGTTCCAAATAAATGTTCTTCGGGATGAAAAACCGATCTGATAGATGATCTCGAAGGTCAAACTAAAAACGGAGGGAGCCGGTAGGCTGTTGCCTGCAGTTTTTCGTACTTGAGCACTGCTTTTTGTTTTTCATTTGCTTTCATTTTCCGTCTTTGGTTCTCTTTAAATACAAATGTAGAACTTCATCAAAATCAAGATGCACGGCCAGCACCAGCAGGCGGCACCCCCCGACGGTGGGTCGAGGGAGCAAGAAATCCGGTCGTCATCACGTGATGACACCTGAAGGTGGAACGCGCTGAGCTGGTGAGACTCGCTGCAACCGACTGGAGAACTACTCGCAGTTCCACCTGGGATCCGACGACCCGACACAGGCTGGCACGATGAGGTCGGCATTTCACGGGGCGGCCATGACGCCCTTTGCTCTGGGACCACCCGATGGGCTAGTGGCACACAACATCATGACAACGCCTTCTTGGCAGCTCCTTTTTGTAGCCCTGGTCTTGCAACTATTACTGCTCTCTCCCCTCGTCCCCGCCCTCGTTTCCGCAGCACCAGAAGCACTGATCTCCTCCGAACAGCGTTTGGAAGACCTGGTCGGCGACGCGCCCGATGCGTTTCGCGAAGAAAAGAAAAACCTGGTCACGGGGGACAACCAAAACATCGACATTCACAAAACCTTCGGAAAAAACGTCGAGAATTTGTACCGAATGCCCCTGGGCGGCATGACGAACCTCCACCACCCGACCTCCTGTTCCCGGAAACGGAATTGCGAGCCTAGATGGTTTATCAATCGCAAAAGTATCCTCGTACTCGTATAAATGCATCACAAATTTCATCTGCATGAGAACTGGAATTTGTCATGCTGTTTCACCTTAAGGACAAGATTTGTCATGCATAATTGCGATATAGTACGAGGAGTGCGATACTTTTGCACAGGATATGGTTGGAAGTCCGGCAGATGGTGAACATCTTCCTGGAGCAGCCGTTCAACTCCGACACGCCTGAAAACCGCCAAGCCATGGAAAAAACGATCAACGGGATGATCGGTAGACGCTGGGACTTATCCAACTGCGACTGCACCTGTGGCGTCTGTCACACGTTTCTGCAAGAGTGCCCTCTAGGGCATTTGGTGACAAAATGGATGAGCTTTTTCGGCACAACTGCAGCGTTTCGGGCACTGATTGTGTATGGGAACGTGCTACACAAAACCGATTTGAATGAAAAAAACGGGTTTGTGAAGAGAATAGGTTCAACATCATCGGGTGCCAATAGCGATTCGGAAGCCGACTCCGAGCAAGACGCGGCGTCATCCGACCAGGAAATAAATTCTTCATCCGATGTCGATACATCCAACGAAGACAGGTTAAAGGAGTTCGATATCGTGGAGGATTACGGGAGCAATATCCTCTTCATGATCCGGGGCAATTGGGGGAGCTACAATTTGATGCAGTCCGGGTGGCCCTTGTACGACATTCTCCTCCGGTTATCTCACCAGTATGCATCGCAAAAATGTCTGGGTCTGGAAGGATGGAACTTGTGATGCTGTGTTTGGATTCTAAAAAGATTTGTATTGGATGACCAGCAAGAGGGGTCTAGGTTGTGCTATGTGGGGAGGGCATTTGTCATGTGGACTAGGCATCAGGAAGCCTTCTTAGAATCTGTGATGCTAGCTCATGCATTACAGGCATCGTGGGTCATGCAAAACATGCATGACAAACCTTGCACTCTCTCAGGAGACCCAGACACATTTACAGTTGATAACCAGCTGAAACAGGATAATTACCCAGTGGAGGACTTCATCCGGCAATCGCAGGCGGAGAAAATCGATTTTGAAACGTGGAACGCGGTAAACAACGCGGACACGACTCAGAGGCTGATCATCGCGGAGCTTGCCCACCGGAACGCGCCGGTGTTGAGAAGGTACGAGAAGCCCACCTGGTTCTGCTGCTTCCCGACCAGCTACGAAAGGGTGCGGCAGGAGATACACGTATCCTGTGCACAAGTATCGTACTCGTATTACATTCATGCATATACAAATCTCTGATTTAAGGCAAATCCCCATTACAAATTTTATTTCTAATGCTGAGGAAATTTGTAATGCATTTGTACGAGTACGATACAACTTTTGCAATGCATGCCACGTTTTGAAGTACAACTTGCGGCTGATACAGTTTGAGAAAATCTCGCTGGGCTGGTTTTCTTTTTTATCCGACGCGTGGGTCAGTCTGGGGTTCGGAGAATTGTCTGTTGGAAGTAGTAGAACTACTGCAACTAGAAGTGGCGCAGCTACGGTCGTGACATCTACTGCTGGGAGAACTACTTCTTCCAAAAGAGCATCCAAACTGCCCTCCTCCGCCACCGACTTATTAAAACAAGAAGCTATCAAGCAATACAAATCCTTCGAGAACTACGTGCTTCACGCCCGCTCGGAGCTTTCCAGGGAATTTTTCCTCGACAGCAGCAACTACACGCAAATCTATGCAATGCAAAAGCATCGTACTAGTACAAATTGCATATACAAATTTGCCCAGCATGACAAATGCAATTTGTAATGCTGTTTTACCTTAGGAAGAAGATTTGTCATGCATATATGCAATTAGTACGAGTACGATACTTTTGCACAGGATAAAATCTCCCCGATCCCGACATTCTTCGAGCACCACAAGGCGTTGCTGCAGTCGCACCCGTTTGCGAAACGGGTTTTGGACTTGGACCAGTTCACGATTTTGCGGGAGGATCCCGTGGAATTGGACGTGAGTGTCGTGGAGGACGAGGATGTGACGAGCAAAGGAAGTGGTACATCTAGCGATTCGGATTCAGAACCACCTGCAATACAACAATCTGCGGACCACGACCGCGAAAGAAAGACAATACTCGAGAAGAATCGTTTCGGCACCTCGGCAGCGCACTTTCACGACAGTCGGGGCGTGGAATTTCAAGTGTCGCACTTTTCGGATATCGGAGGGAAGCTGTGAGCCGGGCGGATGATAGGATGTGCTGCACAGCCTCCGAAAGCCCGAAGACCGAGCGAACGCTCCCTTCTGGTCTTGTGCGGACGCGAGGGTCCGTTAGCTCGTGTTTCATTTTTTGCCGTTCAAAATTTTTCGTTTGGGAAAATTCCGCATTGCAAATTTTGCAACCTTTCAAATTTTGAATCACGGGCGAAAATGCCCTCGCGTACCCGAGGGCCTGACTGTCCCTGGGCCGCGGGTCTTTTGGGAACGCGAGGGTCCTTTAGCTCGTGTTTCGTTTTTGGTAGCTCGAAGCGTTTTCGTTGGGCGAAATTGAGCATTACAAAGTTTGCAACCTTCCAAATTTTAAAACACGAGCCAAAATGCCCTCGCGTACCCGAAGGCCTGCCTGGCCCCGGGGCGAGGGGTTTGTGGGGACGCGAGGTTCCGATCTATCCTGATTCGATTTTGCTAAATCAAAAATTTGTCGCTTGGGCACGACGGACACACAGATTGCAGTTCTAAACCCTACTTCCACATAACTCACACTTTCCCTCCGCATTTCCCACGGCCCGAGAATTGTGCACGAGCCAGGCAACGTGATCTGGCGCTTGAACCTCGCGCACGACAAACAGAAACTGCCCGGCTTCGTTATAACCTGCTCAGCTGTTACAATCTCAAATCGATTACCATAGAATCTGGAAATCTGTGATGCAAGAAGTGAACGATCTACCCTACTCTCATAGGATTGCGCATGACAAACTCCGGAGCCCCAAACCCCACTGCAATGTGGCAAAATTTGTATTGCAGAATGTGGAACGCTATGCGAGACTGTCATGCTCATCATGCAAGACAAATGTCAGACTCTATTGTAACGCTTGTGGTTGTGATTGTACCACCTGAGCGGGTCATATTCGTTGACGCGGGGAAATTAATCCGGGAGAACAAGTTGACGAGCAAGTTTTTTGATTCGCATTTTGCATCAGAAACGACGAGTTCTGATGCTGAAGTTACCCCTGAAGAAGATTCCCCGGACCAGATTACTGGGGAACAAGAAAAGCGGGTGATCAACCAAGAATCCTTCATCTCACCGACACAATTGAACCGGATGCAAAACCTATGCTGAGAAAAAAGTATTACAGTTACACACTCTGATGGAAGACAAGCAAGACAGACAACCTCTGTCATGCAGGAAATGCTTGCCAGCCTCATTTTATTCGTGTTTTCCCTTATTTAGTCTGCGCATTTTTACAAGTTTTCTTCGCCAGGCAGAGCAGCTTTGTGATTCTGAAATTGCATACAAATGTGTGACTGTAGCACTTTTTTCCTGCGATACTAGCACATCCGACACGTCACCAAGTACCTCATGCCGTCCTGCAGCTTGCAGCAAGCGGTCGCTTTAGCTGAGTATTTGGTTGAGGTAGTGCTACAGGTTAACCTCACCGCCGTGTCGGATTCTGGCGATAACATTTTCCAAATTCCGGGGACGCCCGAGCCAGAGCATATGGAGCACACAACATCGGGCGCCTTCGACCAGAACAGGGACGATGCAAACCCCCCTCGCAGCAAGATCGACAGAACCTACAAGCACGCCTGCCAGAGCGGATCTTCACAGGGACTGCCAGAGGAAGTTTTAGAATCTGAATCCACCACCACTACCCAGCATTGGACCCACACCCTTTTCAAGAAGTACCACAACGACAAAACGTTCGAGGAAATCCACAGGAGAACGTACAGTGACTGGCTACGAGAAAAGGTGAAAATCCCCTCCTGGACAGAACTGATCATAAACCGCTTAAACAAGGAACGAGGCGACTTTTGGACCGACAGCGCCGCGACGTTTTCAGAAGAGGATATCGATTGGGCGGGGAATGGTAGTGTTGAAGAGAGTAAGAACGAGGCGGGGGCACCGGGAGCTGCACCGAATGCAGTTCCTGTGGCCGTCGACACAACTCCAAAACCGGATCATTTCCCTGACATCAAGTTTGTGTTGCATGATGAAGACGCCGTCGAAAGAACTACAGACCCCAAGAACAAACCAACCATTCTCTTCCGTCTATCCGAGCAGCAATTGACCGATTTGAAACTTCGGTTAGAAGTTTTTCTCCACACAACCCTCACCGACATCGACATGCTCCTCCACACCTGGGCGCGGTGGCAGCGGAAGGGGTTCTTCGGCGCGTTGTTGGCTTTACCAGAAGCGAGGCGGTTGTTGAAGGGTCTTTCGATTATCCAGCGAAGCTTGATGCAGGAGTTTTACTGTCGGAAGAAGGACGAATATGACGGTGCACAACCCCCCCTCTCCCTCATTTGTATAGCATGAATGCCGGTTAGTTTTGCATGACAAACTTGCACTGGAGTGTAGTGCTATTTGGGTCGCCAGAACTTGTCACGCAAACAGTGCCAAGAGGCAAAGGGCTGGCTGGGTATTCTGCATGACAAACGAGGCGGAGGGGGGGGGTTGTGCACTCTCATAACGAAGACGGGAAAGCAGTCGGGTACCAGGGGGAGTGGAATGTCGAGGCGAGCGTGATCAATCTCATGTCGGGCGGGTTGGGATTGGATTTACGGGAGGAGCAGAAAAGGATCAAGGAGAAAGTAAAGAACCAAGGTCAAGGCCGAAATTCTAGAGTGGCAATGAGTGGTGCCGATGTCGTAGCTACTTCATCAACTACCACCACTACTACCACCCAAGTGTTCATCGAGGGGGGCATCGTGTATCGCAAGAAAAAACTGTTTCACTGTGAACTTGTGATGCAGAGAACGAAGCGCCAAGGTGTTTGTCTTGCTACACCTGCAAGACATTGGATTTTGAAGCGTTTTTTCCCTTGGGAAGCGCGCATGGCAAGTTTTCCGCGTCATGTGTAGCAAACTTGTGATGCAGATATTGCAAAATCATCACAGTGAAACAGTTTTTTCATGCGATATCGTGAAAGGTATGTTTAAAGACGGCATCACGACCGTTTTCGCCGACGGCACAAGACAGAAAATCACGGTGGATAGGCAACTCCTATGAATTGCAAAAGCAATGCACTCGTATTACGTGCAGATATGCATGACAAATCTAAACTTTCTACGTTATCCAGCATGACAAACTGCATTTTTTCTCTTGGAAAAATTTGTAAATGCATTTTATGCTAGAGCTAGTGTAGTGCGATGCTTTTGCAATGCATAACTCCTGTCCGTCGACAATTCGAAAATCTTCGCGAGAAAGGTGTCCAAACGGTTCGCCTTCACTTCGGTGATGTTTGATAACAAGGAGGTGGAAACCTACATCAACGCGCTGAGAACGCTCGCAAGGAGCGTCTACCGAGTGCACAAGGGGAAGTATCGGTTCATCATTTTGTCAAATGAGAAACTGAGCAATGAGACGGAGGAAAAATTGCTGTTTGGGACGCATCTACGTGATGGTCGAGGGGCCGCTCAGCAAGCGACGAAACCGCCTAGAGCAGGAGATGATGAGCCACCGCAACAACGACCCACAACCACAAGGAATTCCCTCTCTAGAAGATCCGGTGACTACAATTTAGAAGTCCGTCGCGTCCTCGAGTCGGAGTTACCCGTGAAAGCACCAACATTTGGAAAGTAGGCGTTGCAAAAGTATCCGTATCGTACTCGTCGTAGGTGCAGTACCTCTGCATGACAGATCTGGTCTGCAGTCTGCTTTTAGCAATACAAATGCGATACTTTTGCAATGCATAAAAGAGAGCCCGAGCCGAATTCTGACGGCAAGATCGAATGGTGGTACGAGAGAAAAACCACTCCAACAGCTATCGTGAGCAAAAACGTGCCCGTCCCAGAGTTGTCATGCAGATTTGCAATGACAGACAACTCCCCAAGAGATCTGAGTCGAGCACCGCCCGAGATCTTACTCGGTGAATATCTGAAACAGCTAAAAGATAACTCTTTTTGAATTTTTGCAGCGCGCGCAAGCTTGCGCTGCCGGGGCGCTTCGCCCTCCCCACGCCCGCGAAAAGTTTTGGATTTTACCCCGCCCCTTCGGCTTTTTCTTCCATTGCGTGCAGTGTAGCCTCTGCAGGCGATTCGTTTTCCCCGCCGCCGGCTCGCGTGCTGGTGTGGGCGCCCTTGGGGTGTTTTCCTTTTTTTTTGTTGCTCGCGTGGCGCGGGTTTCCATGTCTGAGCTAAGGCGAGCGGCTCCGCGGTGCTTTGTGTTTAATTTTGCCGGGGCTTTTTGTGCCTTTTTGCTATTTTATGGCAGGAGGAACATGAACAACAGCCCGCCCCTGCAGTTGGCGCCCTTTTGCTCTTTTTCGTGTCGAAATTTTTGCCGCTGCTCTGTTTTTTCATTTCTCGTTAGTAAATATTGCCCCGCTAATACATAGTCTAGCCCGCGGCGCTTGTGCCTGTCCGTGCCTTTTGGTAGCGTGCCTGCCAGCGCAAACGGTCGCGGGCCGTTTTCCGTGTTGCGGCGGCTTTTGCCGTTTTTTTACTAGGTCGAGCATGTTTGCCGCACTTTTGCACTGGCCCGCGCCGGTCTGTGCACTTCCCGGTCCCCTCCGCGTATTTTTGTGGGCCAAACCACGCTGCGCCGGTTGTCTGTGTTTTTCGCACTTTGCTTCCAGAGCTAGCGGCGCGACTGTTTCGCGTAAGCGCCCTGCATTAGTACCGAGCTACGCTCTTCGTCTTCGCTGGTTTTCCATGTAATGCAATCCCGGAGGCCGGTGCGGCTTGTCAGCCAGCGGCCTGTTTCTTGGTGTGGGCATTTTTCTGATGCTTCTCGCCTCGCGCGCTGACCGCATGGCGTTTATCTTCATGCCCGGGCGCAGGGGAGTGACGCGGCAGTGCTTTTCGCTTCTTTTCTGCATTTGTGTGGTTTTGTCTTTGTTATCCTTTTTGCGCTGCAGCGCCAGACTCGACTTATCAAGGAAGCACGAGAGGCGCCGCAGTTGCTAAGGTTCTGCGCTAAGAGTGGCGACGTTGTCAATATTCTGCCTTCGTCGTCCTTTTTTGGTGTCTTTTCGCTGTTTTTTTGCCGTACTTCGCTCATTTTGTTGCGTGGTTGTGCCTTTTCGGCGCATTTTCATTGTTTGGGCCAGAAAACGAACAAACTGCCTGGGGATGGTTATTCTCGCCGCCTTTTTGTTGTATTTCATTGGCTCACCCTGTCGCGCTTTTGCGCCTTTTAAGCTGAAGGAAGTTTCTTTGGCGCATTTCGGTCCTCAGAGCGGCCAAACTGTCTGGAAGTGGCCTGGCGGGTGCGATACATAGCGCCACCGCTCTGCGGACTTGCTTCTGCAAAATCATTGGCGCGCGCGTTGTTGCGCTTTTGTGTCTTTTTGGAGAATTTGCAAAGTGTTGCACTTTTTCGCCTACTTCGATGGCTTTGCGACGTTTTTGCCTTGGCTTGCGTCTTTATTTGGTGCATTTGCACACTTTTCGGGCGGACTAAGTGAAGCCCATGGCCCACATGTGTCGCATTTGCGGCTTTTTGACTTAACAAGGCCAGCTCTGCGCTGTTTTTCCTCGCATTTGGGTCCTTTTGCTGTGTTTTTGTGCTTTCCCGCGATCGTTTTGCTGTGTTTTTGAACCTTTTTTGCTGATTTTTGCGGAGTTTGAGCATTTCCGACGCATGTCGGGCCTAAAAAAGTCCGCGCCGTCTGCTTTTGGCTTTGCCCGTGAGTCATTGCCAGCAAACGCGCTGCAGCGCTTTGCAAAAACATCGGCGCCCGCTTTGTTCTGTTCTTGGCTGGTCGTGGTTAGTGTGCAAATGGTCGCACTTTCTTGCTTATTTTGATGATTTTCCGACGTTTTTGCCTTAGTTTGCTTTTTTGGGTGCATGTGTGCACTTTCCAGGCCTAACTAGGTGAAGCCCACGGCCCGAATGTTGCGCGTTTCTGCCTTTTTGGCTTAACAAGAGCAATTTTGCTGCAAAATAAGCCTAATTCCCACCAAAGAGACGCGCTCTTTCTTGACAAAGAGCGCGATCTCCTTGCCATCGGCACGCGGGTCGCTGTGGTTTTGGCCGTTTTTCGCTGGTGTGCAAAGTGTTGCGCTTCTGTGTTTATTTCGATGAACTTGCGTCCTTTTCGTCTAAGTTCTCGCTTTTTTGCGCATCTGCGCAATTTTTAGGGTTAACTATGTGGCCCCGCCGTGCGCTTTTCCGGCGTTTTTATTGTTTTTGACTTAACAAGACCAGTTTTGCACTAAAATGACCTGAATTAGCACGAACGCTGTGCATTTTGACCTTAAGAAAATTGGAATTTTTTTTTCTGATGTGATGCATGTTTGCAATACAAGTTAAAGAATTTGTACTGCGCATCTACATGAGCAGGGACATTTCCAACCGTGTTTTGGCAACATTTGTAATGCCGTAAACAGGATAAGGAGAAGGGTTTGTGATGCGACTGTCCTTGCTAAGAACCTGCATTACTACTACACTATAAAGACGACCTTGTTATGCATGGCTCCCAAAACTGGTGGATTTGTGTTGCAGAGTTCGCAACGTGAGTACTATGGGGTGCGGACGTTTTTCCTCAGGATAACAGCGGTTGGTTTCTATCGCTGGAAGTTGACCGAGTTCGAGAAAGTGATCTTCCTGGACGCAGACATGCTTCTCACCCGGCCGATTGACGAACTTTTTCAAATCAACGCGCCCTTGGCAATTGGCGTCACTCCGTTTGCCACTTTCCGGTTGTTCGCCGACATGAACCGGTTTCCGTATTTGAACATTGGGGTGATGGTTTTGACTCCCAACGTATGAACTGCAAAAGCGTCGTACTAGAATAAATTGCATCACAAATTGGCTCAGCATTACAAATGTAATTCGTAATGCGGATTTCCCTTGATTGCTAGATTTGTAATGCATGGGTGGCTGCGATTAGTACGAGTACGATACTTTTGCAGTGCATACATCGAGAAGTTTTTCAACCAGCTGATGTACGCTTTATCTGATTTCGGCAAGCATTCCCCGATAATCCGAGATGATCGGCTATCCCATCTCTTCGAAAAGGGGTTGCAGCAGCCGTGGCTGGACAACTTCCTAGTCCGGAACCAAGTTCGACTCGGTTATGTCCGCTTCGAGCCCCTCGGGACGGAGGGCGATGAGGGGGCACGGAGGAGACGGAAGCACTTCTACCACAGCATGACAGAGTATGCAGTGCAAATATGTCTGGGTCTGAAAGGTTGCAACTTGTGATGCAGATCATGGAATAGGAAAAAATTTGTGATGCATGAGCGCCAAAAGCTGCCCATTTCTATTTCTTACTAGGCAAATAGAGATTTTGTCATGCGGGATAGGCATCAAGAGGCCTGCGAAAAACCTGTAATGCTTTTGCGTGCATGAGAGACCAGCTGCGTGATCTTTAAGATGCATGACAAACTACTCCTGCACTCATCTTCCAGAACCAGACACATTTGCAGTCCATACAGAATTGGACTCTACCAGGGAACAGGATGAAAGCGGAGTGCTGTACGAGCAAGAATTGCCAGACGGGTTCGTTGCAGATAGACAGTTGGAGCAGGTGCAGGAGCAAACTCCTGTTTCTAGTAATGCGGTACAGCAAGAAGTACACCTACCTCCAAAAGGGGACGAAGATGGTACTACGAGCACCGTAGCAGAAGAAGCTGATGCTCCAGAAGTGGACGACTCCTCGGACAGTAACCAGATACCTCTCACTTTCGTCGGCTGCGACGAGCACTTCGCAACGAGATGGGAGCACGGGGAGTTACTTGGCCGGGGTGCTTTACTGAAGCCGGACACGGTGATTCTCTCTTTAAAATCCAACGCGAGCCTCGCCCTCGACGAGAAGAATCGGCAACAGGCGCAAGCAACACAACAGCCGGTGAACCCAGCGTATGTCCCTCCCACGGATGCGAACTCGATTCAACGGGTCTATTTCACGACCAATGGGAAGTCGATAGAAAACGTCAGGTACGACCTAGACAGGTTGGGATACAAGGACCATCTGCTTCTCCCTTACCACTGCGTTTTACCCATGGAGTACAATTTTTTCGTCGAATACAAGACCGGCACGCAGTTGCTAGATATGACCTGGAATGAGTACTATGGGCCCATGGATACAAGCGAATCGGACAAAGACGAACTGAACACGGAATTCAAATACCAGTACCATTTTATGCATTGCAAAAATATCATCCTAAGTAGTATGAATTGCATTACAAATTTGCTTTAGAAGAAAAACGAAATCTGTCATGCGGGATAGTGTAGAAACGTAGATTTGTCATGCGTAACTGCAATTTTATACGATGGCGATATTTTTACTTTTGCAATGCATACATTTGAAAAACGAATTTGCGCCGTTCACGCGGTTTAACGTCACCCGGGATCTGGTCGCTTTCACGCAGATGTCTCTCCCGCCGAAAGTGTTACATTGGGCGGGGGAGAATAGGAAACCGTGGGAAAGGCCGCACGTGTTGGTCAGGAGTTTATGACATGCAGGACAAGTTGCTGAGACAGGCTGGAGTTTGTAAACTATGCATCGAGTGCAGTTCTTCCACGATTGAAACTTATGTAAGATCTTCTAGCAGAGGTGGAGGACTTCGACTTTCTATATTCTTTGCATTTTGCCTTCTTCAACGTGAAGGGTAGTAGGTCAACTCGTCTCCAAAAGTGCTCAAGCATGATCTTGTGCACCACCAACTGAATACTTGGCAGAGCGGTGAGAGCATCACAAACTTCAACCTGAAAAGAACTACTCAACAACGATTTCCATTCATAACGCTTGATGGACCAATTGTGGTGGGACGAATTTGAGGCCATGGTGGAAGAGAGCAAGTGAATAAAGAACTTCTACAGGGGATTTGTAATGCATAAGTTAAAACATAGATTTGCTTTGTAATGCAAGAAAGGGATGATGAATTTGTTCAATGATGTACCTTTACCACTTTACGTGATAAATTCTGCGATCACGACGGCGAGCTTCTGTAGTACCGCCATAGGTCGTGGTCGTGCATGTGTAATATTCAAGTTTTCTAAAAATAGGTTGACAGCTGCACCAGTTCTTCCTCTTGAAAACTGAGACAGCTTTTGCAGAGACACTTCTATTCGAAAGTCTTCTTGTCACCGCAGCTTGCTGGAAGCTGTGTCGTACCTTGATGCAGCTTGTCGCTTCGAGGGAGGGCTGCAGCAGCAGGCTTGCGAAAAAGCAATCAAAACAAGAGATAGAGTTGTAGAACGCAGGACGAAATGTCAGAAATATGTGAATCGGAGACTCTGGCTTACTATACCCCCCGTCCTCTGCGATGTTGTCAACAAGCCGCGACACGAATAGCAAATGCTGTCAGTGTTCTCTGTGTTCGCCATTTGTTTTAGCCAGGCAGAGGCACACTACTACACGTCGGTACTTCTTTGGGATGTTTGTTTTCATTTTTCTTCATTGACTTATTTTGCGCTTCTTCTTGCATCTGATCATGATCTTCATTGTTTCAGGGTTCTTTTGTTTCTGCGTCGTTACAGACAATTCTTGGGGAGGGTCTACGATCCTTCTGGGGCTGCAAAAACGCTATAGCATTGGACATTGGTTTAGGAGAAGTAGTGACAAAATAAAGGGTTTCTATTTCATGTTGATCTTGAGGATGGAGATATTCATATTAGTTTATTGACTCCTCGAATATGGGTTGAAGATACTTCAACTTGATGTGATAGTTTTCTTGTTGATGCCAAAGCCGCTTGAAAGTTCGTTGTCCGTGTCGATTCTTCTGAAAGTTGCTCTAAGTACGTGCAAGGGTGGATTGACAAAAGTTGTGATGTGAGTGCCATCAAATTCGGTCTACCGTATGAATTTACCCCAGGATAAATATAATTCCCTCATCAGTTGTTTCGGTACTTATTTGTGTTAGTGAACAAAGTCCATTCTTGAGTTTCAGGGTCGTTCTCCAAAGCGAGAGCGAGGAGCCAGAATAGTTTCAGGTCAAAGGAGCATCACAGTATAAAGCCAAGCTTTCTCTATTGCACAGTTCGTCTAAAAGTTCTGTCCAAACAAGCTAGAGCTGTACTAAGTACAATGGCTCTACACATCTACTACGGACGGAGCAGGAGCACACCAAGGTCGTGCTGCTCTTCTTCAACCAGAGTGAATGTGGTGCTGGGTCACCTAGTCAATTTTTTTATGATTCAAATGAAGAACTGTTTAAATTAACTGCTACTAAAGTTATACCAACATCGTCAATAATAATGATTCTGCTCCCGTACTACGTGTGTTTTTTTTCAGCAACAGTGTAATTTTTTTAACCTTGAAAGAAGAACTGCTTGTTCTTTCAATGTATTTTCATTAAGATGTCGTCCATTGTTTACCAAAATTCTTTTTCTCCCCGTGGTCAGGGGGATATTCACGAACCACCTACTAGTAGCGGGGACCATGGGAAGATCACCGCCACGACCTCGCCGACGTCTAATGTGGTGTTTAACTGTGCGGCGTTTCCTTCTTTATCTTTGCACAATCCCGCGTTTCCTTCCCCCGTGTTGCGGTTCTTTAACCTGTCTGGCGATCTGCAACAAATTCCCGTCCCGGACACGTTTTATGACCTGGTGAAGAAAGCTGCATTGGATGAGGCGGAGAAAACGGCTCCGGCTGCTCGTGCTGCTGAACAGGAGAAGCTGCTGGCTGCAAGTACTTTTTTTACCCGTGTTTTATTTTTCACGGTGAATTTTTTTTCTCAGAGCTGCAGTAGAGTTGTACTATTGACCACAGCATCGAATGCACTGAATCTTCGAATGTTTCATGATGATTTTTCAGAACGCAAAATAAAAAACGTGATATTATAATACCAGGCAAGAGGCAGCTCCAAAGCCTTACCATGATGTCAGAGATGCTGACCTCTTCCCCCTCGGTGGACGATGTTGATGACTCCGAGACGCCAACACCCGTTCAGAAAACAACTTCTGCTGAGAAAACGAAGAACCAGAGGACCAGGGCTAGTTGTGCGAATAGTAGTTCTTTCGCAACATCGTCGAAAGACAACGAGGATCTGGATCTCCCCCGGGTTCACCTCTCGACCTTTTCCTACGTTTTGACCATGACAAAAAAGCAGTTTGCGCTGGCCTTGCTAAAAGCGAACTACACGGCCGCGCCCGAGTCGTTGATCCAAATTTACAAGATCCCCTCTGCGGCACCGTGTCGCAAGTCCTCTCCCTGGTCGGATTATGCAATGCAAAAGCATCTTACTCGTATAAATTGCATTACAATCTACCCCAGCATTACAAATTAAATTTGCAATGCTGATTCACCTTGAGAAGGGGATTTGTAATGCATAAACGCAATTACTACGAGTACGATACTTTTGCACAGCATACGGATGGCAGCTTTTCCACTTTGGGTACGCCGATGACGCCAATGAGTGCTGGGTTCAATCCGCTTCCGCTTGGGGAAGAGCAGCAGGATGGTTGTCCAGGCACGGCGGCTGGCGAATTTGATCCTGAAATGGAACAGCTCATCGAGTCTGACAAGGAGACCGTCGAGTTTCACTTTCCTAAAATGATGTTCGAACCAGCTTCTCCAGCGCGACAAGCAAATAATCAGACAACTACTTCTGGTCAGGTGCACAGTGGTCGGGAGACAAAATGTGATGTGTCAGGCGTGATCATGATGGGGCAGGACCAGGAGCATGATACGTTGAAAATACCATCCGTCAGCGAAGATCTAGTACATCTACTTTGCGACAAAGGTAGCCACGTGGGGCGACGAACAACTTTTGGGTTCGGCCCAGGTGATTCGGCATCCCGAAACACCACAGCATCCACATCTGCAAGTGGCGTTGTCCCAGGTCGTGATCGTGTACAATTAGGTGCGGAAGTAGAACAAGAATTATTACCGAGGACCAGAAGCAGAAACACAACATCAACTACACTGGAAAACCCCCTTTGGCCAAGACAAGCGGCACCAGGTTCTGGCCAAGACAAGTATGAGAACCACGACCCCGCGAACGACGACGAGCTGCAGTCCCTGCCGCCGGAACTCCGCAGTCGCGCCCACTCCAAGGCCAGTGCAGTTTCGTCGAAAGCGAGTTCGGTCGATCTGAGCAACGATGTTCTAGTCCGGGTGATCATTTCCAGGGCGGAATTTCCGGACACCTTTCCGCTCTGGGGGAGTATCCTTTGCAAAAGCATCGTATTCGTATAAATGCATTACAAATTTCCTCAGCGTGAGAAATTAAATTTGTAATGCGGATGTACCTGAAGAAAAAAGTTTGTAATGCATGACTGCAATACGAGTACGATGCTCTTGCACAGGATAGGGAGTGAGGAGGAAGAAATCGTGCACCCGTTTTTGGAGCTTAAGCCCAACGAGCAGTTGCACCGCTGGCTTTATCAGGAATACTGGCGCAATCATGTTCTGTACAAGCCTGTGAATAATATCTCCACAACTTCATTCGGAACAACTAATGGTGCTTCATCCGTGCGGCCGTTGATGGAGAAGGAGAATTTGTTCTTTAACCCCTTCCTCTGTGTTAAACCAGTGCAGCCAGGTCTTGTTTCCTCGAGTTTCAGAGGTGGAGAAGATATTGACAAGAGTTGTTTCGAATTCGACGAGGACTATCTCGTCCTGTACACGGTTTCTCTCCTGTCCCAAAAGCCGGGCAACGCCTATGGCGCTCTCAACTGTTACATTCTCAACTGTTACATGAATTTGTCATGCAGAACTACCATCAAGATTCACACGGGAGAGCTGCTTCGCATGACAAATTTGCGAAGGGCTAAACAGCACCTAAATCTGTGCAAAACTTGTAATGCTAGAAGTGCAACCTCTCCCCTTTCACTTTTGCAATTCTTGCATCACAAATCCATGTAACAGCGGAGAATGTAACAGTTGAGAACACCATAACGCCAACGGCCGGGAGGGCTGCGGGAATTTTTACAAGGAGGTGCGGATGTTTCTCAAGGTCCTGCTGCAGATGGATAGAACCAATGGACAGGGGTTCAGTGCGGGGTCAGCATCTTCAAATACGCCAACGTTTCAGACAGGTATCAATCTACAATAAGCTACACGCAAAATAAAAGGTTGGTTGTGCAGCGCAGTGACGATCTACTAGTGGGCACAAAGTGATGTCTTTTGAAGTTCTTTCTCGACGACTTTACTTTACTACTCTTGTTTTTCTAATACCAAGAAGTTTTATTTATACGTGTCTATTCAAGGTATTTTCCACTTCCTCTTCGAGCTCCTCCTCCGGGCGGATGGCTGGGACCAGACCAGTGAAAGTTGGATGGCAGACCATTTCGCGCGGAAAGTACAGAACCACGCGGATGAGATTGCAACGACACGAACAGAAGCAGCTGCTGCGGAAGGGAGTGTAGTCTTGCAACATCATCAAAACGGCGATGGACCCACACTGGATGATTCTTCATCACGCAGTAGGACCTCTTGTTCTTTCGCAGTGAAGACAACTTCTTCTTCAAGACGAGAAGGTCTTTCGGAGGAATTTGAAAATAAAACGCTGCAGAAGCAAAAGGAAATCATCGCAAATGACATCGTGTGGTCGTTTGTCTTGGATGGACCGGAGTTGTCGGAATTCACGACATTAACATCCGAAGCCAAGGTGGAGAAGTCGGGCTTCGTCGAACGGGTCCTGCTGCCGGGGACGAAGGACAACAAGATCGGGACGACATCTTCATGCAAAGGCCACCCGTCGTCGCAACCGCAACAACCATTGGACAGGAGCGGGATGTTGAGAGGTACTACATGTAGTACCGCTACAGAAGCATGTTCTGCAAATGAAAATGCCACCAAAAAATCCACCTCGTCTCGTAGTTGGCGCATCAAGCGGTGCGGCACGTGGCGGACTTACGAAGATGATTTTTACAATTGGGGAACACCAGCATCTCCGAGTGAGACGAGCAGCGCGGGAAACAATAATTCACCTACGGATCATGTTGAACATCAAGAACACCCCGCTCTCTTTTCAACATCCGACAACGCGTTTGATGCCTTATTTGCGCCCATGTGGGTTCCAGAGGACAGGAAGATTGTGCCGCTTTTCGATTTGAATTTGCGAGCGAAGGAGATCCAGCTGTTGTTGCAGGAATTCTATCAAATGCAAAAATGTCTGGTTCTGGAAACTTGTGATGCTAAAATGTGCATGATGAGGAAAGTGCATTTTTGCATGACAAAAATGGCTGCGGCTTTTGTCGGTTATGCAATGCAGATTTCCCAGGAATGTAAAGCTAGCATTACAAGTTCCAACTTTCCAGACCCAGACACTTTTGCAGTTGATGAATTCTTCGTGTTTGATGTTCATCCGGAAAGAACGGCGGTAACAAAAACATCAGCACCAGCAGCTTCTACTGTGCTGGACTTTCCCTTTATCCACAGGAAATTTCCCTTGCACGTACAAATGCGGTTTCTGCATGACAAAACTTTCGTTCATTCCTATTCAGCATGGCAAGTGGCATGCTGCAAGTTGATGAAATTTGTGATGCATTTTGTACATGTGCAGGAAATTTGTGTTGCATACCCTTCGCGACGACCTACTTGCCCCAGTTCTACGAGTTTGTGAAGGACAAGCCGAATTTCCTCGTCCCCGCCCTTATGCGTTGCAAATATGTCTGGGTCTGGAAGATTGCAACTTGTAATGCTAATTCTGGATTGTGCAAAAATCTGTGTTGCATGAATGCCAAAAACTTGGTCCACTTTTGACCAAGTTGAGAGAAAGTTTCTCATGCAGGATAGGCAACATAGGGATCTCGTCGCGCAATCTGTCATGCGAGGTCCTGCATTCCAGACGACATGGATCATGGAAAATCTGGATCACAAGCCTCGCAATCTTCCAGAGGACCCAGACATATTTGCATTTGATAGCCCTGCGACTTCCGCGAAACACGCACAACCTGCAGGTCTGTCTCGATACCATGCTTTCCAAGACCGTCTACCCCGCCAGCGGCTTGATGGCCGGAATCGTGCCGAGGGTACTGGGATTCGTGCCGAGTGGTTGGGAACGGCAAGTGCCGGCGAGAAACTACGTTGCAGCTGCTGTTGGGGAACAAAAGCGCCACCGTCTCCGCACGGAAAGCGACAAAGAAGGTTGCGACGAGGAAGAGGTAGTGCCAGAGGGTGAAGAATTCTTCCACAATCCCTTCTGGCCATATTGCACGCAGATCCTGCCAAACCCTGCCTACCAAGACGGACTGCTGTTCACGCGGGTGGAGGTTGGAGAGCGGGGGAGAAAAAATGTTGTGATATGCACTGCAAATATCCCTGGATGTCTGGAAGGACGAAGCTTGTCATGCGAAGTCCCGATCTTAAGAAAATCTGTGTTGCGTGAACGCCAAAAGTTTCCCACCCCTTGCTTGCCTAAAATATCTGATGCGGGATAGGCATGAGCAAGGTGTCGCAAAATCTGTGGTGCTTCTGTGCGCATTACAGACCATGTGTTTGGTTCGCGAGATGCATGACAAATCCCGCACTCTTCCAGACCGGGACATATTTGCAGTGGATATGTGACCTTGGAGCACAAAGTTGATCCGTTGTTGGTTGCCGTGCTGGATTTGGTTCTAAATGGAACAGCACAAGTCGAGCAAGGACTTTGTGATGCTCCTGCAGCTCATGAAGTAGAGAAGGATGTTGAGCCAGTAGATAAACCACAGCAATCAACTTCAACCACTTCAAAATCCTCGAGCACAACCGCGTCCTCGCTTTCAGAAGAGGGTGAGCTGACACTAGGACACACCTCCTCAACCGCAACAGCTGCAGATGCTGAAGTTCTGGGAACTACATTTGGGGAACAAGGGGGCAGCGCGAAGACCCGGCCACGTGGTTCTCGTCCAACAGCTACACCGGAAAGTACTACATCGAGGAGCACTTCGCCTTCTTTGACTTCCCGCTTCGAATCCTGGCGGCAGAAGCATTTTTCGAAAATGTGGGATCCGGTGTTGCGAGTTTACAAAAGTGTCGAACTTGTTCCTTCTCCCACGACCGGAGAGCATGATGATGGTGATTTTACTGCGGAGAAGCAGGCGTTCAGTGCCCATTTGAAGATCGATAAGCAGGCATGGAATAGCGGAAAGATGGAAATAAATTTCGTTGAGAAGAAATCTTCAAAAAAACACGATATCGAGACCGAGCAGCAATTACACCGGCGAATGGCTTATTTGGAGTTCCAGCACTTTCAACTGTTACCTGAGAAGATCCTTTCTGACTGCGGTTACAGAAGAAGCAGTTGCCAATCTAGAAGTTCAGTGGAACAGCAGAACAGCAGCTCGCCGGCATCATCGATAGAAGGTAACCATCTTTATTACGACCGTGAAGATCGTTACGCTTCATCCCCAGGGAGCTCTCGTTCCAACCCAGACACTTACCGCCGCAACTCCGATGGCACCCGGGCCGCGGTGCACTGGGGATGGGACGGCGTGCCGGGCGCGCCACCGCCCCGGATGCAGCAGGTGGAGCAAAAATCTTCTGTGTCGGATGATATTATCGGAGATGTACAAGACGAGAAGGACGGGTTGGTCGTCCAGAGAACTCCCAGAGGTGTTGTTTCTGCTGGTGCAGCGTTTTTGACCAACTACCAGGATCAGCAGGGACATGTAGAAGAATTGTGCCAACGCAGCGCTGCGGGAGGTAGTTGTACAAGCTCTACTAATGGTACACCACGGCCGCACAAGATGAACCGGGGAATCCAGCAGCAAAATAACATGACACCGATCAGATCTCCCGGAGCAGCAGCACTGCTGTCCACACCGTCATCCTCTGGAAAGAGCGACAGAGCAGTCCACGCCGGCGCTCTTTTTTCCACGAACCCTATGTTATGCAGTGCAAAAGCATCGCACTTGTAGAAATGCATGATAAATTTCCTCAGCATGAGAAATACAATTTGTAGTGCCGATTTACCTTAAGAAAAAGATTTGCAATGCATGATTGCGATACGAGTGCGATACTTTTACACATGATATATGTCGTGCACCTACAATCTGTTGGATACAGAATTTTCTTGTTTGCTCGCACACGGTATCAAATGCAAATATGTCATTTGGGTCTGGAAGAATGCAACTTGTGATGCTGTGTTTGGATTCCAAAAAAATCTGCATTGCGTAAGCAGTAAAGGGGGTGCAATTGTTGCTACGCGAAGAGGGCATTTGTCAGGCGGAGTAGGCATCAAGAAGTGCTCAAAAAATCTGTGATGCTAGGGCATGCATCACAGACATCATGGCTTATGCAAAACGTGCGTGACAAGTCGCAAAACCTTCCAGGCCCAGACATATTTGCAATGCATGCACGGAAAATACCTGGAGTGCTTGGCGCTTTTGGAAGTGACCGGGCAAAGGCATTTGATTCAGTAATTAGATACGATTATGTTTCATCTACTTGTAACAAACACTTTATTGTTGATCATGGTGCTCTATCAAGCTGGAGCCTGACAAATTTCAATCAAAAATTTTTCAAGTACGATAAAATTTTCAAGAATTCCATCCACCACTATGAATTTGTTGAAGATGATACTGATATGCTCAGCCCTTATCCATTGTAGGCTTTTCTTCATAGTGCGAATAGATACTCATAAAATAATAAATTGTACCTAATATCCGGAAATGTTGATCTAGAGTAAAATGGGTTTCGAACAACTGTAAAAATGGCACAAAATAATTATTGTGTTTCGTGTCCCTTAGAACGAAAAGAGAACAAAATAGGGGCGACACCGCAGGACCAATGCGATGCCAAAAAATGATGGATCCTAGCTACAGCTTGGCTCGGAAGAGGACCGGATGAGAATATTGTTCTTCTGGTTTTCTTCTGCTGGAAAGGAAAATTGTTTTTTAGCTGTCGCTTCAAACCAATGTCGTGAGCACGTCAGTCCTCGATAGGTGGCTGGAGTTCATTTTGCACTTCTTGATCTTGTTCTAACCGACACGGCCGGAAGAAAGTTAGTAGTCACAGCCGACGTGTCTGCTTCGTGGTCGTCAGGATCGATTGTATTGTAGTAGTTTTCTAACGACCTTCATCACTCGTTCGTGTAAAAAAAAGTCGTTATGTCGCCACCACCAAAATCCGTCTCTGTCCAATGTCTCACAACCGTAGCAAGCACGATCGCTTTGCAACACGGTTTCTCAGACCATCGCGTGTCGTTCGCCTTGTGCTCGTTTTGCCTGTCAGTATGCCAAGGAAAGCTCGAGCGAAAGAGAGAAAAAAAAACAAAAAAAAACAAAAAGTGAAATCCCAGCAAAAAAGTCGTGGATATAGTCGATTTCCAGCAAAGTGGACTTTCGCGTCGCAAATTTTGCCTTTTAGCATTCGTTTTGCCCATGTCCTTGGACAATCCATCTGGTCGCGTTTTCGATTCGGTGTCGTATCAATTTGTGGGTTGATCTTTGTGTGTTTCGTTGGACCTCTTGCAATGTGTTGATTCGTCAAATCCAAAATCACCATAGGTTTTTTTTGTAGAAGTAGTGTCGTCGATAGTTTTATCCTCTAAAATACAGCTTTAGCTTTTTCATTTTCTCAAATGAATTTGTATTGTATCAATTACAATTAAATGTTGACGAGCTTTCGCAGGGCCTTTTCGCTAAACGCCCTGTTATTGAAGTGTATACAATTTAACCTGTTTTCCACTTGATTTTTGTGTAAGTCTAAGTGAAGTTGTATTCGCATTCTACCTATTCGTCTTTACAAAGCAACTTTGTCATAATTTGAAGCGGCCCTGAAGTTGATTTTCTTGACAATCTGATTGAGTTTTTGTTTATTCGTTCCAAATTTGAGTATAGATTGACATCGTAATAAATATGTGTCCTTCTCGCTAATTCCAGAATTCCAGTGTCTGGCGAGGTGAAAATTGGGCGTTGATTCCGGTGTGAAATCGTTGTTGGCCATTGCAAGACGCAGTTGTCGTCGTACTACTTGTGGTCGCCAGGAGGTGCTACTTACAATTCCCTTACCAGCTTCGATTGCGCTGTAAACCGACCCACGTGCGTGCCGCAGCGAAACGAAAATTTTCTCTCCAAGTAATTGGCGCACTCCTCTCCCACCGAAATCAGAAGAAGACGACTCGACTGACAGCTCCCGCTAGCCCTGCCTGTTGTACTCCTGCGTATAATCCGGCGCTTGTGGACTACGACTACGAGCCCCTATCGATTTTGCCTACTATTGCTTGTTTTCGTCACCCTGCTGCAACGAAGGCGTGTTAAACAGCAACTGAACTTGTACGTGACCTGTTTCCCGTCCCCGAGGAGTGTGTCGTCCTCGCCGCATCACCATCTTTCTTTCGTCTACGTGTTGTTCAACATACATCATGCAAGGCGCCGTCGGCGAAAAAGTTTTCAAAAAGGGGGGAAACAAGAAGGTTGAGGAGCACCTCGCGGCGGCGATACGAGGAGCGGACAAGGCGAGCAAGCTCAGATTCGGAACCTTCGAAGCGGAGGAGTATAACGAGAAGGGGTACTACGACTTGCCACCCATCACGGATTATGGGTTGCAAAAAATCATCTAATACTGCTACTTCATCTCTACTTACAGTTGCACGCATTTCTGCATAGGCATAGCCGATCCATAATTTGCAAACACGGATGAAGAGGAGAGCAAGCGAGGATTTGTAGATGCTGCTTGAAACAGGTGATGGAAAAGGAAAAGATTAAAGGATTTGTAAAGTGCTACTACAGTCGTGTAGTTGCACGTCCAAGTGTCGTTTCAGTGCGATATTAGACATGTTTTTGCACTTCATACACGCATTCGCGTCCTGGAGACCCAAATCCAGCTCGCGATTCGAGCGTACGCGGAGCGTCTAGAGGGCTGGGAGTACTCGGTGTGCGGAGCGTTGCGGGATCTGGTGCAGTTCGGCAAGGAGCCAGTTGCAACCGCGGTACTCGCGAATGAAAAACCCTACACCGTGTGCGGCGTCGGCATGGCAGCTTTTCGCGAGAAGCGGAAACAAGGCATCGAAAACAAGGACGGCGCAGCTATGAATCATGCAAGCGGGTCACAAAATAAAAGCCCTGCAAAAAAGCAGTCCTCATCACTCGTTGCAGCTATCAGCGGAGCCGACAAAAACAACACTCCTCCCCCCGCTTCGCCTGCGAGAAAGAAACAGAAGATGAGTTCGGCCGCAAGGGGACGGTCTACGTCGGGAGCTCGCGGAAAAAGCAGTGCGCAGGTGAACAAAAACGTAAACGAAGGCAAGCTGCTGATAGCGGGAAGTAACAGGAAGAGCAAACCCGTTTCTTCGTCTTCTTCTTTACTAGCTGCTGTAGCTGCAGGCCTCTCAGCACCTGTGCCAGCCTCCGTTGATAAGAACAAGAAAAAATCACTACTGCGAGTGAATTCTGCGGACGCCGGAGACAGTAATGATAAGGAGAAGCACACCGGTTTCGCGGCAGCGGAAGCAAAAAAGACTGGCAATGGAAAACACAACCTGTTAGACGTGGATGAACCGAGGAGTAGTAATATGAAAATGAAATCAACGGGTGCTGTCATGAAGAAGCAAGTGCAAATAAACGAGATCGGTGCTGAGAACAAAGCCAGCGGTGTTAGTGGCAGAGGTGGCGACGACCATGACCGCGGCTACTTCGACCAAGAGGAACACGGAGGCGCGAAGGTCAGATGGCAGAGAGGATGAAAAGAAGCTTATGACAGTGGAAGATTTCATTTTCTACCTCCCCCTCTCTCATTTGTGATGCAAAAAAATTACCAATTCGAATTCGAACACCCAATCCCAAACGAGACCGAGCCCGCCACTTTGGCGATTGTTGCATGACAAGTTCCGTAAATTGACTAGCGCTTGACAGTTCGGGCAGAAATTGATGCTTCACGAAATACCTACACGTTTCAGGTTGCTCTTTCTGATGCTATGGATCCACTTTAAATGAGGGGGACGCGGAAGGAATAGTTGTCCATTTTCATAATACCTGGGGATGGACATGAAGAAGACGAGGACGACGAGAAGATGGATGGGAAATCAAGTAACTTTTACAGCGGGAAGGTGCTCTTTCTGCTCTCGTACGTGAAGCCGCTGATGCGAATGGCATCCCACGGGAAGCTATGCATTGCAAATATGTTTGGGTCTGGAAACTTGCATTGCCAATTCGTGCATGGTGTGGGCGCTGCAATACGCAGTCCTCACACATGACAGCTCTATAAAGCGCTTCGCCTTGTTTCGCATGGAAAACTGCGTTTTTGCAACATGACAAGCAAGACGCCTGTTTTCTGCTTATGCATCACAGATACAACAAGAGAGGAGTCATACGAGGCAAGCATGAAAAAGTTGCATTTTTTCAGACCCAAGTATATTTGCAATGCATAAAAGCAACAGTACTTCCCGGTGCAATACAAAGGCGGAGCCGTGCGGACGCAAGTGGAAGTCGCCAAGAAGTGGCTGCACAAGATCGAGGGCGACCTCGGAACCCGGTGCGCAGTCACGATCGGAGAAGACGGAAGGTACTGGGACTTTCCGGACGAAGAAGCCCTCTACCAGTGCGTGGACATGGGGCCCCGCGGCGACAGAATCGGGCCGGGAGCAGGAAAAGATTTTGTTTTCCACGGCGATGTGTGCATTGCAAATATGTCTGGGTCTGGAAGATTGCAATATTTTATTTGATATGCACATTGTGCATGGCCTTCACCCCCGAGCATGACGTCTGTGATGCATGGCTGCGCAACACAAATTTCCAGAGTGCTTGACGATGCGTATCCTGAATGAGAAACGCCCCCTCAGCGTAGCAACACATGGGCTCATTCTCGCTATTCAAGCAATACAGATCTTTTTGGAATCGAATTACATGAGCATCACAACTTGCACTCTTCCAGATCCAGACATACGTGCATTTGATACGATGCTAAAGTAAATGGCTTTCCCCTCGTCCAACTGCATGTGCTGCCAGACTATACCCTGTTAGACTGCTATCGCAAGAAACAAGTGCTTCGCCGTGAGTTTGTCTATGAGCATTAGGCAGCGGGCGACCCGGTGGCGCCCTTTTGTCCTGCTAACAATTCAAGGGCGTTTTATGTATTCGCCTACGGATAGACGCCTCGCATGGCTGATTTTTGCTGGTGCGCGTCATGCGAAGCAAACTTGTCCTGCGACGCCAGTGCTCGGAAATCTTCATCACACGGAAGCACTTTTTTCATACGATAATTGCTGCACGTCTTGTGGTTTCATCTCCGCTCGTCAGCGAAACAAGAACTACGACTTCGAGGAGAACCTGCGCGGCCATAAAGTCTGCAAAATTTGCCACCGAGTGTTCGGTGACGCGCCTGCCAGTGTTCTCCCATCCGCCCCGAGGTCGCCGACGAAGTGTTATCACAACGACCGACGAGGACGAGCAGGCGCTAGCGGCACAGGTAACAAGCGTCTCGAGCTGGCTGATCTCGAAGAGCGAAACGAGGCCCTGCGACTGGCGTCGGACTCCAACGGAGGCATACAGCGCTCGAAGCGAGCCCATCGGTGGACGTTCTTGGAAGGCGAAGCTGTCATGCGCATGGACCTGGTCAAAGGAGGAAAGTTTCTGCCGTTTGCAGTGGAATACGCTGTTGAAAAGTATCGCAGTTGAGCAGATTGCATATACCTATGGTACTTATGTATGACGTTCTGAAGACACATAGCGATGTGATGCTCTGTCTCTGTGTCAAATGAAAGAAACAAGACCACCCTTTGGGCAGACCTGCAATTCATACTGCAACTGCGATACTTTTGCACAGGATCTTGAAAAGAAGGTGGAAACCCAGGAAGAGTTTGACCGGGAGTTGGAAGTAGTGAAGAGACTTTCTGTATCCATTGCAAAAACATCTGAGTTGGAAACTGCGTCGTGCATGTTCCTCGTACTCACTCGCAGCCGGGTGTAAAGATCAACATAGTTAGCGTTTGCCGTCAAACAAAAACGGATTGCGCTTCTGCTTGCAGTACGGAATCTGAGGTAACAGTGCGTGCATTATGCACGCACGATAGTTGCCACGGTGTGACCCCCGGAACTTCATGTTTGTGATGTTTGATTTCACACACCAAGACTCATGGCTGAAGAAGAAGAAGAACATACCGTAGCAGGAACAAAAATCGGAGGTTCAAAGCAGGACAATTGTGTAGAAACTCAGAGTCAGCGAGAATTTTGCAGTGTATATCCCGCTAACAGAGATTACGGACACGAGAACATTATCGCCCTGTTTTCCCGGGACGCCAAGTCTCTCTGCTTTCGATACGAGTACGGTGGTATCACCCTCCGGACGCTGCTGCTCAAGGAGAGGACCTTCGCAAAGTCGGTCCTGCACGGATTGTGGGTTCAGTTTCGTCGGGCATTTACGCGTATGCGTTGCAAGTATGTTTGGGTCTGGATTTGCAATGCGAGAGTGGAAGGGCAACAGGATCTGTGATGCACAAGTACGGGTTGCCAGGGGCACCCCACCTTTTTTTCATGCTGGATGCCAGTTTGTCACTCGTTTTCGTTTTACGAGTGAATCTGCAACAAGACTTGAAAGATTTCTGATGCCAATATGCCGTGCTAGCGGCTGATCTGCCATTCGAGTATCAGAATCACAACTTTCAACACCCAGACATATTTGCATTTGATACCACGCTGCACCGAGCGCGCGGTCCTGCACATGGACTACAAGTTGGAGAACTATGTGGTGAGAAAGGTGTTTATCACTGACTCTACCGAGAACCACCTCCTATGAATTGCAAAAGTATCGTACTCGGACATTAGCATTACAAATTTTCTCAGCATGAGAAATAAAATTTGTAATGCGGATTTACCTTGAAAAAAAAACTTGATTGCAATCACTACGAGTACGATACTTTTGCACAGGATACCTCCAGGGCCTCGACAATGTGGTAGCCGAAGAAAAACACAGAGACCGAAAGAAAGCCGAGGAAGCAACAGGAAGGAAAAGCAACGACAAAGCGGAAAACAATTCCAAAGAAGTCAGCGAAAAGCAGCGCAACGTCAAGCGTATGAGCAAATTTTTTTCCGAGAAGGAAGACCCGGACTGCGAGGCAGCCGAAAAGTGTCCGTTTCGTCTGCAGGTGATCGACCTCGGGTCAGCTAGGATTGTCAACGACGCTACCGCCCTCGACGCCAGGAAGGATATCTGCGCGACATGGCCCTACTACGGAAGGAGCTTTGCAGCAGCGCGGAGCGAAATCGAGAAAAAGTTGAAAAGGGGCGAGGAGTTGCAAGAGGCGGACTTTCTTGTTCCGGCGAAGATCCTGCGCGAGCACGATTGCTTCACTGCGGCGTTGGTGGACTTCTTCTTGGCGAACGCGCACGCCGATGAAGATGAACGTCGCGAAGCAGGCCCAGGCGGCGATCCGTCCCAGATACCGCCTTCTTCGGCGATGGGGTTGGAAAAAGGTGCGATCGAAACGGAAAGCAACACCACCGGGGACGGGCATGAAGTTGGGCGTCTTCTTGTTGCGATTGGGGAGAACTTGGAGGAGAATTGGCCAAAGGAGGATTACAAAAAGGAGAACAGTGCGTTTTTCACATTTGTAAAGGAGTATGCGAGCTGGCGCTACTCCTTAGTGGACAGTGTGTCGAGCTTCACCAAGTTGCAGAATGAGATCAATATAGAATTGAGGAAAGCAGGCGTGTTTTTGTAGTGAAAAAACTGTGAGCACCCTTTGACCATTCGGCGCGCAGGTGAGTTTCGCCCAATTCTGTGACAGGTGGCCAGCGTGGTCGTGCGCATCACCGCGGCCGAAAAAAAATGAAAGTCATGCGGCATGATTTTCATTTTTTTTTCGGCCGCGGTGCGCCGAGGGGGCGCCTCTTCGCTGGCGTGTGGGGCCTTCTATGATTGTGCCCGCAGCGCGAAGGGCGCCGGGCGTGCTATTGCGGTAGCGGGCCCCCAAAATACAAGCGGGGGAAAGGTGCGAAAACCCGAAAAAAACTTCGGAGAACCTACCCACAGGCCGAGCTGGTTGCCGCGTTTCCCGCCGTCCCCGGGCGATTCTTATTTTCCCCTTGCCGCGGCACCTCCGCGGCGGCGGCAGCATAATCCGAACCAGCCGCGAAATGGCGCCCGGGATGCTGATTTCGCTCAAGAGGCAGGGGGTAAGAGAGGCGCGCGGCCGATCTCGCGCCCGGAAGGGGGGGCGCCCAAGTTTACTCCCCCCCCAGTCTGTTGCTCCGTTTTCCGTTGCTCCCGGGCGGTTCTTCTGGCGGTGGCATCTCTTGGGCGAAGTCAGCACGTTACGCACTCCGCAAGGGGGCCCGCGCGATGTTTTCGCCTTCCGGTCGCGCGGTCGACCGCGCGCCCGGAAGGGGGGGCGCCCAAATTCCCTCCCCCCGGTCTGCTTCTGCGTTTCCCGTTGCCCCCGGGCAGTTCTACTGGCGGCGGCACCTCTTGAGCGAGATCAGCACGCTACGCACCCCGCAAGGGGGCCCGCGCGATGTTTTCGGCTTCCGGGCGCGCGGTCGACCGCGCGCCCGGAAGGGGGGGCGCCCAAATTTACTCTCGCCGCCGGTCTGTTTCTGCGTTTTCCGTTGCTCCCGGGCAGTTCTTCTGGCGGCGGCACCTCTTGAGCGAGATCAGCATGCTCCGCACTCCGCAAGGGGGCCCGCGCGATGTTTTCGTCTTCCGGGCGCGCGGTCGACCGCGCGCCCGGA